AATCACCTTCCTCTTCCCTCTATCACACAGCGAGTAAAGCTTGGAGCAGCAGACTTCTTTTCCACTCCAGTAGACCCCATCACTGCTGCAGCTGAGGGGCCAGGACCCAGCAGCAAGGCTGCAGCAGTGATGGAGTCTATAGCGGACCTGCCAGCACGGCTGCAGCTGAGACCAGGGCAGAGGGGGAACAGCGTCGAGGGAACAGGCGAGCAGATAGAGGTGAAAGAAGAAGCAGCAGCAGCCGCCGCAGGAGGACGGAGATGGATGAACAGTCCTCCACAGGATCAATCGGGTACTCGTAGCCACAGCAGATCATCTTTCTCCAGCAGCACGTAAGTTATCGTGCTGCAACACTGCCTCGTCCCTTCCCCCTCTAAACCACATCACCCCCACACTCTATAAGGAACCTCATTGGCACGTATAGAAAGAAAAGTGAAAAAGGAAACATGAGAGTGAAAGTGAGAGTGAGCTGGAGAGGAGGGCTACACGCAGAGGGTGAGTGGGGGTGTGGAAGCATGTATTGATTGTTTTCACTGTGGTATAATTGCAATTAAATGTTGCAAACAGGCCAGTGGATCAGTTTCTCTGCTGTCACCCAGCAGGACGCATGGCAGCACTGATACATCTACATACACATTTTCCTCAGCCAGCAGGGAAAAGTGCTAATACGCTGCCAGCCCCTGTAGACTATGGGGATCTGTGCCATGTTGTGCAGTAGTTCAGCACTGCAATTCTCTTCCACATAATGTATAAAAAGTTATTGAGTGGAAAATAAAACTACTGCCACAAACAGATGCAAGGTGATTTGTGTTAACTGTGGTAACTAATAGTCACACAGTGAAGTCAGGGAGCGATCAGGAAAGTGCATTGCAATGACTCTGCTTTTCCTTTTCACCTCCTAATGTCCTTTTTATCCTTATTTGGGTGTCCTTTTGTATTGATGTTGTATTTGTTGAAGGCTGCAACCTCCTCTCATATTGTCCGTGTGGTTTTGTTTGGTGAACCTCACAAATGATGATCAGGAAAAAGAAAGAGCTGTGAACAAAGAGACTTTTGTTAGATCTTTGAGTCTCTGTGGTTTTCTTAGAAAATCCAGAACTCTTTGGCAGTTGCAGCCCAAAGAGAAAGACAGCAACAAAACAGATTTATTTTCTTTAGGTTGGAACGAATAATATCAAAAGCCTTATGAGAAACAGCTGGCTCCATGAAAATGTCCATTGTCCAATTGCACTTAGGCCACTGTTTGAAGAAGCAAAGTTTATATTGAATCCGATATAAAAATTTCAAAAACTCTCTGAAGATGAAAGCTGCATTCATAAAGGTCTTTGTCTGCTCAGTTGTTCAAATGACTGCTTGCAACTAGATCGGGGTGTTTCTAAGAGATGAAACCACAGATATTTACCACCGGACACTGACGCTCAACTCTTCATCCTCAGTTCATTGTTTTGATCCTGACTCTACAGTTTTTCACCAACTAGTTGCTGACTAGCCTAGTAGAGCGAGCCTCAGCACTGAGGAGTTGATGACATGACACCAAAATCCATGTGATTGTCGGAACAGTTTTTCCACAAGTTTGCCATTCTGTATTTATAAAAAAAAGTTACTAATATATATTGCTGGTTGGACAAAGCCTTGTGAAGATTTGGGACCGTCTTACTATTTGTGCCATAAAAGAAAGTTTTAAACTCAGCAAACACTGGAGGCATGTAAACATATCGTAGCCCTCTTTTATTTTTTATGGAGAGATAGGACAGTGAATAGAGTTGTAAATCAGAGAGAGAGAGAGAGAGTGGGGAATGACATGCAGGAAGGAGCCACAGATGGGACTCGAACATGGGCCGCCCACCTGGAAGATCTTAGCCTCCACACATGGGGCGAGCGCACTAACCGCTGCGTCACCAGCTCTTAATGATTAGCTGAAGCACCACTTCACTGATATTAAAAGTTTTAGTCAGATTTGAGAAATGAAAGTCAGAGAAGTAAACCTTTGTTTAGATTTAAGACTACAGTTAATTGAAACTATTTGTGATATTTTACAGTATAAATTTAACATTTTGTCATATAGTCTTGATATTAAATAATTTTGCTGGCACAAAAAATTACTCAACCGTACTTCCTGGAGTAGTTGTATAAGAGCTTATGTGTGCCAATGTTTTTTTAACAACATGGTTAACCATTCAATAGTTCATTGTTATGATCTAATGCTTCAGAGACTTACAGTCCTCAAATTAGGTGATTACTTTAATTATTTTATTACTTGGTAATAGCTGGAACTGTTATATTGTGATCCTTCTTTCATGCTTCTTGCTTAGTATTGTAGTTATTTTCCTACTTACCTGTTTCACAAGCATGCTGATAACTCATTTTAGTTGTTTTACTCTCTTAACTGCTAAACTAAATGGAGCGCGCTCAAAGGGCTTGTGGCGTTTGAAGCTAAATCAGTCATATGAATTTCTATATTTCTAGTTCAGCTCTGACTCCTTGCATTGAACCAGTGCACTTCACCAGGGTGAAACATGCTTTCGGAGCGTCAGCCCCCCTTTATTAATATGTGAGACATTTGTAAACAGCTTGTTCTGCTGCCCCCAAGTGGCCAAAAAAATCTGTTAACGTTGATTAAAATGAGACTCCTCGCAGCAAGTCTGCAGTTGTCATGATTAAAGCGCAATATAGCAGCAGATGACAGGATATGCTTAAATTAATGTCTGGTAATTCACAGCAATGTTGTTTTCTGACTCTAATGGGAATTTAAATCGTTTAGCTCCACACTCTGACAACAGTTTGAGCTTAACAAATAGTGTCACATTGACATAATCAACAGTTACTCTATGATAACCCCGCCCGACTTTTCTATCAAGAACCCAATCAGTGCATCCCATTAATTTTTTTTCGGAACTTCAATTTCCTCCCCTCATTCGTGAGACATCTTTATGGGAACCAAATCGACTATTCATTAACGAGGGGAAGCTGTATCAAGAGCAAACATCTTTAATTAACACATCCCGAACACTTCCTGTCTTTGATCTCCCCATTTGATTTATGCCTCTGTGAGAAAACGTTGGTGTGGTGTAGGGGTGCACGAGGAGTTTGGAGGGGACTAGGACGTCTGTGAGAAAACACAAAAACGAGGGGCCCCTGTTGATCAATGAGTCTTACAGCATTAGGACCTTTTCCATGTGTGTCATGGGGCAAGCTCAATTACCAGCCAGCGTGGTTATCTTTTTAATAGCCTGATAAGCAATAATCCTAAATCCACAGTTTTAATGACTTTCTGTCTAATTAAAGCCAGTTTAATAAAAGACAGGCACATCAGAGGCCTTACTATTGTTTGGAAATCTATTGTTGGAAATATCAGCGTGACCAGCTAAGAACAAGAAAATGGCCTTTTTAAAGTATTAATGAATATATTTTACTAAGAGACTTATTGTGCAGTAATCATCAAGCAGTGCATCTGTGATGTAGCTGTTCAATGTCAGAGAGGTCAGAGAGACACAGAGGAGAGAAAGCCTCCTTAGCTCAGTTCTCACACCGGATTGAAGTATTTTAGTTGGGAACGCTGATTTTGACTTTGCCTTGAAATGTTTTTTTTTTTAAAAGCTTAATTTATAGACCAAAATCCAAATTTAAAATTGAACTAAATGTTTGGGCCTCGCAAAGAAAACCCCATGCTGAATGTCTTCTGTTTTCTGTGAAATACAGCTGAAATGCCTTTTCAATGTGCGTGTCCCTACATGGCACAAGTCTGTGTGATTTTTAGTCTTTAGCCCCATCTAGTGTTGGACTGTGATCTTGTGGTATGTGCAGTCAAAAGTACTCTGTCTTTTCTCGTAATTAAACTGTACTTTAATGCTACAAAGAATTAATGAAATCAACTCAATGTTTAGCTTCTTGAAATAAAAAAAGAGCTGCATAAAGAGTCTCACTGATTTGATATAATTTCATACTTTCTTGGACAACAATTTGAGCCCAACGTTTTCTTTACATTTATCAACTTAAAATACAAACAGAATAACTGGTGTTTATGACTGTAAATTATGAATGTATTTAAGTTTGCATAATGTGCAAATCTTCATGGTCAGATTAAAAATTAATTATGTTTTCTTTATTACTTGTTGAGAGCAGCATTTTAATTTAAAAGTTTAAATATAAAAAAGTTTTAGTCTATTTATTGAAGTTTATTTTGAGTGAAGATGCGACATTAACCAAAAGAAACATGTACTGCACAGTTAAAAAGGCTATTTATATAAATATATATTTAAGTGCTTTTTCTTTGTTGTCTCTACGACAAATTGTAGTAAGATATATTGTAAATTTGTTAATTCTACATTGTCAATTTGCTTGAAATGTGGACTTCTTTGTCTCTATTTGGTTTTAGGAAACCACTTGGATTAAAGATACCAAGAAACCTATTTTCCCAAACTTACTCCATAATTTATGCTGCTTCAAATGGAAACACAATGTTTATGTGATGTTAATATTCACAAGAACTTGCACTTTATTGCATGAGACAATTTATTTTGAGGTTGTTTTTTGGGGGGGAGGAACAGCAAAAATGCATTTTTTTTAATTTTAAATACATTGGAAAACCAATTCTGAAGCCTTGGTTTAGAATAAAGGTAGAAATCCTTCTCTTTAAAGACTAAATGGTGAGAGTTCTCTTGCTACTAAATGGTTAATGCAGTCAGAAAGTCAACATTACACTCATCTCCCCAAGCCACATTTCGGTCAAGTATTTTTTTCAATCAGTGCGCTCCCAAAAGAGATGTGATGGGCTTTATAAAACCTGATATAAATGTAATTACCTCTCCAGTCCATTGAATCTCTGTGACTCATGACACCCAGTGATCTCTCAGTCTACTGTATGTGTCTTTTCTACTGGTCAAAGCAGGAGGTGTGTGCCTAGAGACTGATAACACTGTGTGAGACAGACCGCAGGTGCATACTTGGCTTCTGTCACATTAGAATAACAGAAAACATCCCATTTTTTCATGCCAGCAAAGGTCGCGTTGAGGTATAAATGATGGAGGGAAGTTTTGGTTCCTTTGCAAAAACGTTCCAACACAGTGCAGACATGCTGAGGTTTCTTCTGTTGACAAGTCTAGCAGCCTTGGGTAAGAAAATAACCAAAAACAATTAATTATTGAACTCATTCTGTCTTTTTCTCTCTCTCCTACTTTTCATAAGTCAGTTGCTCTGTTATCCAGTCTGTCACTCAGTTTTTGGTTCAGTCAACACACTGGAGTTCCAGGGTGATATTCTGCTCTGCCAGTAAACTCTCACTCTGGCTGCACACTTTTCTTGTTTCCTTTTTTTTTTTTTTTTTTTTTTTTTTACAGGATGAGAGCAAATCACATTATGAGACTCCTGGGAGAGCATGATTCTAAGTTGAGCCCCTTGTTTCTTGTTTTTAACCAGTGCTGGCTGAGCTGGGGCCCCAGCCCAGGTACCTGGAGGACAACCTTGAAAGGGTTGTTGGAGGTGAGGTGGCCAGACCCAACTCCTGGCCCTGGCAGGTAACTCAACATTAAAGGATACAAACACAGTTTTGACAAAGTGACCTATCAATTCAAACCCCCCCTTATCTGAATCAGAAATAAACTAAACTATAGGCTCTTTTTCTGCCCATTAGATCTCTCTTCAGTACAGATCTGGCAGCAGGTTCTACCACACATGCGGAGGAACCCTGATTCAGAGAGGCTGGGTTATGACTGCTGCTCACTGTGTGGACAGGTAATTATCTCAAGCACAGGCTCTGTTCCTTTTACCTATGTGAGTCATTTTTGATTATATGGCTTCAGTATCTGCAGCTCTGATTATGATATCCAGATATTTCAGTGTTTCAAAATGTCACGGGCATGAGGAAAGTTCTCACAGTATTATTTGTAACATACCAAGAGAGTTTATTTTTGTGAATAGAGGTAAGAAAAGACTCAAAATGACGGATTAAATAATAGCAGGGTATTGGTGCCTTTGGGTCTTAACTTGTTGCATCAGATTGCTCAATAAAAAAACATTAGTATGAGTTGCATCTATATCATGAATTATTACCATTTTTTGTTTTTCATTGCTTTTTTTAAATTGTATATTGCAGTAACAGGGAATGGCGCGTTGTTATCGGCGAACATGACCTCAACAGCAACAGTGGCACGGAGCAGATCAAGACTGTCAGCAGAGTTTATATCCATCTGGGATGGGACTCCAGCAACGTGGCTAATGGGTGAACATTCTCATTTTTATTTCCACATTCAAGACTTTTCAAGAATATTAAACGCACATGTGTCTGTTGAATGCAAGGTATCTGTTATAAAGAAAATGACTACTGTGCTGGCAAGCTAAGGTAGAGTCAGTGTATCACATTCTGCGGGGTTGATTTGGGGTTAATATCTGAATCTGGAACTCAAACAAACAACAAATTGTACAAAAAAAAACTCTATCTCTGATTGGTATAGAGAGGAGGACGGGTCCAGAGGGGTGGCATGGGCACCTATTCAAATCTGATTGGCCAATCCTGGCTGCTGCCAACCCAAAATCCCTAGCGATGATTTGGTTATTTTATCAGAAGCGAGACATATGCTGCATTCATGTGGTGTCGGACACATCGGAAAAACAAATTTCCGAGTTGTAAAATGCACATCAACACCTGCTCAAATCGGAAAAAAAACTTTGTTGTTGTTAAGGTTAAGATGTTATAAAAAGGAATATGACTTCTGTATGATACTTACATGTTAGTTTTTAATAAAGGTATAATTAGTGGTGTGGAGACAAAAGGGTAAACAGACACTGGTCATTCACGTGTGTGCGCACAAATATTTTGCGGTTGCGGTTGCAATTTTGCAATTGAGAATATTTAAAAGCTTTATTGTTCATACTTTTATTGTTTATATTTAGTTATTGGTCTGCTTGTATTTCATATAAATGTTGGAAATAAAGAAAGAAATCAAAAGAAAACGTTGTGTGATATAATATTTCTATGGTCACTCATTTCTCTCATTTGGCATTCATGTTAATCTATGGATCTCCTCCTCAGATTCGACATCGCCCTGCTGCGTTTGTCCTCTGACGCCACCCTGAACTCCAATGTCCAGCTGGGCTCTCTGCCTCCTTCTGGCCAGATTCTTCCCCACAACAACTTATGCTACATCACCGGATGGGGACGCACTTCCAGTGAGTTGGTTGAATGATCCCCTTAGGCTAACTGTGGGCTTTCACAGTGCCATGGTTTTTAGTCTTTTCTGCAATACATTTTACCTGTCTGATTTCCCCTTGTGCAGCTGGTGGCAGCCTCTCCTCTCAGCTGAAGCAAGCCTTCCTGCCTCTGGTCGGCCATGAGACCTGCAGCAGCGGCGACTGGTGGGGCAGCACTGTCCTGCCCATTATGGTGTGCGGTGGTGGTGGTGCTGAGGCTGGATGCAATGTGAGTCTTCTCTTATACATGAAAAAGTTTAATGCTCAATAGATAACAATTGCACTTAGTTTTAGAATCATTTTTTTAATTGTATGCCTTTGTGTTATCTGTGAGTTATTTGAATTTCATATCAACCACTAATCCTTGTTGCACGTTCCTTAAGTTGCTCTCATTTCTTGCAGGGTGACTCTGGTGGCCCCCTGAACTGCCTTGTTAATGGAAATTACTACGTCCATGGCATTGCCAGCTTTGTGTCTGGTTATGGATGTGACTATCCCAAGAAGCCCACCGTCTTCACCCGTGTCTCCGCCTACATCGGCTGGATGGATGCTGTCAGTATTTCAGATATGTATTATTAACATATGTAATAGAATGTAGCTAAATAAAACTATCATAATCAGCAAAGAAATGTGAGTTATGGTTTTGTAGATTATCATAACTCCTGTGAGTTTTTGTGGTTATCTGATGTTTAATCCCTTATTTGTGTTATTCCTGTTTTCCAGATCATGAACTAAACAGAGGAGTCATCCATCATGCAGCAAACAAAGACAGAGACCACATTTCCCCACCAATATTTCTGCTGTGCTTATTCCCTTGGCTGGTCTCACCCTTCAGAAAATAAACTTCATTAAACATTGACTGGTGACTCATGTCTTATCGAGGAGTTTATGCAACCACAGTTATTTTTGTCATTATGAAGGTTACAAGGTTCCTTCTGTCTAACAGTAGGCATTAAATTATCCTCCTACTCTGAGAAAGACGTGTTTAAAATACACTTAAGCATAACAAGAAATGGATCATTAAAAGTATTAAAACAGGCTGTGAAAATTATTGTTCTTGTTGGAAAGTAAATTCAGTGTTATGTGGCAACACGCTGTCACACACTATCACAAACTCTGATAATGTCTGAGAAGGACCACAGGTGCCACTCTGCCATGCTCAGCAGTGATCACATCAAATGAAGGTCAGCACAGAGAACAAGCAGAAAGAAACGTATTAAGCAATGTTAAGTTGCTGCAGACATGTTCATGTTTCTGCTTGTTCACTGTGCTCACAGCTGTGGGTAAGACATTTCAAGGCTGTAATTTAAATAGTCTACTGCTGTCCTGTCCAACATTTACATTCAATAAGCAGAATTGGGAATCCATGTTTAAATTGTCTTTTGATTAGTTACCTCTGTGCTCCAGTGCTGGCCGAGCCAGAGCTGCAGCCCAGCTACACAGAGGAGCAGCATTGTAGGAAGTGTTGCGGGAGGGGAAGAGATGATTTCACATAGCTTCAGGTAGTTGCCTTGGTAGGTGCAGTATTGCAAAGCAACATACCCAAAAAGAACTTGTTAAGTCAGTGGATAGAGTCAGAAACCAGGGAGAGATAGAGAGTGGGGAATGACTTGTGGGAAAGAAGCCACATGTCGGATTCAAACCTGGGCCGCCCGCTCTTGATGACCTTAGCCTCTGTTAAGGGGGCTCATGCACTAACTGCTAGGACACCAGGGCCCCTGATCACCTTTTTAACAAGCAAAATATACAAGCACCTCTTTTATATTTACAAAGTCAGTTGCACTTGTTTGTGTTACGCCTTGAACCCTGTAGGTTATTTCCCAATATCCTCTTGTTGAGCCTATTACTCTTTACATCAAAACTAACCCTGAAACTCTGATGAACAGCAAACAAAGTACTTTTTATGAGGCCTACTGCTTTTATAAATCCAAAAATGTCCTGTTTAGTGTGGCATATGAGCGTTGTCAGCACTCAGCAAGTTACCTCAATGACAGAAATGGGACAAATTCAGAGACGAATAGAGGGTACACAGAGGGGCCATAGCCTACCAGGGACAATTTAGTTATCTTGTTCTGAGTCCTGACATCAAACAATCCTGAGTGAATGCTGAATCATTTTCCAGCCTTCCTTCCCTTTTTGTTAATCTGCCTTTCTTTTTCTTTCTTAAATTCATCATTTGTTTTTCCCCCATCCCATGAAAAAAAGAAGAAGAGAAAAGGCCTGAATGGTGTTTCATAAACAGAATGCTTCTGTTACCCTTTCTGCTGCCTCTCTGGTGGATTTGTGACATTCTAAAGGAAAAACGGCTACAAGCACTGTGGGACTAATGGAGGGTACATAAGATGCATGATAAGGTGCGCTATATATAGTGGGAAGGGTCCATACATTGCTCAAGAATCACAATGGAAACATCTCAGGCAGATATAGTTATAACTGTCTGTATTTTAAGACAAAAAGCAGCACACTCTGTTGTATATCCCTTTCACTGGTTCTCCAGACTTCTCCTTCCCACATTGTTTTTTGTAAAATCTGCTAGATGTCAGTAAATGTTACAAATACATTTAAGAAACGTTTTTTTTTTTTTTTTTTTAAGATTTATTTTTGGGCTTTTTTTGCCTTTAATTGAGAGATAGGACAGTGGATAGAGTCAGAAATCAGGGAGAGAGAGAGAGAGAGAAGGGGGAACGACATGCAGGAAAGGAGCCACAGGCTGGATTCGAACCTGGGCTGCCCGCTTGGAAGACTACAGCCTCCATACATGGGGCGTGACCAGCACCCCATAAACTTTTTACCTTAGAACACTGGAGTATCTTCCATAAATATGTTTAAATAACTCCCTTTGAGGAGTCTGTAACAATGATCCATGTGAATGTCTAAGTTAGATGCTCCCAGCTATAGTTTTATCAGGAATGCTGTTTGTGGATGTTTCCAGCAAGACTCTCAACATTGTCACAACACCACAGGTAAGTGAACCCAAAAGCACGACTCACGACGCAGTCTTTGATGGGGGAAAAAAACAGTCTTTACTTTTGAAGAAGATACAATCCAAAAAAGTGATCACAGGGGAAACAAAAGGCTTGAACGCTTCTCACAGGGGTCGAAGACGAACTGGCACAGAAGGAAGGGAAGCTACAGACTAAATAGTAGGGTGAGGGGGAAGAGAACGAGATGCAGCTGGGAACAATCAGGGCGGGGCAGACAATCACACAGGTGGGAAACACATGAGGGCGGGAAGTGACGGCTCTGAAACGAGAGGAGAAATTAGTGACCCAAAACAGAAAATAAAACAAGATAGAAATAAACACAACCTAAGACCCTGAGCTGGACATGACAAACATAAAGAGAATTTATTTTTCAATTAGTTGGTTTTGCTGATTGAATAAATGAAATATATCGTGTTAAGTATTGAGCTTAAGAGGTGCAGGTAGGTGGATTTTTCTACATTTTGACTATACACTTCACTGTATAAAATATGGATATCTTTAACCTTTTTTTGTCATACAACAGAGCTAATAGAAAATTGTGAATAAAAACAGATGTTATTTTAATACTTTGTGTTAAGTGCTTAAATTGAGATGAAGCCTGTGTTGATGCTGACATGCATGTTTATCTTTATAGGGGTGGTATGACCTGTCTGTAGGTCAGGTTTTGGTAAAAGGCGGATTTTGGGCTCATCCAGAAGACCATCCGTCGACAAGAGCATCCACCATAGAACTGTGAGCAGCTAACTGGATAGTGAGCTGAACCTTCGAGACCTCGAGAGGGATTAAGAAGACTGTTTCTTCTAAGGAAGAACTTTCTTCTCTGCTTCATAGAGCAGAAGCACAGATGAAACAGAAACACACACCTGGATTGAGCCCCAACGAAAAAGACTGGGCTTAGACACTTCAAATGTTTGTTTTATTTTATGTGCACACTAATTAATTTAGTTGTTAATTGCATTAGGAAATTGTGATCTTGACCTGCAATATTTGTGTTCCTAACATACAAGTTTGCTAATGTATTCCTGTGTACGTCTCTTGACTGGTATTCAGACTTTGGGCTCCAGGTGTCCTAGTCTTCTGATGTTTGTCCACCTTCAGCACTTTATTTACAGTAACATGGGTTAAAAACAACTATGCCTTTTCCCTGAATTTGATCAGATATGTTGGTAGCTATGACACACCAAATGTTTTCATAATTTAGTTTACAGTTAACGTTAAAGATAATACTTGTGTTTGTAGTAGCATATTTTTTCAAAAACTGTTTGAGTGGAAGTTTAATAGACCTCCTTTTTGTTTCTGTGTTTACTTGAAAGTTGGACCCTGTTCCCACTGAGCTGTTAATAAGTGCATAATAAAGTATTTATTAATCTTTATAAGAAATATTCCCACTTTTGATCCAATACATGCAGAGGAGCTTTATTAACTGTTAATATGTGCATAATAAAGTATTGATTCATCTTTATAAGCAGTGTTCCCACTTTAGATCCAGTACCTGCAGAGGAGCTTTATTAACTCTTAATAAGTGATAATAAAGTATTTATTAACCTTTATAAGTAGTGTTCCCACTTTAGATCCAGTACATACAGAGGAGCTTTATTAACTGTTAATACGTGCATAATAAAGTATTTATTCATCTTTATAAGACATTAATATGAACCTAATAGAGTCTTATCAATGTTAATAAACATCTTATGAATGTTGATAAGTGGTCTATAACAAGTTTCTTTGTGTTAATTAATATCTCACAAGCTAATTATAAATTAATTTATAGTTTAATTAACACACATGAAATCTTATTAATGTTAATAAACATCTTATGAATGTTTATGACAGTATATAAAGTGTTAATACGTTTTTAATAAAAGCCTATAAGTGTCTTATAAGACATAATAAATATGTTAATTATGCATATATTAACACTTATATAGTCTTTTTTGTGTTAATAAGAATCTAATAAGGTCTTATAAGTGACTTAAAACCTGTTATTAATGCTTGTTACAAGCACCTTAATATAAAGTGTTACCGCTGAAAGAGGAATATTGTAATGTAGCCTCAAGTTGTTACTGTGAATTTAACTTCTGATCTTAATCTGATATAAGAAACAACTTTCAACTTGTAGAACACATTATAATCTTTGAGCATCACCTCCTCTCTTCTTATTCCTCTCTACTCTTTGCAAAAATGCATTTCGTTTTAAAACATGGTTGTAGAAACAGACAATTATTGAGTTCAACTGACATATGGTTTATGTAACCAAACAAGCTTGAATCACATTATGCTATGAGTGTGTACTGTGCTGTGTAAACAATTTTTTTTTTGACAAATCCCAGTATGTGGTCACCTTCAGTTGAATCTCCGGAAAAAAAAAAAACGAGTCGTGAAAGTTTAAAGTCTGAATTTTGCGAGATTGAAATGACTCTCAAGAGGGTTGTTAACTGCAGTCATGCAATTGAGAAATATTTCACAGTTAGAAGAAACATTTCCTTTGCTTACAAGTATAAACAGTCAAAAATGTCTGAAAGTGAAGGCCAATACAAGTGGGAAAATGAATTCAGACGCTGAGTCAGCTACTCCGTATATGAATCCCCTCTCCGTCCCCACTGTACTGATAACTGTGAGACAGAAACAGGTGGACATGTGCTGGTATTGAACAGGTTTCACACACACAGACACACTCAGGAGTGGTGGCCTGAGGGTATAAAAGAGTGGTGGGAGGTTAAGTCCACGCAGAAAGTTTCAGTAGACTGCAAACATGCTCAGGTTTCTTTTGTTGACCTCTCTCGCAGCCCTCGGTAAGAACTACCTGAGTCTTCCTCTCCTTTGACACTCAGCACACACACACACAACGACTCCTTACAAACTCATTCTCTTAATCGATTACTGACTGTGATACTTCCTGTGTCTCAGTGCTGGCCGAGCTGGAGCCCCAGCCCAGGTTCCTGGAGGATGACAGTGCTGAGGAGAGAGTTGTGGGAGGTGAAGTGGCCAGACCCAACTCCTGGCCCTGGCAGGTACAGTACATTATACACTAATAAAACCTCTACATGCAGCCTTACTGTCCCTGGTCTTGTGCATGCTGCAGATTCTGATTATCTAAGTAGATGAGGTCTACTTTTGAATCTTTTTTCTCCTGCAGCACAAGGTCTCTGAAAGAAAGATCTTTGCCCATGATTTGTGTTAAAGCCTAACATGACTTTAGCTGAGGATTAATTAAAAAAATCTGATTCTCAATACAAGGCTTGTGTTATCTTAACCTATGACCTTCAGGTAACAAGTCATGTCATCATGACAGATAAACTCACTTTGAGATCTATGCTTTTAATTTTTTACAACAGAAATATAGGCTACATTTTTCTGGATTTACATAAATAGTTTTACTGGAGCAAATAATTATTCGCCAATGTAACAATTTATTGTTTTATAAATGTATTGTTTGCCTCACACAAATGTCATGGGTGACCCATCCAAGTTGGTAGAACTTTTGTCCAAACTTAAAACTCTTAGTAAGATCAACAAGTGCATTCTGATGTTAAGAAAAGTTGTAAAAAACTTTTGCATAACTTTGCCTTGAGAACTTGAATTTCTCAACATGTTCATTTGTGTAGTACTTTGCTTGCCTCGAGCAATTACTTTATGAAGAAGTGTTTATTTTGTTTGTTGTTTAAGCAGCCAAACCTTAATGGGAGAAATCTTACAATCAAAATTCCACTTCAACCAAATAACACAAGAATACAAGCAAAATGTTTCAAGTATCAGATTACTCTTTATGCAGAATAGAGTCTGTACTCAAGGCCCATCTTGGGACAGATATTACAAATGAACTAAGGCTTTAAGTGTTGCGGTGTGTTGCAACAGTTTACTTGCTTCATTCTTGTCGCTACACAAATAAACATTTGATAAATAAATACTGTAACGTGTCAAATTATGTAGCCGTGAAGGTCCTTTAAGATATCTGGATTCTGCAGTTTAATTTTTACCATGTCCATCACATAGGTTTTTCTGCTAGTCTTGTTGCCAAAAAAGTTACTACTTCACCAACCTTATTGGCTCTTTCATTACTTATCATTATTACTGCATGTCTTAAGTCCTGCAGTACTCTTGTAAGTGCCTTACTGGACACTATTGTGGGTACACAAGGCCTAGAATCTACAGTATAATAATGCATCATATTTTATATCCTGGTTAAATGTTTTCAAGGAATAAATTGATAAGAGAGCAACTATATCTTAAAAATAAATTTAACAGCATACAAGACCAAAGACACTACCTCGGGAAATGGAGAGAAAAAAATTTAGCTGAATTGTGAATATTTAATTAAAGATTTGATCATTAAGAGGGAAGGTAAAATAACACTTGATCGACTTCTTTCCTCTAAAATGTAAATCAGGCCCCTGCAACATAAACTTCTCTGTAAACAAACATAAAGTTCATCAGTAGAACTCATGAGTGGGCTCTTGTCTGTCAAGATTAATTTTATGCTGGGAATGCTGCCAAAGACCCCTTAGCTAGAATATGCATATGTCAGTTTCTGATATTTGCAATGCTTTCTGTTCTCGTTTCATTAGATCTCTCTTCAGTACAAATCTGGCAGCAACTTCTACCACACCTGTGGAGGCACCCTGATCAGGAGGGGATGGGTCATGACCGCCGCTCACTGTGTCGACAGGTACGAGTTTCACGCTTCACAGAATAGCTGCTGAGCCTAACAGTAATAAGAGATATAGATGACAGAGCATGCAAGAGCTTGATATTAACATACCTGCATTTCATCACTTATGTCCTGGAGTTTCACAAGATAATCCATGTCAATTCAAGGTTGAAATCAGACTGCAGCGTTATTGTATTCCAGCCTGTTTTTAGTAAAAGCAACAACATAGTTTCCATGTTCAGTATTGATTTTCAGCAGCGATCCTAATCTTTCACAAGAGCATCAACTGAGGCTACGAGTGGAAAATGAATATTATCATTTATTGTTCATCCACAGTTCCAGGACTTGGCGTGTTGTTCTTGGAGATCACAACATCAACTCCCAAGAGGGCACTGAGCAGTACATGAGCGTGAGCCGCGTCTACATCCACCCCAACTGGAACTCCAACAACGTCGCCGGGGGGTGAGTGGTTCGTTGTCGGTCAAGGTTTTGACCCACTTCTGCATATATATATATATATATATATATATATATATATATATATATATATAAAAATGTGGAACGCATGTAGACATTTGTTGTAAGAAATGTGATGAAAAACGTCTGCAAGATTTCTGCAGTCATTTCATTTGTGATGCATCCTATGGTTGATCATACCCATTCATACATACTAACATAAGTACAGATAAAAACTAAGATATAAATCAATAACCAGCTTCTCCATAATCATCATTCTTAATGTAGAAGTTTGTAGCTTTCCTCTGTTTCAAAATACTACAAATTTAATCATCAGTTTCTTTATTGTTAGTTATTTTTGGAATCACTCTGTGCTTCGGGAAACTAACAATGCAACTAAAACATCCATCAAAGGAATATCATGCAGATGAATCAGTTATTTTTAGCAGCTCTGTACATAAAAGTTTAAAAACCACATAGAAAACAGCGGTCCACCTTTACACACAACCCTTAGGGTAAAGATGAATAACTCTGTGACTTTGGTGTATATTTTCCCAACCTTCAGATGGGATATTGCTCTCCTGCGTCTGTCCACTGATGCTTCTCTCAACAACAAAGTCCAGCTCGGTGCTCTGCCCCCCTCCGGTCAGGTCCTGCCCAACAATAACCTTTGCTACATCACCGGCTGGGGACGCACTCAGAGTGAGTCAACCCACAGAGTCCAACAGTTATATTACTTTTTATTTATTTCAATATTTATCTGCAATAAAACTACTCAATGGTAAATACATCTGAGCTTGCATCAGCACTGTTCTAGTTATTTTACACTGCAGGTCACACTGACCCATTCACTCCCATTCACACACTTCACAGAGGCTGCTATGTAAAGTGTCCATCAGGATTCATTTATCCCAACACAAACCACAAACCACCACCAAAGCAGCAAGTTTCACTGTCTTGCCAAAGGGCACATGGACATGTGGCTGCTATTGTCCTGCTCTAAACGTTGTATTCTAACACATGAATGATGATGTTTCTCCTGTTTTCCTCAGCTGGTGGTCAGCTGTCCGCTCAGCTGAAGCAGGCCTACCTCCCGTTGTTGACCACAAAACCTGCACCAGCTACGGATGGTGGGGCAGCACAGTGAAGGACTCCATGGTTTGTGGTGGAGGCGGCAGCGAATCTGGTTGCCAGGTAAGATAGGCAGGAAAATAATGGCCCTTACATTGAGTATTTCTTTTAGAAAGAACAAAAGACTTTTCTTCTGATTTCATGTATTGTCAACATCATTTCTGATAAACCTGCAGTTTTCGGCTCTTATCTGAGGCATCTGATAAAGACTCAAGTGATGTCACTTGAGTCTTTATCAGATGGTTTTTCTTACACATACAGAGAGACTACAGACAGACTATCGTGCAAAATTAGTGGCGTTCACCTTTCATTGATCCCACAAATACAGAAAATGGCATACCTGGAGCTTTACCCACCGCACGAGGAAAATCTTGTCTAAATAAAGGGTGACAAATGAAGTGATTAATGATGATTTAAATGAAGCATAATAAATGAGTTATAAGCAATTAATCCGAAAAAAAACGTTGGGTTGCCAGGTTGTGAGTTCCCGTTGAGTAATTTGACTTTTCTGACATCTTTAGTGGGAATAAAAATACTAACACGATCTAGAGGTTCATTTATAAACAGCTCATTAAGCCTTTAGAATGGATAAGTAAATTTGACATTGTGATTTTACAGTGCAGTTCCTGGAGATTAAAAACAGCTTGTCATATTTTTTTTCCAACCTCCGGCCAAACGTGTGTTTGCAAAAGGCTCACGATGGATCTACAAAGCATTACAAACTGATGGATTTTGAAGCTATTAGTTACAACTATTAAAATCTTATTTAAAGGATGTCTGTTGTGGCATTGAAAATTCTTCTCAGCTCACATTTTTGTGACCCAGTTTCTGCACTTCTCTCCCAAACTTCAGTGTCACCCTGTGTTAAGAACAGCAGGACTGATGTTTAAGCACAAGCAGAGAGGGAGAAACACTGTAAAGTCAGAATTCAGTCCCACTCCACCATGACAAAGTGAAATTGAATGCCCCCCCACTCCCCACCCACCCATCTCCCTCTGAGCTGAGGTCTGACCCCGTCCTGTCAAGAAAAGATATTTTGGGGGACACATGTGGGATTACTTGCTGCATCAGCAGGGGCGTAAGTCAGTTACAATGAACCAGGCTTGTGCTTAAACTGCACAAAGTGTCAAAGTTTTAGAAGTTCCCATTGTGTCCAAACTTTCTTGAGGCTGTAATGGATCGGACAGCGATACGGAAAGCAAGTAGGAACAAATTAATTGCATTGGAAAATTAGGTATGTGTCCTAACTCTTCTAAAAGGTCATGATTGGTTGATACTGAGTATTTGTTTTGTGTTTTCTGTGAATTCAGGGTGACTCCGGCGGCCCTCTGAACTGCAGCGTCAACGGCCAGTGGGTGGTCCACGGTGTGACCAGCTTTGTGTCCTCCTCCGGCTGCAACGCCTACAGGAAGCCCACTGTCTTCACCCGTGTCTCCGCCTACATCAGCTGGATGAATGGAGTCAGTAAAACCAAAAATGCCTAAATGTTTAAGAAAAATCTTTAAAACATTAATGTTGGTTAGGCTATGCATGATTTGAGTCACATATTTTAGGCAGTAACTGAAGGATTGAATAATCTTGTTCATAAACTCCTTCACCCTTTACAAAAACACGTCTACTGTATTTGAGCAGCAATTAGACAGGATTTTTGAGGATAATCACATAATGACTCATGTGTCCTTGCTTTGACAGATCATGGGTTGAGAAGAAGGACGATCGCCATGGAGACGAGCGAAAACACTCATCTCAGTTTTCTGCCAAACTCCATCAGAATAAAATCCTCTTAAATTTGCATTTGGACTCTTGCTCCTTTGTTTGAATGTTCTTACGTGTGGGAGACAGCAGACCTTCAGCTTCAGCTTCAGATATGTAAAAGCTTCAGATATGTAAAAGCACAAGTCACTTAATGCTTTATATGCAATTTTTTGATCCAGCAGATGTCACCCTTGAGCACCAGCATGAAACAAACTTCTCGCAGTGCATTCTTGTGTTAGCATGCTAATGCTAGCGATCTTTATTATGCTCGTATCTTCACACTGCATGTAAATTTACCCGAAATGAGCGTGATCTAGAAACGCAGTTAAGCAGTGAGTTCAGTATGTTATTCTTCTTTTCTCTAGTCCCTCAATTAAACAACTTTTATTTGCGAGGGGAGGAGTCAGCCGCCGTCCCGGCGATGTCAACAAACTGAAAATATGACATCACAGACAGTGGGACTCGGGTGTTACACCCATTGTAGACAGTCATTACTCACAGAGTTATTTTCAGAGGATATACTTGATTTTCTATTATATTTAAGTGTGAAGAATCTCATATAAAGCCTTTAAGGTGAAAAGTGGTTTAGGCACTGGACGGCTTGCCAGAACAACCCCCTCCCCACCGGCTTGTTGATGGATGGCTTGCCTTCCCCCCACCCCCTTGCTCCCTATCCCTCTTCTTGCATCTTATCCCATCTCTCCCCCTATCCCTTTCCAAGCCGGGGATCCGGCCGAAGATTTCTGCCTTTTAATTAGGCAGTTTTTTCTTACCACTGTGCTCATGATGGATAGGCCGGATCTTTGTAATATAGCAATGAGTAAGGTCTTTTACCTGCTTTTTGTAACATAACAATGAGTAAGGTCTTTTTACCTGCTCTTTTGTAATGTTAACAGACAAAGAGTAAGGTATTTTACCTGCTTTTTGTAAAGTGTCTCGAGATAGCACTTGTTATGAGTTGACGCTATACAAATAAAAATTGATTGATTGATTGATTGATTAAGTGTTTCTGCGAAAATAGAGCAAAGTATTCTCCTATTACGGTAACAGGTCGTTTTTTTAAACCAGGTGTCAGTGTGAGGTGACCTTTAGAGCTTCAGTTGATTCAAACTAATGGTAACACTGTCTCAAACATGGATAACTCAGCTTTTCTTTCAGCGAAGTAGTGTACAATTTGTAAAACAGCTTTTTTTTTGCAAAAGGAGGAACAAAAAGAAGTGATTAGACTGCGATAAATCATTAAGAACTCAAAATGTGATGGAAATAGGCTCTACAGCTTCATCACTTCAAAACGCAACTGTCTAGACTCATTCGGATGTCACTCGTTACTGTAGAAATTCAGATGTCACCGCTCAGATGGATGACTTATTCTAAAAGGTATGACACAAATGTGTGACACAGTCTGTGAAATCACCTCCAAATCAGAGCGTCAGAAATCCCTCCAGGCTGTGTAAGAAAGTGCTTTTAAATCCATCTGAAGTCACAAAATGTGTCAACCCTCACCAGCCTCAGAGGGAGGGCATATCTGTCAAAACAAATAAACTGCACATCAGATGAAAAACAAAAAAAAATGTAAAAAGCATAAAAGACAGCACAAGTGTAAAAAGACATCATCATAAACCTTCACATGAGGAAACAGAAATATTAGAATCAATAAAATGTTTCAAACGGTATTTATAAACACTTTTTTTTTCATCTATTTGCCCTTTTTAGTCCAGATTTATTAAAGCTGTGTGTGTGTGTCTCTGCAGCAGTGTGGCCATATGGTGGCAATGATGGCTCTACATCCTGCAGTAATGGCTGTCATATCGTCTTGCTGTAACACAGACATCTGCTGTAAGTGGAACGCAAACTGCATGTTAACAAGAGAGAGGAACATCAGAGCTTGTTTGAAACTCTTGTGTGTCAAACTTTAAACGCGAAAACACAACATAACAACACTGCCTTGTTATCATTAGTGTCCAAAAAAAAACAGCTTATAAGAAATATTTAAACATGTCAGCTTCTTCAGTAGCTTCAGGGGCACAGATTTTAAAGGGAACTCCACATGTTGAGACACTTTGACCTCCTTGGATTAACACTGGTATCTTTTACATGTATGTCAAACAAAAACCCTAAATATCTACGTCTAAACTTGATCCAAAAGCAACTGGACTGGTTTTACATCTGGAAGAAGAACCCTGTGAGCCTCTTGAAGACATTTCACCACTTAAACTCAAAAGCTCCTTCTGTGAGCGACTAGTGATGCCTTGCTGTTCTACTGAACGACTCAGAAGGTCCTTTTTTTGTTCCAGCGGCAGTCAGACGTTTTAATGAATATTTTGTGCTGTGGCTCTGATTCATGGCTGTAAATTATTATTACTTGTTGTGTATGGTGATTGTAATGTCTGTTTTGTGTATGAATTGACTGAGTGGAAAATTAGTTTCCCCTTTAGAAATAGTTTTCTAATCTAATCTAATTTTTTATTCATTATTGATTTTTTAGAGATATTCACAGAGATTCCATTCTGCTGTGTAGTCCTTGAGTCAGTGATAATAAATTCAGTTTAATATCAGGTCATCACTTCAGCACCTCCAGCTCTCTGTGCTTTGGGTCTTTATCAAGGTGTGTTATCATTACTTCATGTTTTAAAGGCTATAGAAGTTGGGAAAGTGTGTATCCATGTTGGAGACACATACGAGATTCAGTGATCTGGCCAGGTGTGAACAGATGTGCTTAGAAATATAGTATGATCAGACAGGACACAACTGTAATACCACATATTCACCGTCCCTATCTCTCTCTTGGGGAGGCCGTGGCTCAGTGGTAGAGTTGGTCGTCTCTCAACCTGAAGGTCGGGTTGATCCCCAGCTCCTGCAGCCACATGTCCGATGTGTCTTTGGGCAAGAAATTTAACCCCTAGTTGCTCATGCTGCTTCAATGGTATGGACATGTATGTATGGATTAGGTAATACCAATTGACACTTTACATAGCAGCCTCTTCCATCAGCGTGTGAATGAGTCTGAATGGGTAGGTCTGACCTGCCTTTGAGCGCGTTAAGTGGTCAGAAGACAAGAAAATCACTATGCAAGCTCAAGTCCATTTCTTGGTAGCATTGACGAGCTGTTGTCATACAGACACCATTAGCTCCAAAAAGTCTTAAAGTCTTAAAACACAACGCTCATGTAGGGTAACAGTATGGGGGGGGGGAATTGATGCAACCATGCTTTGAGTGCTTTGCAGTGTAGGCCTATAGGCCACGACAGTGGCAGCTTATATGAGAATTTAATTCTCCAAATTTAGAAATCTAGCACAGTATGTTTTTTTATACAACACACAAATTATAGATAAAGTACAGCCTTATCCAATCAGGTTGACATGTCTGAATATGTGGGGTTCCCTTTAAACAAAACAGAAAAGTCCACTTCACATACTGTCGACAGCTTAAAAGGGTTGGTGGTGAAGTCTGAAATGGATGAACAGTAGAGGAAGTTTGAACTGGAACAGAGCAGCACAATGTCTTTCTAAATATTTAATAACCACAGCACATAATGTTGAGATATCCAGCAGAGATTGCAAAACTAATCACTGATTGTTCCACGAGTTAATCAGCACAAAATTAATGACTAACAACATTTTTCACAACTTTCTGAGCTGATGAAACTAAATCAAGATGTTAATGCATCTGTAATATCTTTGTGAGGACGTGAGTGTCTTGACTTTAATGAGAAACTGTTCACTTGTAGGACTAATTGCAACTCATGTATCATGTTTCTGCCTGATTAATTATGTTCCAGTTGTGATGAAAAGTGTTCATCTTTTATCGTAGCACCCTGTCAGCACTGAGAGTATAAATTCCAGTGGTGCTATTGTCATACTGTTACTGCACCTTTGAGTGTTTTCTGTTTGAATTTTCAGGTTTGTCTTTTTTTGGTACCAACTTCCACTCCTTCGACAGTCGGGCTCACGGCCAACTGACCTCAACCTGTACCACGAGACCCTTCTCTGAATCACTACACACCTCCAGTTTGCTAAATAAAACACACCATTGTCAGGAAGAGAAAACAGCTGGAACCACCACAAAGCTCCTTTATAACATTTGGGCGATGTCTTAAAGTCTTCAAATTTCTCTGAAGAAAAAACATGCTTTAGATTGTCTTCATGTGTATTATTGTCAATATTAGCAGGAATGTCTACACCAAGTCCAGCTGAGGATGAAAGGAAAGTCACAGTTGTATCAGGTACTTGATGATTAACAGAGATTGGGCAGATTCTTTTGACATGATTATGTTTTCAGAGGAAATAGCTTGGGTGAATTATTGAACTTACAAGAGGTCAAACTTTTGGAGGACATGACTGTATCTTCATTATTTCATGGTAAGCCACAATTTGCAATGTTAAGACGACTGAAAGAAACTATATTTCACTTTCTTTCAAAGTGCTCTGGTCTGCTAAGCAGCAGAAGGAGCACCTGACTGTGGAGGAGTGTGTAGGATGTGTCAGGACCACCTGGCTCTGTGCAGGTGGCAGCAGCCTCTCTCTGGATGTCAGGTCAGTCTTACATAAGCTCTTATCTACTCCATGATGTTCTTTCTTTCCTGGAGAAAAAAAACCGAGCTGCTCTGTTGTGTCCACACATACCGATTCTGTGCATCCACTAGGTGAGATTACAGAAAATGTGTTCAGAATGAGAGGCCACTGCCATCTGCTGGATGCAAAGAACTGCAGCACACGTGGACTGAGGCTGCAGCAGCAACATAAAGCATGTCAGTAATGGGACGGTCTGTCATTTCTGATTAAGTCTACATCTATTAATAAAGATGAGTCCCTTAAAATGAGCAGGCAATAATTCAGCGTACATTATTCATCATTTAAAGCCACAGCTGAAAGTCTCTCTCTCTCTTACATTATGATGCTCTCTTTTGTATTTCAAAGATATAACATGCAAATTCTTATAATTACATTTAAAACACTTCAGCTATCTCAACTCTCCCCTGCTGCTTCTTCATCATGTATCACTACAGTCAACTGATTGAGAACAAGCTGCTTATTATTTAATGACTAAAAGCTGACAGCATGAAACATTGACTAGCATTGGGAAACCAAAACAAATAAAACCATGGGTTGCAGATATATAAAACATGTTTAATAGATGCCTTTCAAGTCAAAATATTTTAAAAAAATACATCCCTTGTTTTCGTGACATAGCGTATAATCATATTTATCCGTTATTGGGAATCAAAGGTCCTTATTTACAGCTAAAGAACATCATATATACAACATACCAAACATTTTGTTTCATGGCTGTATATAACGTTATTTCCATTTTTTTTACATTCAAAATGATCTGGGATATGGTATGCAAACATTTCAGTTAATTTAACATCTTCAAAAATGTTTCAACAAGGCACGATAGAGTGATAATAACAGACAGAGGTAAATATATACTGTTCATAACACACCTCTTTTTACCAGAGGAGTTTTTTTCAAATCCCTTTAAAAAAATATGCTGAGAGCCTTTGCTACATAAGAACCTGCCTTAATCTTGAAAAGGGAACATTTTGTCCAGAGTAATGATGTTCTCCAGCAGATCTTCTTTAAATTGTTTCTTGTTTCATTTTTTTTTTAGCTTTCTTTTTTGTTGCCTTCATTAAAAGGACAGCTGAAGAGAGACAGGAAATGCTGCCAAGACAGAGTGGGGGATGACATGCAGTAAAGAGCCCAGGTCAGATTTGAACCCATGGATGCTGCAACAAGGTCTACACCCTCTGCACATGCGGCACACAACATAACTGCTAGGCTATCTGGCGCCCCCATGTGTCTGATTATTTAAGCAGCAGATTTTATAACAGAATCTCTTGGTTTGGTTTGGTTTGATGTATTGACATTTTGTAAGTTACTGCTGTCTTAACATCGTATTTAAATATAATACTGAATTCACAGATGAATGGTATCCATTACTGCAGTTTGCATACTTATTTAATGCTTTACAAGTCATATTCTGCTCTGTTACGTGCTACAAATGGACCCTCACATTTCAAACATGACAGATTGCACAAATGCCCTGAAGTGTTACAGTTTGAGGACTCTATTCTATTCTATTAAAAAAAAAAAAAAAGACATCACACCATTCCCTCGATGGTGTCCAGCTTCGGGGTATGCTCAGCCTCAGTGCGCTGTATTTCCTGCTGACTGAAGGTCTGCTGGTAGTCTTTCAGCACCTTCACCACCTCGTCATGACCAAACTGCAGGGCGTCATCGATGGGAAGGTTCCCCCACCTGCTCAACAAGGAATGAAACAAAAAGAGCAGAGAAAAGAGATTATGGAAGGTAATTGTCAGAAGGTTTAAGGTGTCAGTCAAGGGTTTACAATATGAGGATTTTTAAACTTTGACCCTGAGAAAGCCAGCAAGTTTTCTGAATCAAGAGGTAAATGACGATACAATAGGGTTTGACTAGAGTCACAAAAAGTCTCATTAATAGGAAATATTTTTAAAACCTTTAAAACAGTTCACAACAAGTGCTGTGACAAACAAGGCAAAAGCAGTATGATCATACATGCACAAGATTAAGTATACAAGGTTTTTTTAAGATACTTATTCTGTGTTCGGTGTTACTTAGAAGAAGAAAAATGTTCCAACTACTGTATGGGCTGCTTTCAGCAAGAAGACAGTTCAATTATTTCATTTTGATAAAAGGCTCAACAGTCAGAGCATGGAAGAAATTCAAGGTCATAGAATAAAAAAAAGCCTTTTTGTAAATTAAAGGAACCAATGATCTCACCTGTCTTTAACAAACGGATCAACTTTGCAGGTTTCAGTAAGAAACTTCATCACATCCACGTGACCTGAGGATAAACAGAAGATGACAGTTTATAGTTTTCCAACTAAGAAGCACACTTTGGGGTGAAAAGGTTAGCCATGATATAAAATACATACTGTGGTTGGAGATAAAAAGCTCCTACAAATATAATCAGCACAGAAAAAGTCAGCTGACGTTTTATTATTCCCTCCTCCTTTGTCTATTTCAACCAACAGAATATTCCCCTCCTGTTTTTTAGTCTTTTAAATAAATGGCTTGCTCACTGGCCCCTTCTTGAAAAATGTAACAGTTAAATAAGCTGCAGCAGAGCGTTAAATCTGTGCCGGGAATCAACATAGATAACAACAGAGGACAAATAATGGACCATATGGTTCTCTGTGAGGGTTTGTCGGGAGCTGATTCATTAGTGGTTCAGTGGAAAGTGAACCAAAAGGTAGCGCGCCTGCCTCTACAGTTAATCATGAAAACAAATGAAGTGAGTGTTAAGTTGGCACTCATTACAGCTGTGAGTGTCAAAACAAATCATTTAACAAGTGTAAGAGTTTTTGTGCCTGGGTTATGGATAAACACAAAATCTTTTATCGCTGTCACAGACGACAGATAAACATTTAGCCAGAAGACAAAAAAACTGTGTTTGGCACAGAACTGTTTGATTTAAAGAACAGTCAAATATGCAAGTGTAAACAAAAAAAAGAAAAGCATCACACATGGGTAAGAGTCATTTTCTGTGATTGTCTTATGGTTTAATGGAGGTCATATTTTCTCCTTTTTTATGCCTTCTTTGACCTTTAAGAGCTGAAGATTTTGTGCTAGATTGATGATCTTTCCTTGGTGGTCATACACATATATCAGCTGACTGCTTTATAGTGTGCCTGATTCAGGGACTGACGAAGTGAGTTGCCTGTACAACAAATATTACAACGGATTGTGACGACCCTGCTGGTTGTTTTTGTTTGCTTGTTTGTCTGGTTGTGCTGTCTCTGTGTGTCAGGTGCCAGGATGTGTGGCTGGGTCATCATGGATTAAGAACACCAGGAGCCTAAACAACGAAGCGAGTTCAACATACCCAGGGTATCTTTGGGTTATCTTCCTTCACTAACCTCAACAAAAGTGACCGTGCTTAACAGTCATACGAAGCTGGTTATCAACCTGACGCCTACTAGAAAGCAGGATTTAAGGTTAGCGAGGTAACTTCAGGGTTAACCCTGGGTTTTCAGTCCTACGAAGGTTGTTCTTGTTACCTGGCTATATCGCCACGGTAACTTGTGAATCACACCTAACCTGATTTGAAGCAGGTTATGGTCGAGATATGACATCAAGCAGTGAAAATCTCCGCCCACTGACCAATCAGATCTTTTGATCGTGGAGCTCCCGGAGCTGATCGAGAGGACACTTCATGAAGACTGAAAACCCAGGGTTAACCCTGAAGTTACCTCGCTAACTCCAAATCCTGTTTCGTAGTACAGACCCCTGTGTTACCAATCCATAAGAGCAGGCCCCACTTCCTCATTGTGGGGGGCGGTGGGCTAGCCACTCTTAAGTGTTGTTTGATTTTCCACACAACACATAACTCATCATATCTTCATTCAGGCATAATTACCACTACCTACACAACTGATTCACTGATTTCCACATCTCATAATGTTTGTTAAATTGACTTATGAACTGAAGTGTAAATAAGTGCACCATATTTTTGAGATTTCCATTATTTGTCTCTGGCTTTGAGCCGGCCATGACAGGACAAACACATGGTGTGGAGCTCACCCTCTGCTGCAGCGATATGCAGCGCTGTTCGAGAATCATAGTCTTTCAGGTCCATGTCCATGGATGAGAGAGCAAACCTGAAGGAATAAATCAAAGTTCACCATTTATTACCTCTTCAAAAATATGAAATCAAAAAGATGGTCCGCTGCTAATGTACCTTCTCAGAGCAGACACGTCTCCACTGTAGGCTGCAAACATCAAATTGACAACAGACTTGTTCTGCAAATACAGAGAAGCAACATAAAAACAGTGGCAGGAAACATCCCAAACTTTACAAAACACAAAGGACAACAAAAACAAACGTATTAAGCAATAAACAAACCCTCTCCTCTCCATCCTGTTTGCGAGGGTCCTGCTTCTTCACAAAGTGCCTCAAGTTGTCGTAGTTGTGGAAATTGAAGAGCGATACAAGCTCCTGAGGATGATAATATAAAGTATAATTCATAATGAAAGAGAGCAATGGTATATGTCTACATCTGTTTCAAGAGAAGAAAAACTAACATGAGAAAAACCATGTCTTCTTTCAGATCAAGAAGAAAAGGGGCTAATACAAATGCTAAACTTTTAAGTCACTTGGATGTCAAATCTAAAGCAGATTAAAAAAAACTCAGCTCAAGTGATTTTTGTCAACATTTTTTAAATCATATTTTTGCCTAATGACCCAATTTTTTTAAGTTTCTGCTTTTGTTAGGAAGACATTTTCCAACAAGCTTCAATTGATTTGAATAGATTTGAACTAAGCAGGTCACCATTGTAGCTTCATTGCTTCCCTCAGCAACTAATGCTAATATGTTTAAATATGTCAAACAGGTTTGGCGCTATCTGGTGGCAACATAAAAAATGTACCCTTTATCCAAAAGAGTCAAAAATCTTAGGTACCAAAGTAAATATATGCGGCCCTTTGGTCTTGCCTGACAGAAATGTATTCCTCTGACACTGTTTCCGACTCTGTCCAGCGGAGGAGACCAACACATCACTCCCATGACGTTGGGGATCACCAGCAGTATTGCACCGGACACCCCGGATTTAGCCGGCAAGCCCACCTGAGAAAAGATGTGGGATTTGTTTCAGGCCAAAAATGTACAATATTTCTCTCACAGAGAAATCAAACTGAAGACAGTAGACCATAGATCATCCTTTAGAAAATGAGGTTTCTGTTGTGTCAGTGGGGTATTTTTCCTTTCTAGGGTTACTCACATGAAAAGCCATCTGTCCAGAGAAGTCATACATGCCACATGAGTGCATCAGACTCAAGGTATTTCGCACTGCCTCAGCGCTCAGCACACGCTCGCCTGTGATTGGACAGATCCCTCCGTTGGCCAGAGTGGCAGCCATGATGCTCCCTGACTCGCAGGTCACCTCGATGGAGCAAAGCTGAGACAGAAAAGGGATCATCAGCTCATGGTCAAAGCTACTGTAAGGGAACTATTTGTACTTCAGATAAATCAATACCAGTCCACAAGAGAAACACGACAAAAATATGTTAAATGATCCTTCATTCATGGCAGAGCTGTTTACCTGGAAGTAGAAGTCCAGGGCATCGATCATTTCAACACCCGGGGGGAAACACTGAGGATCGAAACATGATCATCAGGACTGATTTGAACACACACTGATTTGCTCAACACATTTGAACACTAAACTCTCAGTTGGAGTCAAATGTGTAAAAATTCAGCTTTACCTCAAGCAGCTTTCCAGCATTTTTCTACTGACCTTCTTCTCTTTCATGTAGTATCCGATGGCAAAGTTTCTGTTGCCGGTTTCTTTTTCTGACTGAAACCTGAGACACAGAGGGAGGAGGGCTCAATATTGGGACATCATCAATAATGCAACATGGCAGTGGACATGCAAGCCAATCGGTCTTATACTGTCTTTCAACTTAGAGGTATTCCAAACAAAGATTTATTATCACAAAAAAACACCTGAAATGTATTGAACAGGACACTCACATGGCATTGCTGAATCCCACAAACTCCTGACCCGCCATCTTTTTCACAAAGTCCATAACCTTAGGAGGAATAAGACAAGATATGTAAATGTGCGCGGTTACTGCAGCAAAGCGCTGATCACTGAGATATGAGTTTAATATGTATGGTCTTACAAAAAGAAGAGGAACTATACTCACATAGTCAAACTTCTCGGCCTTATTTGAAAGAGGCTGGAAACAAAGAGAAAGTTATTTGTGTGATGATATGACAGCTGGAGGGCCCATTCACTTGGTATTTCAGGGGCCCAGCCATTTCTGTGGGCGGGCCTGTCAACATGTATCGATTTAAAGGAAAGATAGGCAGTGAATCATGAACGACAGAGCTCATGAGGAGTTCAGGGAATATCTCATAAAATAGGACAATTTAACAAGAGCGTTGTTAAATTAAACGATTTATCCTGTTCTGTTTTCTGGTCTCACTCCATTAGATAAGTCTCTACATACAATGTGTGTACTCAATATTGCATAAAAATATCAATAACTTGCTGCTGTTGCTTTGTGACATTTCCCCAGGCTTTATCCTGAAGAGCATCATCATATCAACAGAATCATCTTTACAACCTGCAGGCTCTGAACTAGAACACACTGAGCATGACACGGGGCAAATGTGTCAATTATTCATAAATACATACAGAGAGTACAGCAGCAGAGCAGCTTCAAGTGGCAACTGTAAAGTTTCATTTAGCAAAACATCCTCCACAGATTTTTCTGTGAAAGGAGTAAAATCCTGGACCTCGCTACCTGATCACTTGAAGCTTACTGCAAACTTTACCACTTTTAAGAGAGCCCCCAAGTCCTACTTAGTTCAGCAACAGACGTGTACTCATGTTACATTTTTATAGGTATATCACAGCGAAATGTGTGTCTCACTGTATCTCTCTGTACCCAGTCTACTCTCTCTTTTTTAACTGTTTTAATCTTTTATTTACACAAACGCAAACGCTATAAACACGATGATACTTGCATTGGATTGCTGTTTTCAGTTTGTCTATGTACAGTATATTGTATCTGTCCCTATCACAGAAATCATAAAGACAATTCTATCAGTCAAAACTATGCCCAGAAACATTTTAAAAAGTATTCTAGTTTAAAAAAAAAAATTCTGAAATGTACCAAGGAATGTGTCTATTGAAGTCTGAAATGACAAAATAATCAACTTTCATGCAATATAATTCTGGTGCACCAATTTACTGAAGACATTTCAGTACATACACATGGTCATCCAAAATGATTCTATCTGCCTTTCTATTACACAAACTGAATGACTAGTCCTGTTGTTTTGTGCATAAAGAAAAAAATAGCAACATAAAGGAATCACTCGTAAATGTGAAGCAATTGACTTTACTGTACAGTTTGTGCTGAGTCAGCTTTCACACACACACTAGTTCAAACAAGTCCAATAGCTTACCTTGATAAGAGAGCTGATCACTATGGCTCCAGCGTTCACCATGGGGTTGTGGGGCTTATCTGTGAGAAAAGACAACAAGATAAGATGCAAAAGGAAAGCTTTTTGTCGAGGCACTTTGATAACTCGTGAGCACGAACCTAGTTCATTACCTTTATTTATTATTATATTTATAATATATATTATATATATTATATATCTTTTTACTGCATATGTGATCAACTGCTTTTTTTTCTTTTTTTTTTACATTATCTTGTTCAATGTCAAAATGTTTTTAAAAACTGATTTAGTGAAAAATGCTCATTGTTAATTTGCAGAATTCATGGGACACAACCAAAAGCTGAATATTTACACACCTTCATCATCCAGTGAGAGCATGTTGAACTTGAATCCACTGGGCTCCATGCCGACATAGCGATGAACTTGTTCTGTCCCCGCTTCGTGGGCGGCGATGGCGTACTGCAGCGGCTTCACACACGACTGCAGGCAGAACGGCTGCTTGGTGTCGCCCACTGAGTGTCTGCGGGAGATCAGTGAAAACACAAAAAAAAACCTGGATGTTTCCAGTCACACTGAGCAGATTCACTTTGACAACCACACCTGGAAGGGGTTCAAAACAGTCTGGCAACACTAACATGTTCATACTGGCTAATCGGGTGAAACAGTGGCTCAGTTAAAGGCGACTTTTTAAATGTTTTTTTTTTATGAATATGGGAAAGAGTGAGCTAAACAGATGAATCTTCCTTCACCTCAAGTTTAAAAACGCTCATATATTAAATCTCACTCTGCCATAAGCTGGAATCAGGAGGAAAACAAGTTCAGTCTTTATTTTAGAAACTGCAGTTGACAAAGCAACAACACCACAAGGTTGTTAAGTAGCACTTGTCAATAAAATCAGGCAGTCTTCCTCAGCATCAGTCAAATAAAAACAATCTCCGTTTTCAAAGGAAGAAGAATGATAAGTCTGTAAAATTATATGGTTTGATGATTTCATTGTATATGGACTTGAACTTGCATAGAACTTTTCTAGTCTTCTGGCTACTTAAATTTGCCGCCAATGAAGCAGCAGTTTCTTGCCCTAAGACATATCGGTCATCTGGCTGTCAGAGATGGGGATTGAACCCCCAACCTTCTGGTTGAGAGACGACCGACTCTACCAACTGAGCCACATCCGCCCAAATTGTAAAATCACATATTTTAGGAAGACCATGTTTTACAATCAAAAGCTTCACAATAGCTACTGAAAGGCATTCAGTGTGAGATAGTTTTGTCAAGCATCTTAGAATCTGTAAGTCTTACCTCTGGCCGTCCACTGTACACAGAGACACGCCCCACAGTCTTGGGCTAAACTTGGCCAGCTGGGGGATGTAGTCTGCAACCTAAAATTAGACACAGAACCACAGTGACAGAGTTTAATGAGCGTAACATGAGGCAATAAGTGTCACAGACGACGTATGAGTGTAAAATTTCTCTGTATGGTAATCATTTTTTGTTTATCTCAAACACAGCCAGTGTTTAATTTGATGAATGCAAATATCGGTTTGGTAGTATTCATTTACAGAGAGCCATAACATTCTGTAAATACAACTTGTTCTTCATTGTATGTACATAAATATATATGTACCTTCCCATCACTGTGGCTTTGCACAGTGTGGTAGATTTCATTTATTTTCTGTGCAAACACATCAAACTCAGGGATAATGAATTTCTTTCTGAAGGCCTGGATCAGCAGGATGACATTTCCACCAACACACCTGAAGAAAAAAAGAAAAAAAAAAACATAAACAGAGTTGTATGTGTGTGCGCGCCTGTATGTGTGTGTGTGTGTGCATGTGTGTGTGGCTGGTGACAGATGAGAGCAGCAGCTGTCTGCAATCAGTCTGAGCAACAGGCCTTTGCTTTGCTCAACATGACATGGAATAAATCTGACACGTCCTGTCAAATGCCACACAACACTCACGACATAACCTCAAGGAATTGCATAATGTAATGCAACCTTTAAGTCAATCAGATTTTAACATTCACAAACAATTGTATTTAACCTTTGAATGTGAATATGTTGGCTGTTTAAGCCTCCTGTAGTCCCGGAGTCTACAAGTTACCACGCTGTACCTAAAATCATAAATGCCTCAAAATTAGTCATGTTAAGTCGGTTGTTAAGAACAAAGGGAGAGAGGGAGACGTAGAGACAAGCAGCCGTCCACTTACAACAAATCCTGCATTAAAATGGATTCTTGTTGGAAGGTCAGACTAAAAATAGTTTGGTCTCATGCCTGCACGTGTTGGTAAATGGAAAACAAACAGCATGAGAACGTCAGCGTTGAGATACAAGTCTGTTATGACACAGGCAACAAAATAAGACCTGAAAAAAACAAAACATTGTTATATTTTCTGTCTATGTTCAGTTCATGATTGTCTGGAACACTTCTCAACTCAACTTAATGTATACAGCACCTTTAATACATAAAAGCCTGCAGCCCAAAGTGCTGTTGCTTATTAAAAGTGCCTGAAAGTTTCCTGTCTCTGTCTGAGTTGCTGATCTGCTGTATTGGCATACTTGCACAAAGTAAGGCTTTAGAGAAGGTGAAAAAAAGGAAAATCACAGTCACATCAGTAGGTCGGATTTTACAGCTTTACACTGTCATCAAAGCGGCAGTTCAAAACACTGGTGTATCCATCATCAATGGATTGATACCAAGTTGCAGTTCCAAATAAATTGGGACAATTAGTTAAGTAATCACTGTCTTTGTCCTCCATAAAGAGCCCCCAAGGATGGCCTACCAGTGGAGAAAAATGTGATGTCCTTCAGGAAACTCTCCAAGTGGAGAGAAAATGATCAATGCACTCTAGGAGTAACTTTTTAATTGCGAAAACGTAATAATGTGCCTTACATGTTCCTCTCTTAGTGAATAAAATATGCTAAATTGCCCTCTGGGATGGCCTTTGATATGTGATCAACTTTACTCCAGGTGTGTTTAACTCCATGTTAATAACTAGATAAAATGCTAGGTTGCAAATCAGTAGGAGAAAACCTCATTGCATTTCCCTTAACACAATGGGATGCCCTTCAGAAGACAATTCCAGCAGTAAACACTTGATCAGAATGTCTCTCCAGGGCTAAAAGTACAGTAAAGGCTGCCCATGCCAGGAGATGTTCTGCGAGCTGATGTCCCAACACATACAACTGGTGCCAATTTTCCATTTTTCCCTCCCTCCTCTCAGACAGTCGACCACTACTTCAATTACATATTAGTTCTGAATCCAACAGTGAACAAGTGTTTACAGCTTTTATGAATCACAGTGTGAAGCTTATAATGTGTTGTATGGGGTCAAACTACTCCTTCAAATCTGCCTGTTCATACTTCAAGTCTACAACTGTCAGCGTTGGTTGTTATCAGTTGATTATTTATGGAGCGGCTCACCTGTGGAAAAGGTCTCTGTCCATCATCACCTCACCATCTGATTCATTCACAGCCTTTTGAAGCTTCTCCATGCAGTCCTTTAGACGAGGGTCAGATGGGTGAAGGCCAGTTCTCTTCAGGGCCTACAGACAACAAACTAATTCATCATTACACTGAATGGCTATTAAGACTACGAGGACAGCTGTAGATAAAATGTGGTTGGCGGGCGTTTCTTAAGCTACTTACTGATGTAAAGTATGACAGAGGCACTTGATCTTTTCCCTCTGTGATTGTGTAGAAGAGCATGTCCTCCACTCCAGAGCTGGGGGGCTTTGAGTTTACATTCCTGATAAAGTGAAGAATAAGCAGACCTTCTGAATTTTCTTTCTCACATATGGGTATGTATTACATGGATAAAATGATACCTTCCCATTCAATTGAAACTTATTTATATAAAAAAAAAAAACAGTTGTTATCATGTAAAGTAGGCTATCTTTAAGTTAGCCTAACTGATATAAGACAGATAACAATAACACAACAGTTACCTTACATATAATAAGATAAGATAACATTTACTGTACAGACGCCACACACAAAAAACAATGCACTCATTTTTTGTGTTAAGGTTTTGAGTTCTGATTCTCTTGGTAAAATCCAAGCATCTAAGCAAATTGTATAGCTCTCTTTAATGTTTTGTTTGCTGCAGATCAAACTATTTCAATGATTTGGCAATAAGACTTTAAAGATCTTTCGACAGGAAATGTATCGGCAGCTATTTGGAGAATATTTTCATTCAGTCCTTGTCAAAATATTTATTAATCTATTATTTATTTATTTAAAGACTTTTTTTTTCCAACCATAAGGAGCATTTTAAGTGCTAGTCTAGTACTTTATTACTCTAGGCTGCATTTCCATTATTTTCCCTATTAAGTAAGAATTTCAATGCAGGACTTTCCCTTTTATGATGTGAGTAGGCTATTCTTAGAGTGTGGTCATATTACTTTAAAAGAGCAAATGAATACTTTCCCCATTACTACAAGTGTCTAAAGTCTAATATACTGTAGCCTTCGTGACAATAGGAATAGATTGCGTCTGTATCACAGCAGCATCAAGCTGTTGACACTCAGCTTATCAGACTCACATTTTGACAGGGACATGATCCAGGTGCGTCGCAGCTCGTTGCTGGGACGACGACGTTGACTTCGTGCAGTGACAACATGCCGGCTGGATGATGAAAACTTTCTTCAGAGCGTCTGTGTTTTTGACGAAGAGGTGCGCAGAGGTCGACAGCCGCAGAGCTTTAAAACAGTGCATGGTTGCTACAAAAATACAGCCCAGAAGAAAGTGTGACTGAGGTCGAGGAGTACAGTAGATCTCACCAGCAGTCGGTAGGCCTATTTTACAACTGTTTACCGGTCGCTCCTGTGGGGCCACTTGCTTTGGAGTTTTGATGCCTTCAGGTGCAGTGGGGAATTTTGCACTTTCAACTTACAGTGGCCTGTCTTTCAACCCCGTCAAATTAAACTGAAAAGACGTGCCTTGTTTTAATCAGTGACTGAAGATGAAGGCTTGACTCATCTCATAGTCTACTTAAGTAAATAAAAAGAAGAATAAAAGTCAAAATACAGAATAAGTTTTAGCGTAAAAAATAGATGTTACTTCATGTACCAAAAGAGGGCAATGGACAATAAATTACGATGTAAACAAAACACCAGAACAACTTATTTACATTTAAATATATAGTCTATTTATGATACTAATCATCTGCAACATCACTAGTCCCTAATGGTATCATTAAATGGTACTGGTATAACAATTAATAGTGCAGATGAATTTAATAAAAAACAAGTGCACCTACCTTAAAATGTTTTTCAAGTAGGCTACATAAAGGTCTTACTACTTTAAATTATTATTATTAAATTTTTGAAAAGCATATTGAGAACATTAACACTAAAATATGAATAAAGTATATCATTGCTGTAAGCCGTGCACACGTGCGCCATATGCTGTCCCTGTTGAAGACATAATACAATATTACGAGGAGCACTTGAAAGCAGCAGGGGGTTTGTACTATAAATAAGTCACTGCTTGCACACCACCTCCGGGGGTAACCATAGACTGTAAATATTGGTGGTAACTTCATTGACTGACAGATACATTAGCCAATAAGAGGCCAGGAGTGTGTTTTGAGAGCGAAGGCCTGCCACGAGGACTGAGTGGGTGTGACTCAATATTGATACATAAATCTTTGATAACTTAGAATTCATTATCATTATGAATGAAACTGTCCAAGGGCATCCTAGTGGTGAGAAAACTCACTATTATTATATTATTTAAAAAATATGTTGCTGCCTTTTCACTTTCAGGCCTTATTTACTGAACTGATGGCTTATACGAACTGTTGACAAAAGGCTCTTAGTCTAATCTAAGTAAAGTGAATTCAATGTGAGATAACTTTGAACTTTTTAAAAATGTTTTAACAAACATTTAAAAAACTCTAATCGGAAATGATTGTATACTGTCTGTTCAGTTTGGAGGTTCATTTTATATATTACACATTTCCCTTTTTGTTATTGACATATGTGGAAATATAATTAGAATAATGCATAGGCGTGAATGACTTTCTCGTGTGAAGTAATAACACCACCTAGTAGGATTTTCAACTTGTGAATTTCAAATTTAAATCATTTAAAAAGCCAACATGTTTCGACCATAGAGGTCTACCTCAGAGCTGACAAACCTTTGTCTTATGGCCTCCCCTTTGTTAACTACAGCTAATGGTAGGCAGTCTCATGAATCAAAGAAAGAGAGGACAGGTGGAGTCTTCAACAAGGCTTATCAATTAACAATTAGGCCTCAACCAATCAACTACAGCCAATAAGAACCAGTCACATGAACCAGAGAAAGACAAGACAGGTGAAGCAAGCTGAGTCAGTCAGCCCCCCCCCCCCCCCCCCGATTGTGTTATAGTTTCTGACTAAGATATTGTGATGACATTTCAGAATACTCCATACTGTAGTACTGTACGGTGAATTTGGGAATTTTTAATTCATCAAAAGTCTACAAATAACAATGGCGCATCTCTTTATAAAAAAAACTGAAACTACTTACCTGTAAAGGTATTTAATCGATGCATCTTTGTTCTCATTGAACCAAGCTGTTTTGAAACCATCGTGCTGTGACTGCCTTGCTGTAACCCATGGCATTTTTTTCATGGCCGAGCTTTCACCAATTTTTTTTGTATTGTCTTTAACATTAAGTTGATCATGGAATTCTGTAAAACACTCCTGCTTGATAGTAAACTTCTGTTTATTCAGCCTCTGGTGGTTAGCAGCCTCCATATCGAGAAACATAAATAACAGCATCAACAGGCACAGCAGAGCGTTAACAAACAAACAAACATAAAATATACAATTAAGCAATGCAGTTTCATTATTTTCTTCCATATTTTCCAACTGTTTCAAGCAGACATCAGAAAGTGATTTTTTCACATGGCAGATTGTGCACATATAAAAATAGAAAATAAAATGCATCATCTGATCACTGCATGGCCAGTGTAGATAAGGAATATGGGCATATTGAAAGGCAAAAAAAAATCCTTTGAGCCAACACCAAGTACTGCATCAGACTGACATAAAAAGACTCATAACTTTGAAGACAGTGTGAGTTACACGCTCTTTAAAGGACGAGGCAGAACCAGCCTCAGCCCGATATCAACCACACATGAAGGCATGTAAGACAGCGGGATCCAGAGCAGCTTGGCGTCCCAGCCGGCGCTGTATCTGGTGCGAGGGTATGCAGAGGTCAGAGCGTGCTCCATGCAGTTGGTCACCTTGCTGAGGTCGGTGTCGCAGATAGCGTTCATGATCAAACGCTGGACCTTGATGTCTGAGAATGACAGTTCAACAAAAAGGAACTCAAAACATACATTTATTTTTACCTCATGTTCTAGGATAAACTGCATGCTAAATGATATTCATGGTCTTTGATAGTCACAAACAACCTTCATTTTGACACGGTCTTGCAACCTTAATAGTATGGGATTCCTAATGTACTTATTCTTTAAGAACACTATCTATTGTGAGACAGGATTTTGATAGATATTGATCTGATGCCTTTGTATGCAGACTAGCTTTTCGTCAGTAAATGCATTGTTGTTGTTTTTTAAATCTGGAACTATAAATAATGTTTCTTCTTGAGGGGCGGCTGTGGCTCAGCGGTAGTATCGGTTGTTTAGAGGTTCCATCCCTGGATTGTGCAGTCACATGACAGAGTGTCCTTGTTCAAGACACTGAACCCCATCAGTGTGTGAATGTCAGAAGACTAGAAGACTAGAAAAGAGCTATGCAAGCTCTAGTACATTTACCATTTTACAATGAACCAATCCTGAACAATTGCTTTTATTTTACAAGCACACAAGCCCATTGCATAGTGAAGTTTCATCTGTACTAAAATGTTTCCTGATTGAAAAAAATGTTTTAACCGTTTCTTTGGCTTCTCTGGGAAAAGAGATTGTGAAAGTGATCCAAATCAGACAAGAAAACAGAATCTTTAAGTCACATTTCAAGTAAACAAGAGAAATTATGCTCAGTTCAAATATAGATTCTACTCACATTTATCCAGGTACTTGTCTCCATAGCTGGCTTGCACCTCAGGGCTGAGCTGGTTCCAGAGGCGATGCAGCTCCCGCTCAAGGGGATCCAGGCTCGTCACCGCTGTCTTGAAAAACCCTGGCTCAATGATGCACACGTTGATTCCAAAGTAGTTTATATCTCTCCTGGAAACATAAATTCGATGTAGTGTGACACCTATATTATTTTTTTAAATCAACAATGGAGCTTAAAACACATGTATTACCAGTTTTCCTACCATCTAAATGTTGCTGGTAGGATTTTCCCCCAGTTCAACAAAAAGAGATATTACTCAGGTGCTTGCGTCCCTGTGCTCCCTTCCTGTCCATTTTTGCATTGGTTGAAAAATAGTATTGTTGCCTGTAATGTAACTTTTAGTGTAGTGTAACCTTTTCTGACTTAAACTTCACACAAGGCTCAAGGCAAACCAACCAACCATATAATCACTGATGTAAACCTCTCTGTATGGAACCTTCCAGATGAGATTGAATGGAATTTAGTTTTGTAATATGCCCTTTTTATGTGATATGTGATATGCTCTCTGTGGGGTTCGTGTTGTTTTTGGGTTATTAGTTTTACTGCTTTTAATTTTTTGTATTGCAAAAATTGTAAAATTCCAACCCAGGGACCAGGGACAATTAGCCATACAGCTAACTCTGACCCAACAGTTGTGTTGTACTTGGCCTCTGTCAAATAAACTAATGAAGTACATCAAAGATCAAGTAACTACCTATAAGACTTGCGTCCTTCTAAGGTGGGATGGTAAAGGTTTACTGTTTGTTCCAAAACCCAACTGTTCAGTCTTATGGGGATTTAGCAACTCTGGCTCCCAAACTCTGCGCCACCCTACCTGCTGAAATCTGATTCATGAGATTTTATGCATGCTCTTAAATCTTTTCTTCAAACATTCTAAAAGCTTCTATGTTTGTGTGACTATTTTTAGAATCATTTTAAAGGGATGGCCAAAGTAATAAAGGCTAGCATTATTAAATAATGCGATGTTGAAGACTCTGTGTAAGTCTTACCTAAGGCAGTCAGAGAAAGACTCCACTGCAAACTTAGAGATGCAGTATCCGCCCCCGTTTGCAGCCACCCTCCCAAGCACTGAGGCCACATTCACAATACGTCCGCGAGCCTTTTTGATGAGCGGCAGGAAGATCATCGTCATGGCAATCACTCCGTTCATGTTGACTTTCAGTGTGCTGTGGAAATCCTCCACTTTCATCCACTCTGAAGGGCCCATGGGTAATGCACGTCCAGCATTGTTCACAATACCCCAAAGTCCTAAAAGGAAATAAAGACAAAGGGTGGAAGAACATTTTTGTTGTTAGAGAATTTCCTTGTTAAATAAGAGATTAAATAATCAAACGTAATCATCTCTCACCCTTTTCGCCGACCTCCTTCTTGGTCCACTCCATGGCTTTCTCGATGCTGTCCTGATTGGTCACATCCAGCAGAACGGTCTTTAAATGAGGCCCCGCCACCCTCTTCAGGTCATCAGCTCCCTTTTCTGTGAGGCAGCCGGCAAGCACTTTGAAACCTTTGCGATCCAGCTTCTTACAAAGCAGATTTCCAAACCCGGAGTCGCAGCCGGTTACAAAGACGTACTTTTCAGAGATTTTGTCGATCTCAATGCTGTCTCTGTAGAGCCAAATGACAATCCACAACACCACGAAGGTACCACTGATGTACAACCAGGCATTTTCCCTAAAAAGAGAACAGACAGGAACATTTGGAGATTAAATGGTGAGATTACAGCAGACAAATCATTCACAAAAAATGTGGTGGGGCGTATGAATTTCTTACCCTAAAAGGTCGTAGACAACCTGCATATCCATGCTGCTTCGAGGATTAGAGTTTGGTTTTGATCACCTGGAGGACTTGATGAAAAAACTCCACAATGAGGGTCTGTGAGAAGATCCTACATTAGAAAACTAATGTGTTTCGGGATTGGAAAGTAGAGTAGAAATACTGTACACAGACTTATTTCAGGAATCCTGATAAGCAAAGCCCTTCTCAATTTAAAAAAAATAGTTTTCCCTGAGTCATTGTCCTCTGTCAGCAATGGGACACAATGAGTTTGTTCGTGAAGGACCTGGAACAGAGGTGGCTGTATTACAACACTGCTGAGGGCACATGAGAAATCTTTGGATAATACTCTTATGGAAGAAAGAACGGCATCTGACCCCCAAGGGAGGGAGGGGTGCATTGTGCATAAATTTAATGCCTGTGACTGAGCTGCTTAAGCTGCTCATTGCTCAAAACCAATTAGTTTTCCAGCTTATTAGGGAGAGAAAACAAAAAGGAAAGATACAAAGGATAATAATAACATCCATGATATTAAATTGCTTGCAGACTTCAGTCAGATACAGCACCCTTACTTATGCTGCTGGGATGAGAACATTAAGACTGAAAGATCCTGTAGAATTACAACTCAGGTCAAGATAATTTAATTTAGTTTCAAAGCACTATTCTGCTAAATTCTGAAGGAAAACATCAGAATAATTGAAATATTCAATAAATAGTCCAAATAATTTAATAAGGTACAGAATATCAAACTAAGTTTTTACCCATATTTATTCTAGGGCTGTCAGCATTAACTAGTTAATTAATGCATTAATTTTCCTTAAAACACAATCAGTTGCATGCTTTTTTGTCCGTTTAGGCGCACCGTGGATAAGCCTGCAGTTTCTCCCTGTAGTCACAGTGATGGAAAAGAACTACACTGCTGCAAGTCACATTTCACTTTAAAAAACTCTTAGACAGCTCAGCTGAAGAGTCCCCCCCCAAGAGCTGAATGTCCCCCTTATGACATCAAACACTTTTTTACTGTTCCTATGAGCTGTTTTACTTTAGTTATAGATCCGTAACCAGTTCCTCTTCCTGTGGTTAAGTTAATGTCATAACCTTCCATCTACTAGTGGGTCCTTACTTAATTTCAAAATAAAAGCAGGGTTGAGTTTAAACAGAAAGTAAAGTACTCTCAGACAGTACAAAAATTCAAAATAAAAGCCTCACAATTTTTATTTTTTAATGCAAAATTATAGAGCTTCAAACATGCAATTTAAAATGTGATTAATTGCAATCAACAATAAAAAATTTGTGATTAATCGCAATTTAACATTTTAATTGTTGACAGCCCTAATTTATACTAACTCTTTAATGAATTAAATTGCCCACAGATGTATTTGAAACAGAAAAGTAGACCAACACAAGTATAACAAGGTAAATCAGTTAGAAAGACAATCAAACATGCATGAAAGACAGAGTATTTAAACATAAATGAATAGGTATGGAGATCTTAACTCAAAGAAAAATTCATCCTACCTTTTCCTCTTTTTTTTTTCTTATAGAAGTGATCAATCTCCAGAAGTTTTTGGTCCTCTTCCCTTTCCCTCTCTAGTTATTCCTCTGTGTTAACTCAGAGGGAATGGTCAGAGAGAGGCTTTATCCCTGCAGTTTATCCCTTAAGACAAGTCGGCAATTGGTAATCCCCAATCCGTAACCACTTGTTTTTTTAAACATGTGTATGCGTTTGAGAAGTGAAAAGAGGTGGGAATTATGAACAGAAAAAAAACAGAGAATTTTCTGTACACAATGTCAGCTTAGATTTCAAAGAGCTATTTTTAGAAACTCCAAATTCTCACGTGTTATATACTTTCATATTACATCAGGGTCTTTAATTATTGGACTAGAAACTTCGTCCATTCATTTTCAGAACCTGGTGGTTCCCAGAGTGAACAGGCATAATACATGCTTTATGTTGTAAGACTGTTAAAAAAGTAACCTCACATGTTGAGGCTTTGTTCCAGTACTTATAAAACGTATGTGAATGTATGTAATCTCAAAGGCTCAGGCAGTTTACTTACTTATATTAGCTCTCAAAGCATTAACACTATATACAGTATACGGTATGCTATACAACAGCATACTATGCACCTGTATGTATATACTGCTGTTCCATTTCTTTATAATAGTCTGCTCATACTGCAGTCATGTTGACAGTAAACAAGAAGCGACACTTCCACAATTTCCCAGTTTGGGATAAATAAAGTAATTCTATTCTATTCCCTTTATTGTGGCTCATCCATGTTTTACTACAACAAAAGGGAACATATTTTGTATCAACATGACTTGCTCCACAGTTAACTTTATTGTATTTGAACGATCTCAATCCTGTCAAAAGATTGTACTGATTGATTGATAGATATATTTATCTCCAGTGATATTATGAGGCTCGAGAACGACGAAGTAAACAGAGCATACTCCTATATCCACTATATTTGAGGTGCACATGGAAGGATCAGGTGTGTCATTGATTTTTACTTCCTAATAGTGCACAGTGAATTGGCCGCGTAATTGGTTACCAAATACACGTTCCTTCACATGAGAGACCTCAGTAGCCTCGTGCAACGTGACATAACTTCCCCTCACGTCACACATTCTCTGAATCGTCCAATTACTTCAGCCGAGCAAATATTTATCCAGTTGCGGTATTTAGTAGCTTTGTTGCAAAATTGTATCCCCTAATTAAGACCTGTAGAGGTCCAACTGTATAAGTCAGGGCACTCATTAACCAGATGCAAATCATGAGCAAGATATAGTCTAGAAATAAAGTTTTGTATGAGAAGTGCAGTTCTTCAAGTCAGGACTCTGAGTTTATGTGGTTAAGTTTAGCATTTAATTTATGCCTTGAGAAACTATTTTTCTTTTAAATTACATGTCCTTGATATTCTTCTTAATTTATTTAGTAAATCTTCTGTAGTGAGCCTTTATGTATTACATATTTACATTTTATAAAAACAAATAAGTCACAGATTTAATATTTTTTGACCCTATCTCATCAGAAAAAAATAAAACACTTGTGATTTTTCCACACTTTATTTTAAATCATGTTCCAACACGTAACTTAAGGTCAACCAAATGTAAAGTGAAATTGTCTTACAAAAACAGTTCAGTCCCCACTCTACATATAACATAATATATAAACATAGACATATCAGGTACCAAGTGAGTAGAAGAAGTCTTTGTCTTCGGCCCCTTAAGCCTACAACAAGCATGTGAGCTAGGTTTTACATGTGATGTCTTCAGATATAAACGGCACCAGACTTCAGACATGTCTCTGAATAAAAGTAACCTTCAGCATTCGCCCAATCAAGAAGGTATACAGACAAACAAAATCAACAGGATTTCAGGTTTTTTTCCAGTGTGTTTTCCTGTCTGCATCCCACCGTGTAGTTTATGAGGCTGCTGTCTGAAGTTGACCCTTGTGTACATACTCCAGAGCTGTGGCGATGGTCCTCATGTCCATCTCGATACTGCGGGCCCAGTTCTCCACATCGCCGATTTCCTTTCAAAATAGAGTACCAGAAACAGAATTAAACCAACTCTGTGTACTTCTACAAATGTGACCTGTCATCAGGACCAGCAAGTTTTTACTACTTTAAGGTATTCTTTCACCCTGGTTCTCCCTGTGAAGATGACATACGATGGATAATAGTAGAGGGACAGGAGGCTCTTTATGAATTTTACCACCTGTCAAATCTGCTCAGATCCTGGACCTGTGTCATTGCCCTTTAATAAAACTAATGTGATTACTAGTATATCTGATAGGTCCAGATTCCATTTTGATGGTTAAGGAGTCATTCCAATGATAAAACATTTTAAGATACAATTTGTAAATTAGGACTATAAAAACAGCAAATGAGATGTAAGAGGGTTAGTGCTAAACTCAATCATAAACACATGACATTCAATTTGCTTAAATGTTGGCAAGTGCGGCTATGAGGTCTACAATAACATGGATCTCATATTTATTATAAAATCAGACTTTCCACATCACAATACAGACATATTAAAGAGCCTGTGAGGAGGTTTTAGATGATAATGAAACAGACATAATTTAATATTGACGCCTCATCATGAGCTTAAAAAGCTAACGAGATCATCAGCATAAATAAGGATCAACTCTGAATTGCTATTATAAATGCCTGAAATCACTGCAGGGGGGTAGGTGTTAGATAAAGTGGTTCACAGAAAGCTAGAGCTTTTTTAATTTGAATATTTTTCTCATCAGAGATTCTTGATGAGGGACAAATTTGACTGTTAAAAGAACGCAGGATGAGATTTTTTTAGTTAACCCTACCAACACATGTAGAGGACAAAATCAGCAAAGAAACTAGATTAATTCATTTGTGCACAGGGGGCATCAAAACAGACACAAACAGAAAGTTACCCACAATAGCTTTAATCATAATAATAATAATAATAATAAAAATAAAGGATGAAATTATAAAGTGCTTTCAATCAAAGTGCTGTAAACATATATTTTAAGTATAAAAAATGACTGACTAAAAATCTAGAATAGAAACTATATAAAAACATTTAAAAACACACCCAACACTCTGACAGGACATGTTAAAACAACCACAGGACTCATACAAAAGAGGAAACAAGTGGGTCTTTGCTTAATAAAACCTCAACATCACATGCTTGTCTAATGTCTAGAGGTAGACTGTTCCATTATGTCGGTGCCCTGAATGAAAGGGACACTCAAAAGACCCCTAGGAGCCCAGTGCCTGTGCAGGTATATATGGGTTCATCATGTCAGTCCAGTACAACGGTGAACTGCCATTAACTATTCTAATAGTTAGCAGACAGTCTGCTCTAAGGTGACAAGGTAGCCAATGAGGAGAGGCCGTCACCAGAGTATTATGCTCACATTTACATGACCCGGTCAAAACATCAGGTTCTGCATTCTGTACCGTCTGCAGACCTTGAAAACTCTTCTTTGGCAAACCTGACAGATGGACATTACAATAATCCAATCTAGATGACACAAAGGCAAAGATAAGTTCATCAGTGTCCTTAAATGACAGGATTGTCCTAATCCGTGAAATGTTTCTAAGGTAAAATAAGGCGACTCGTGTCACCTCCCGTCACATGTGAACCAAACGAAAAGCACAACACGATGTCACAGCAATAATGGGATAAGTTGCAAGAAGCTTAATGACAACCAGCCCCCAACAGCAGCTGAACAGGCCCCTTGGCTAACTCACTTCCTTAGCTTTTTGATTTGACAGCTGTAGGCTCAAAACATATTACCAAGTGAACATCACATATAAGCCAAATACAGGACAAAAAGCCCCTTTTAAGGATTTGTATGTTGGATATACATTGTATCTTACCTTTAGGGCCTGATTGAAACCCTCCACCATACTGATCCACTGTGCAGTTTGTTTGGAGAATTGGCTCGCCTGCACTTGGAGAGTCTTCACCTCATGGTCCAGTTTACGCTGATTTACATACGCCTGGGCAACTCTAAACATAAGGGACAAACAATTAAAAGCAGTTATACAGTTACCCCATTAAATGAAAACAGAGTATTATGTATTGATGTCAACTCATGCATGATAGAATAGTTTTTTTATGTCCCAGTTTGAGTCCTACATTTCTCTGAAACATACTTTTGTGTAATATATTCACATTATGCAAGACATTTTTTTTGCATCCTATTTTTGTTCTTATAGCTGATTGTTTTGGTTTTTATCACAGCATTCACTGAGTTTATATTGCGTATTTCGAGTTTTGAAAGTCCTGTTAGACAATGTGCTGTTTTAGCCCTGCCATGAATGGACTTATTTGTTTGTAGGCTTGAAATAAACGTTGGTGGGAAACCCGGATGTGTTAGCTTACATCTCCAGCCTGTAAGGAAACACAGTAACTAAGGAATCTAAACACTTCCTGCAGTGTAGTGTTTATCTGACAATGACCTGATGGAATATGTTTCTAATGCAGAAACATAATTTGTACATAGGCCTTGTAGCAGAAGATGGATTATGGTAAAAATAATTTTCCATAAACTCTGCAAAATGTCACATTACCTATTATCATAGACAATACTTTAATCACAAAATACTTGATGACTGACTCGTAAAATGTCTGAAAAAATACTTAACATTTTTGACACCTGTAGCTTAAGATAACAGGCCATTTGATGGATCACAATTTGTCTGAGGTCTTGTCATCTCAAGCTTTAAATACTCAAAAAGATTTCCGTTCTGTTTTCTGATGTTTTAAACACCATTTTATAAATCAGGAAATAATTTGTAGATTCATCAATAGTCAATATATTCATTATTTGCAGGCCTTAATCACCACGGATAAAAGCTACTTGTATGATTCGTCTCTCAGCTGGTGTACGGCTACACTGAAACTAAATGAGTAAACTTGTGAGTCAGTCATTTTAGATTTGAGAGGAAAAGTTTGAAGGATTCTGATGTGAGTGTCTTCAACTCGCACATAGCTTTCTAATTGAGGATACCCCGATGTCTATCAATCAATCAAACTTTACTTATACAGCACCTTTCAGACAAATTAAATTGCAGTTCAAAGTGCTAAACAGGAGTGCAGAAAAGTTATTGACAAAAACGTAGTTTATAAAATCATTGAGAGACTAATGCACACCAATAAGAATTAAAAAATATGTATAAAAAAAGAAAAAAATTAAAAGCATAAAAGCAACAAGATATTAGAATAAACACATAAGAGAAAAATATTTAAAATTGTAGTAGGATAAAAAAAAAAAAAGACAATTCAGTAATGTTAAGATTTGAATTGATATAAAGCAGTATATAAAAGCAGAATATGTGTACCCAACATTGAGGTGGTCGACCAGGGCTTCTGTCAGGCAGGTAGCTGCTGTAATAGCTTCACGCCTGCGTCTCTCTGTGAACATAAATAAAACACATCGACACCGTAGACTTAAACATTTTGGCACAGATAAAGAAAAATCACCAAATTGATATGAAAAAGCGAGGCCAAAACAACATTCTCATCCAGCTTTGTTTTTAGCATCTGTTAGCACGTAAGCTAAGCAGGCAGGTCTCTCTCACCCTGCTGCTCCTTCCGGTCACTCTGCTTCGCCTGGTGCTCCTTCAGTAGACGAGACAACATCTTAGGTGGCCTATGAGGTTTTATTCACACGCAAATAAACCTTTTTGTTGAAGCTATCTCAACAACATGGCTATTATCCGCGAGGCAGTCGGAGAAGCGAACAGGTGACTAGTGTGTCACGAGACCGAGCTCGAGAGCGAACAGGAGTGGGCGTGTCCAAAATGGCGATTCTTCATTTATCATCAGTTTAACATTTTAATGACAGCGTTGTGAATGAACACAAAGTGGGATACTCTGGTCAGCTTGTGGGGTGCGTGGTTCACACACTGCTTAAAGACACCGGAGTGCAGCTTTTTATTAGATCATTAATTTGGGATATTTGTTTAATGGTGATGTCAGTGTCAATTTCAACGTATTTCCGTCTGAGCCTTCAAAATAAAAGCCGATACTGTCACCACCACGTCTGTTGAATTACATCTCCATCACATTAATTTTGATTATGCCATGGGTAAAATTATGATATGTCATTAAAACAAGGATTTTGCGTCTCTTTTGGACATTTCTTTAAATAAAAAAGATCAAACTGAACAGAAAGTATTCTTATATGTCTCCTCTGTGTGATAGATGTCAAACAACAGCTGGCAGACTGACACACCTTTTATGGCTCTATCCTGCTTTGCACGATTTCTGATTAAAGATATCTGACATGTTTTCTTGAGTCCTCAGGAAAGTCTCTGAACCTGACCTTTAATTTGCATCTTTTTGCTCTAAAAGAATAAACCAGCCCTCCCTGCTTTCAGAAATGGCTCAATGAAGGTTTCTTATAGCCCAAATGGATTGGATATGGTTTCTGATGTCTGAATTGAACACTACATGTTTGAAGGACTCTGGTTCATTTTTGGACTATTTGAAAGAAAAGACAACTGCAAAGGTTTAATGTGTCTGAGATATTGACATAATTTGTGATGTCTGGCAGTTTAGATTTTTGGTCTATTTTCAAACTTTTATTCTTTTTTTTTTCTTCCAATCTTTTGTGCATGCCTGTTTGTTTTAATGTTAATTAACTTCTTTGTTTAGCCTTCTCTTTCAAAATCTTGAAAAACTTACTCAGCATGAACAGATACTATTTATATATATGAACATGTTTTTCTTATCTTAAAAAAAAAGGTAGTAGATTATATGTTTATGTACATTTCTTGTATAAGTCTATTTTTTAATTGCACAGTTTAAGTTTGTTTCATCTAGGGGTTTCGGGCTATCTACCTACCTATCTATCTATCTACCTACCTATCTATCTACCTACCTACCTACCTACCTATCTACCTACTACCTACCTACCTATCTATCTACCTACCTACCTATCTACCTACCTACCTACCTACCTATCTATCTACCTACCTACCTACCTACCTACCTACCTACTTACCTACCTACCTATCTATCTACCTACCTACCTACCTACCTATCTACCTACTTACCTACCTACCTACCTATCTATCTATCTATCTACCTAACTACCTACCTACCTATCTATCTATCCTACCTACCTACCTACCCATCCATCATATCTATCTATCTATCTATCTATAGTTCAGGATTTTCTCTCACACTAATACAAGTAAGGAACTTGGATTGTGCAGAGAATAATGCCATATTATGTAATTCTTCTACTTGTGTTTTATTAGAGCCCCATCATTTGATTTATCTTATCTGGTTATAGAGTAGGTCTATATACGTTTAGTGCAAAATTGATTACTCAAGATTGAAGGGTTTGTTGTCTTCCTTATTTTATTCTGAAAACCTTTACCGGAAACGCTGGTCTCGTTCTGGCTAGCGGAACACGGGTCTGTTTCTGATGGCTTGCATCTACCTGTCAACAACATAGGAATATCCGAAACTGAAGTCTGTGTTGCCCTTTTGTCGTGTGCCACTGTCAGGTAAGGACACGTAGTGGTTTCCTCAGTTATATCGTCCGGTTGATCCCGCTGAACGACTGAAGCTGGTCGAGTTAGCCGGGCTGTGTTAGCATCACCAGCGATAGTTAATGCATGGTTAGCTAATCCCACGGTGTTACATTACGTAGGCGAGTAAAGTTGCCCCTGGCAGTGGTAACTTCTCACCTTGTTTTAGTAATTCCCATCAGCAATTACACACCAGGCATTATTACATCAGAGTATTGTCACATTGAAAACCCTTTCTCTACGTGAGGCTGGTGTTGGAAGTTGTCAACAGATGCTGGCTAACCTTCATGCTAACAAGTACAGGTAAAGCTGTGAAGCTAACTTTGAGCCACACTTTAGCTGCCTTCATGTTTTAGTTGACAGACAACACGTCGCCTCTTTAGGTTAACTCACATCCGCCAGTAACAAAGAGTAGACACGCATCTCCCCTGTCTATAACTATCATCCTGCCTCGCCATAGGATAGATTAGCAAAGTAGGTTTAGAGATACTTAACTTGGCAAAGTTGAGGATGGGATTTCCTCTTATGAAAGCTGGCACCTTGAAATAGCTAAGGTTAAATTAAGCCACTTGGTAATACGCGTTGTATGCAGTTCTCTGCCCACCTTCTCTGTATGAAATCAACTTTAGTGCATCACTACAGTGGATAAGATAAGATAAGATATACTTTATTCATCCCAGCAGGGAAATGTAGGTGTTCCAGCAGCCAGCATACATACAAACACACAACACAACACATACATGCATATCCCACCCATACAAAAAAAACATGAGCCCACAATACAGTTTGATATATGATATATGCAACTCAGGCTAAAGTTTAAATGTCTTCTTGTCAAAAGTTATTTCTGTACAACACTTTGTTAGACTCCATCAGGCAACACAATGCACATTATGTGAATCTAAAATCTAATTTAATGCATACAAGTAAATCAATACCATTGAGGAATGTTCCCTGAAATATCAAGCCTTTTGCTCAAGAGTCTGAAATACAAGGATGCATGTTAGAGTTAACATGACAACAATTGTTTTTATTTTGGTATATCCTGATACCTGGAACCCTCATGCATAGAGAGCCTCCTCAATCCATATGTGTACTTATGTGCAAAGCAAAGTTTTATTTGCCAGTGACTGAAGCAACCTAATAGCCTAATCACTTTGTAAGTAGGTTAATTGAATAGAGTGTCCTCTGTTTACATCTGACGTCACTGGTTGCAGGTCCTTCAGTGCAGCCAAACAAGGCTGCAGTGTTATGGATGAACCATGAAAGCCCAACTTCAAGTTACTGGTAAGTTATTGGTGCAATATTTTTAGATATTCTATCAAAACTATGTTACAAGTTTGATATATTAATAAAGCATATAAATGTTTGACTTTGGGCTTAGGGAACTACAGACTTTGTGTCATCATGATGCAGAAAGTGTTTGTTGCAGTTGTGCTTATAACTGTGTAGCCACAGGATGTGGTGGTTTATGCGTTAAGTTTATGGTATCGTCAAGTTGTTGCAGCTTTACCCCATGCTGTTTCTGATAAACTTTCAGCAAATATACTGAGAGCTACACAACGTTTCCTCTCTTTCTTTTTTTAGTGCTTTCAGCCAAGCTGAAGGAGAACAAAAAGAACTGGTTTGGTCCCAGTCCTTACGTCGAGGTAGCCGTGGACGGTCAGTCAAAGAGGACTGAAAAGTGCAACAACACACACAGTCCCAAATGGAAGCAGGCTCTCACAGTGTGAGTATATGAGACCGTGAGACCGTTGTGTTTGTCAAAGAGGAAGAAGCAGTTAAACAAACATCAGAACAGGTATTGATTGAAGTACTTGTGGATGATATAAATGTTGTCAGCGAACATTAAACATTGTTGGTGTTGACACATCTATAACTTTGTTGCTTGTTGTTAGTATAAGGTTATGTTTGTTGTCCACAGTGTAGATGTGTCAGAACGTCTGCTGCATTAAGTTACTGAACTGGGAAAAATGTGTTGATTCTGTCAACATGAGAAAGATGATGATTTAAAGGATATTTTTGAATAAAATAATGGGAATAGCAGATGTGTTTTGCAAAGGCCATGAAAACAACACCTTCTTTATTACTGCTGTTTTGCCGTTAAACTTTTTGTTTCTTTATAACTATTTATACGTTAACTTTTAAGTACGTAATATATTTGTTTTTTTTTCTATCTTTGTGAATCTATGTTGACCTTTTTTTTTTGATACAGTACATGTACTATTGTTCTGTTCTATGTTACTCAAAATAATCCTGTTTGCACTTTGAGAGTGACATAAAACTGGAGTATATGTGAAAACATACTTGGCCCGTTCAGCGGATTCTGATTCTTATAAACAATTCCCTTGTATGTATTCATGAGTAACTGGTAGACCCAGTAACACACCACTGGGATTCTTAATAAGAAAAGCTCTGTAGCCTAAAATATGAGCACTGTGTCTTAAAATGTGAGGTTGCATGGAATTTAAAAAACGTCTACTTGAACCATCCCTTATTCTACAAGTCTTGTCTTGAACAATTGAGAGGAAGGGCAGCAGTGGTGGCATAGCAAGGTTGGGAATGAGTGAAGTGAAGGAGCCGTGTCAGTGAGAACCAAGCAGTGTTTCAGAGAGAATGTATTTATTCATAATTTCCAAATACTTTCAGTGCCATTGTGTTCTACTGCACATGTCAACATATCTGCACCACCCTGCTTTGGCCCCTTATAAAGAGAAAGGCTAACAACAATATAACCAGTTGGCTATGTTTATTTTGAGTGTCTACCTGCTCAATGGGGGTAACACACTAGTGCCCCAAGTGTTGCCAGAATGAACCAGGCCAAGATAAATAAGAAAGTACAGACAGATGGCAGGGCCTGTGCAGATACAGACACAGCCACACACACATTAGTGGATCATGAGAGATAATCAAGAGGGATTCTTTTTGTTATAAATCTATTAAAGAAAATGAAAATCATACTTTGTCTGCCTTTTTAAAGTAACTTGAAATGCTTTTGATGAATTTAATTATCGAATCAAGTAGGAAACATAAATAACACACATGTAAAAAGAAGAATTGAGAGCCTTATAAAGTAGAACTTCCCCCAACTGAAATATCTGAAACTTTCAAAAACACAGAAATACTCATCTTATTTTCTCACAGCTGCTTTGTCTGCTTCAGATCATTTCAGTATAAGTGATGGTTACACGTCATAATTTTCTTTGTTGTTTACTTATTTCGTTGTTTTCTATCTTCTCTGCAGGATTGTGACTCCTGTTAGCAAGCTGATCTTCCGTGTTTGGAGTCATCAAACACTTAAAGCAGACATCCTGTTGGGAATGGCCACACTGGAGATCAATGAGACTCTAAAGGCTAACGACTTGAAATGTGAGTTCATCCTACTTTCTTTCACCTTGGTGGTAATCATTATTTTAAGATAACAGGCAAAATTTTTTATTAAATCCCAAACTTGAGACTTACTTTTCCATTGAACGGCGTTTGAAACTATGGACTTGTAAAGTTCAAGGCTAATCGGTAAACTTTCTTTACACTGTCTTTGGATTAGAATTAGCACCACTATGACCTCGATGACAAATAACCTTCACACACATCTACACTGTTGTTTTCCATTTGAACTCTGAAGTTCATATTTTCATGCTCTACGAGTTGATTCCCACAAACTAATGAAAGGTATTCAGAAGACAGCTTATTTATTTACAACAAATATAAAAAGTTGAATCCCTTGTGATCTTCTGCTCATTATTCTCCTTCTGTGTCTTTGCCTGTAGGCAGAATATGATGCTTTGCAGATGTTGAACACACAGCAAACACTGGACACACTTTCTTTTCATGAATACATGTCTGCCTGTGTTTGTTATGAGAATGTTTTATTGGGCTTTAATAAGCCTAAACATTATAAAGCGCTGTTCTTGTTTGTTTTTCTCCTTCTGGGACACATGCCTCACCTAAGCGTATGACCTTCTGCTTGCTCGTAGTATGATTTTTTTTTCAGCCTAATACAATGCCTCCCCTCATCCCCTGGTCAGCAACAGTAAAGTAGCATGTGACATGAAATGTTCTATGCAGCTGCTCTCTAAACTTTGCACGCCGCTCTTGAGACCATGGTGGTTTTTACACCTCATGTGACTGAGCTGATAGAGTGACTGACACAGACATCTCCAGGGCCCCAACTCCTACAAGCTGGGCTAAAAACTGCACCCAACAAACTTGAGATAGAGGTTATTTTGAATGACTAGAAAGGGGGGGGGGTCTTGAAGGAAAATGTTGTTTAATTTAATGTCAGAATTTTCATTGTTGAATGTAAGTACCTTAAGTGTAAATCAAACTTCCCCAGTGCAGCTTTAGAATCATCTATTTTCAATTTGATGTGATGGTTACGTGTGGCTATTTTTTTTGTGATTAGTGGGATTTGTTGTCATTCAGCCTCGGTTAAATATTATCCTCTGTGTCCTCTTCAGTATCTGAGGTGGTGAAGACACTACAGCTGTGCTCTGAGAGAGACGCCCAGGATATTGTAGGTGACCTATCAGTCTGTCTCGACGGCATGCAGGTAGACCCGGAAACCTTCGCAACGGCTGAGAGAGAACAGGGTAAGAAACAGTACTGTACCCCAATACAAGGTCAACCACAGCATCAGTGTGAGACACTAAATGATGGACAGATGTACTGAATCCAACTCTAAAAATCTTGGAGTTTGTAATCAGTGTTTTCTTAGAGCCGGACAGATACTTTTGTTTTTTTTGATTGATTAATAGGATTTTTGTCAAAGTCTGAAATTTGCAGACTGGTTTAAATATAGAACTAAAAGACACGACAACACAACATTGTCAACATTTGACAACATTTCAAACACCAAACAAATATTCAGAGGCCTTCAACATACTTTAGATCTGGTAATCAGCTCCATCCTAAACTTTAGAGTTGACTAATGTACAAAAGAGTGCTTCAGTCTGACCTTATTAAAACACATGACGCTGCATCTAAGGTTTTATGGTAATACTGCATATTCACTGTTCAGAGTGTGGTAGGGGTCCCAGACATTGTTGTTAGCCAGCTTTATCATGTATTTATTGTGGGCTGGTTTATAGAGTTCTGCAGTGGTTGGCATTCAAACAATTCAGGTTTTAAAGAAGTGGATGGACGCATTTAAGACTATTTGAATGACTGATAAGTACTGATGTATACATATTGAAATTAATGTAAAAGTCAGCTTTTGTAAGAGAGGTCAAAATATGTGAAATATGCAGCAACATCCAATATTATTTTCAAAGTTGATTTCACTGTCCTCCTTGTCTCTGTCTTCTAGCTTCTGTTCCCAACGGGAATGCCAGACAAAATGGAGACACTGGCAACAGGTTTAGTAAACTTTTCTTTATAGGCCTACACATGTCTCTTTGTTTAACTCTTTTGTTATGGATTTGATAAGCCAACATTTTTGTGTTTTCTTGCATACCTTTAGATGAACTAAGGTAAATGTTTTTATCCCCAGGTCAAGTAGAGACACTTCCCCCTCTAGTGACTCAGAGGAGTGGGTGATTGTACCCAACGGTCATGCTGTAAATGGTTCACCTTCCCGATCTCCAGGGGGCTCCAGCGCCTCGCGTCCTCCCAGACCAGCTCGACCTCCTCCGGCTACTCCTCGCAGACCTGCAGCCTCACCAAGTAGGAAAAGCACAAGAGTGACATCAAGGGCGTTGCAATGTTACATTCATTTACATGCTACATACCTTACATGTGTTGGAGAACTCTGCAGATTTAAATGCTTTCTAATCCCCGTCTTTCTAACCTCTCCTCTCTCCAGCCTCTTCTAGCAGTTCCTCTCCAAGTGAGCTTAGTGAAGGTCCAGCTTCAGATGGCTCCTCTCAGGCGTCGGCTAGTGGATGTTCAAATCAGCAGGATGATTCAGGTGCAGGAGGAGCAGCTACTGCAGGTTCTTCACAGACAGCAAGTGGTCCAAAACCACCAGAGACCTCCACCACAGCAGCCCTGGCCACAACCCCCAGAATCACACCAATGAGCAACGGCCCCTTACCACCAGGGTAAAGAGCAAGGCACTATACTTTGTTTTGCATGTTGTGTTTATTAGGCATATTGGCCTGCAGCTTTGGTAAAAATGTGTTTATTGTGTAGAAAACATTTGCTCTTCATCTCAATCCTGTTTTTCTTTGCTTTTGCTTCGCTCACTCATCTGTATCATCATATCGTTACTTTAGGTGGGAGCAGAGAGTGGACCAAAACGGACGTGTGTACTATGTGGATCATATTGAGAAAAGGACAACCTGGGACAGGCCTGAGCCCCTTCCTACAGGGTACCAAATCCCTTCATCTTTTACATTATTTAAGTCACCATGCTTCTTGCCCTGCTCTGAAAGAATGTGCAATTATAATACCATAAAAATATACCTCAGACCACCACTTCAACAGAGGAGCTGCACTCTTTCCTTCATGATGTTTTGTTCTTAAATTTGATGGCAATGATGTGTATAAGTACAAGAACAAATTTTAACATCAAAGCACTGCCTTCTCTTTTCTCGCCCTTTACTACAGGTGGGAGCGAAGGGTGGACCCCATGGGAAGGGTGTACTATGTCGACCACATAACCAGGACTACGACATGGCAACGCCCCACGCAGGAGTCTGTGCGTAACTATGAGGAGTGGCAAAACCAGCGTAGCCAGCTGCAGGGAGCCATGCAGCAGTTCAACCAGAGATTCATATATGGGGTAAGAGCAGTCTCTGCTGTAGCTGTACAGTATGTAGTATGTTTAGTGCATTTCTTCTTTTTCTTTTTTCTTTTTTTTTACTTAAATTCCCATCCCAACACTATTCAACCAATTACAATACTTCCCTTTGAATGACTATTTCTTATCACAAATATATCTATGATTGAATAAGGAATATCCACATTAAGGATTCTTCTACAGCAAATGAAGCATTTTTCATTCTTTACTAACTCTTACTCTTTATGAACAAGTTACATCTATGCTGCCTTTTGATGATGGTTATCTATGGATTACATGTTTTGAGTCAGAACAGAGATAAAAATGATATCTGTATGTTTACACTTGCCTCAACTTTACTAGAGATTTGTGCTCCAACAAGTTGTACACAAAGGCAGTGCTTAAAACTCAATCAATATTTGTCCCTCTCTCTCTCTTCCTCAGCTCCAGGACCAGTTGGCGGCCACAGCTAATAAAGAGTTTGACCCGCTGGGACCTTTACCTCACGGCTGGGGTAAATATAATTTACTGATACTATAGAAAAACACTTTCAATTTGTAATCTCGGACTATGATTTTGATTTCAGTTTTAATGCATGAAATGAAATGGACTCTTTTTCTTTCTTAATGTCAGAGAAGAGAACAGACACAAATGGCAGAGTATATTTTGTTCATCATTCGACTCGGACAACACAGTGGGAAGACCCCAGGACGCAAGGGTGAGTGTGTGCCTGGTTATCTCTATTAAGAATAAAGGACTCTTACAGAATTGGTTGTAATTACATTTGAAGGTCTGTAAGAGGCGCTAACGTGTAAGGATCCTGCTCAGCTCCAGGTTTACTAAAACCTTTCAGTATAGAATAGCGCGAGACACGTTTAGCCCTCCTTGTATGCTTAAACAGGCTTTTCTATTTTCTTGTATTAATAATTGATTCCTCTCTACTCATGAACTCTATGAGTATAAGTAACCTACAGTTGGATAATGACAGGACACATACATGTTAACAGTAGAGAGGAAGTGAATTTAGAGAAAGTAGGAAGTGTAATGTAACTCAAATCCAAATGATTGATAGGTTAAACTCTGTGTGCTATGAATCATAAATAAACTGCTTATGATGAGGAAGTTGTGTGTGCAACTGATCATCTGATGAAACTGTTACTTTCACTAGTTAATGTCAGGAGTCAGTGTGGAGGACATTCTCTTCTTAACGCATAAAATTCATATGAATGAGATGGCACATTTCTATAAGACAAGAGATAAAACCATTTTTTTAATTTAAAAAAAATAAAATACCTTGAACATTTCCATCAGCCTTTTAGGAGCAATATGTAAGATATCTTAAAAGCATTACCTCAACATTAGAGAGGTTAGAACCCAGAAATGTTTACAGACTGACACAGAGGTGATTAAACACTGAAAAAGTGAAGCTTCTCTGCGACATGGCAACACGCATGCACATTGATTCTATGGAGGAGGGGCGGGGGGAAACAGCTCTCTCAAATGTTTTGAATTTGGACCTCAGTAACATTTGATGCAGTTACATATTGCTCCTATAAGATATTTCTGATGTCAGAAAATAAACTCTCAGATCCGCCAATCTTGTATTAATCTGAGCGATGCAGAAGTATCGTGTGCTGTTTTATTAAGATCATTTATGTTCCTTATACTCTCTTAAGTCTTTTGTAAATGAAGTCCTTAATTTTAATTTTTTATTTTGTTAACCTTTTTGCTTTCTGTTCATTTGGATTTCCTTTGCTCAGGCTGTTAAATGACAAGCCCCTGCCAGAGGGTTGGGAGATGAGGTTCACTGTGGACGGTATTCCATATTTTGTAGACCACAACAGGCGAACCACAACCTACATTGATCCTCGCACAGGGAAATCTTCACTGTGAGTTCTTGTTTAAAATGTCAATGTTTCTGTGTTTTTTTGGAAAACTGAAACTTGGTCACCAGCTGGTCTCTGAGTAGAATTGCTTTGTTCCTGGAATCAGCCCCTTTTAAAATCATTAGTCAGTCCAGTTTTTAATTGCATGATATTTCAAGATGAGTATAATTTCAGAATGATTTATCGGTTGTTGGACTGGAGATCCTGATCAGTAGCAGGATTTTAACTGATAAATGGACATTGAGCATTATTTCCTTTTTTGTCTTTTCCACAGTGAGAACGGGCCTCAGATTACGTATGTCAGGGACTTTAAAGCCAAAGTGCAATACTTCAGGTTCTGGTGTCAGGTATGTCATAAACTCTACAAGGTGATGTGTCGGACCTTTCTTTATCATAAGCTGCCTCAATGTGGGCACTCATGTCTCAAGTACTTGAATGTTGAAAAATAAAAGTGTTAACTGCACTACAAAGTATTCCACTTGATTCACATTTAAATAATGTTTGTTTTTCTTCCTCTCAGCAATTGTCGATGCCTCAGCACATTAAGATCAACGTCTCCAGGAAAACCTTGTTTGAGGACTCATTCCAACAGGTTATTATTATCATTAATAATACATTGTCTGTTTTGTTATCCCTCTGTTTCACTTCATTGTCTTCATTGTTGTTAGTGTTTGGGGTGTGTGACTGTTCTAATAATTATTTCTGCATTGAAAGATCATGAGCTTCCACCCGCAAGATCTGCGGCGGAGACTGTGGATAATATTCCCTGGGGAGGAAGGCTTGGACTATGGAGGTGTGGCCAGGTAATTTCAAATGATTTAATTTTGCACATTTGCATGTTTTTGCAGACGTACAGTAGGTATGAGGTGTGTTTAGTTCTTATTTGATGGTTGTTGTTTTTTTACGATGCCTCAAAAAACACAAAACCTGTTCCTCAACTGGAATGATTACTTTTTCTTCATTGTTGTTTTGATGTCTCTTTGTGATTCAATTTCCAGAGAATGGTTCTTCTTGCTCTCCCATGAAGTGCTGAACCCCATGTACTGCTTGTTTGAGTACGCTGGCAAGGACAACTATTGTCTGCAGATCAACCCAGCCTCCTACATCAACCCTGATCACCTCAAGTACTTCAAGTTCATAGGACGCTTCATTGCCATGGTATCTAAATCATTTGACAACACTATTACTTAATGTGGCGTCAGTTCTTTGGAATCAAGGTGATGGCGTGACTTCCTTTGTTAACAGGATGAATCATGTGTGTGTGGCAAACTGCACAAAGTTTATCATGTGCAAATCTTACAATATCGCGTTCAGTCATCTTTATAATCTAAAACTCAGGATCAGGTCTCAAATAAAAAATAAAAAATCCTTATTTTACATGTAGGTTCATAGAAAATCCTATAACCATAGCTGTTGAGCGGTTTATTCTCTAAACATTGTGAATCATCTTATAGTTTTACATGTTGTCTGTTCTGCTGATAGATGGCTGTGGTTTTAACACGTTTGTTCACCTAACTCCATATTTGTCTTTGTCCTTCTAGGCCTTGTTTCATGGCAAATTCATCGACACTGGATTCTCCCTCCCCTTCTACAAGCGTATCCTAAACAAACCTCTGGCTCTCAAAGACCTCGAGTCCATAGATCCAGAGTTTTACAACTCACTCATCTGGATCAAGTAGGTTTGATGATACAAACTCTAATGTATGAAGTAGTAGGGGGCGAAGCTTAATGGACAGGGTCACTCACTGATTGGTTGGAAAGCGTACATATGGCAAATAGAAAGGCAAGAAATTGATTTATTGTATTTCTGTTTTTTTTTGTTATTTATAGAGTATTTGTTGTTTAAAAACAGCAAAAAAGGAGCCCACTCGACAACAAATAAATTATCAGCTGCACGAGCGCAACAAGACTAAAAAAGAGACGCTGATGAATGCCTAGTGCTGAAACGCGTCCGTTGTTTTGTACGCCGCTCTTACCCAGATAAAGGAAACTTGAAGGAGATTTAGTTTGCTGACTGTTCTGTCTCTTTTTTAGTATTTCTTGTTTGCCAATGCAAATTACTTGGTACAATAAGCATGCTTAATTCTGTTGACAAAGAAATGAAACCATGGACAAAGGTTGAAATAAATGTAAAAGAAAAGAGTGAATCTTTTTGAGAGATAATCACTTTTTATTTTTATCTAATCACCAACCTGTTTGGTACGTAACAATTGATTGATATGCTAAATAAATATGGGGAACAACCTGTGCAGTGCCCTAATGTTCCACTATCTTTCTTTTAACCATGCATAATGGTGATAATGACTTTCTGGCTTTCTGCAGGGATAATAACATAGAAGAGTGTGGTCTGGAGATGTTCTTCTCAGTTGACAAGGAGATTCTCGGGGAGGTCACCACCCACGAGCTGAAACCAGACGGCGGGAACCTCCAAGTGACTGAAGAAAATAAAGAGGAATACATCAGGTACGACTGAAATCTCTGCTGCTTGTCATCCAGCATCTGTCTTAAACAACCACTGCTACATTCCTGTTTATCTCTGCATGACACAGTGATAGTCTGGCCCAGGCCACTTGGCTAATAAGAAATCGATATTTTCCTTTATACAGACTGTGACAACATTAAAATAGTTTCCTCATTTCCTCAATTTTTGAGCAGGAGAGGCGGGGCATTTAAAGGAGAATAAATGCATTTACTTCAAATTTGACAATTGAATGCTTCTACAAGTACATTTCAGTCAGTATTTTCATTAATTTCATTTCATTTAATATCTTTGTGTGCAGATTGGTGGCAGAGTGGAGGCTCTCCAGAGGTGTGGAGGAGCAGACTCAAGCATTCTTTGAAGGCTTCAATGAAGTTTTGCCCCAGCAATACCTTCAGTACTTTGATGCTAAGGAGCTAGAGGTACCGAATCAATGAAACATATTCTGTACAAGTTTTACAATTACATGAATCTTTCATACTTGGAGGCAGTGTTAGTTCTTCCAAAAGGTCTGGATTGGTCAGGGCAGATTTGTTTTGTTTTTTTATACAAAATAAAATATATTGTCCCCTCTGTTGCCTGTAGGTGATGCTGTGTGGGATGCAGGAGATTGACCTGGTGGACTGGCAGAGAAACACGATCTACAGGCATTATGCCCGAAGTAGCAAACAGATCCTCTGGTTCTGGCAGGTCGGTTAAGTACAGCTGCAGATCTCAGACTGTCCTGTTAGTCAAACTGTGGGAAAAAAAGCACGATTTCTAATCTATCACTACTCCCCCTGCTGTATTTGTCATGGTGTATTAATCCAGCTCTATAGTTTGTGTTAAGTGTCATGATTACATTTTTATTGGCGCTTGTAACTAGTGACCTTACTTTATTGGTTGACCTAGTGCTGATGCTTCAGAGACAGAGTGTAAACACTTTTGTAGTGCAAAAAAAGAGATGTGTGAATTTGAGAATACTTCACATTATTAAATCGGTTTGCTAAGTCCTTCTAACAGGGTCTTCTTTTGACAGTTTGCGAAGGAGATGGACAACGAGAAGAGGATGAGACTGCTGCAGTTTGTCACAGGGACTTGTCGTCTTCCTGTGGGTGGCTTCGCTGACCTGATGGGTACGAGAAACAGACACTTGCACTGTAATCCACGTATGAAATAACTTTGAGATTAAATTGTCTTTATGCTTCCTATTGGTTCATACAGGAAGCAACGGCCCCCAAAAATTCTGCATTGAGAAAGTGGGAAAAGAGAACTGGCTTCCACGAAGCCACACATGGTAAGACCAGTTTTTGTAACCCTGCTCTCATGGAAGTCTCAGGCCTCAGGTATTTGACTAGATGGCAGGTCCCAGTTCAAGCAGGATTTAACTTTCATTACCAAACCCTGTTAGTCATTTCTAATTTAACCAGTCACCAGCATTTCTTGATTGTTAGTCTTTATTTGGCCTTTGACGTTATATAATACTGTGTGGGAAAACATTGTTATTGTTGATTAAGTAATTCGGATTAAAAAATGTTTATACAGCAGATTCATTCATGCAGCAGCATGTAGAAAAAGTGCAGCAGTTCGATTCGGCTTCGACCGCAGTAAAACACTTTCATATAAAACATAATTTTTTATAAAAACAATCTCTGCCTAGATGATCATTTTTCAGCCCTTTTAAGGATATTCTCCATCCATGCTACACACCTGGAGAAATGTCTTACATAACCCTTTACATTACCATTCAGTCGCATAGAACATGCTCATTCTTGTCGAAGCTGGAAGCACTTTGTGTTGCATGCAGGGGGGTTCTTAGTTTCAGTAAACACTAGGAACAAAGCAGCAGAGGTTTTAAGTAAGACAAACATTTCTTTATGTGGACAAATTACAGGTTGCTGCTGCAGGTTACCACATGTGTATATTATGTTGTGCTTCATAACACCCTCAGGAATAAAATATGTGAAACAGGAGGAGTGTGTGTGTGTGTGTGTGTGTGTGTGTGTGTGTGTGTGTGTGTGTGTGTGTGTGTGTGTGTGTGTGTGTGTGTGTGTGTGTGTGTGTGTGTGTGTGTGTGTGTGTGTGTGTGTGTGTGTGTGTGTGTGTGTGTGTGTGTGTGTGTGTGTGTGTGTGTGTGTGTGTGTGTGTGCAATTACACATTTAAAGAAAGAATGTACAACTTTTTGATCCAGTAGATTTTGCTCTTGAGCACCAGCATGAGACCAAAACAAACTGCTCTTTGGCAACACCTCCGCTATTCTGAAGCCTCCGCTCTCCTCCAGCGACACACCTCCAACCCCTCTCCACTCACGTTCGCACGAAGGAGTTATCAGAATGCATCATAATTAAGCACCATTAAGGGCAAGCAGTGGACAAAATCGTCCTCTGCTCCAGCTGCAATCACCCGTGGCCTGCATTGTTGTTAGCAAGCTAATGTTGCTCACTTTAGTTAACTCAAAGCTTCACATTGACACAGAATGACCGTGATCTAAGCACACTTACATGACATCCAAATAAGCAGTGAGTAGGATATGTTATTCTTCTTTTCTCTAGTCCTTGACGAAAACAGATTTATACGCAAGTCCATGTAAACATGTTATGTGTAAAGACGGATCTCTGACAACAACACAGCTGGCGGGACTCGAACTTCTCACTCATTGTAGAAAGTCTTGACTCAGAGAGACATTAAAAGAGGATATACTTGCTTTCTGCTTTGTGTGTAAAATGTTGCACATTCTTCCTTGAAGTCAGAATTTTGTATATTTCACTAATTAAGAACCAAAGTGTTAGAATAAATAAGCTCATCTTGAGTTAGTTTATCTTTCTATCAAGGGATTCAATTTAAAAATGTCCCACATTACACATAAAATCAAATCTATTCTACTTTGAAGGGTCACCTAGTTTCTTCTTTTTCCTCCTTGCAGCTTTAATCGTCTGGACCTCCCTCCTTACAAGAGCTATGAGCAGCTGAAGGAGAAGCTCATGTTCGCCATTGAGGAGACAGAAGGTTTTGGGCAGGAGTAACAGAACTCAAGCAGGAGCTGCAGGATGGGATGGAGGAGTGATATCCATTTCACACTAAAGCACCTTTCACCAGATTTTCCTTTCAGCCAGGAGCTGCTTATAAGCTGGTAGATGGACGTACACTGTCAAAAACAGTTACAACTTTTCCTAAGCTGTTTCGTTATAAATTCATTTATTCCACAAAGACATGTGAATCCTCCTCATCCTGTTTCACTCCTCACATGTGTGACCAGTCCCCACCCTCATTACTCAGCCCTGCTAAGCCCACTATCAGGCTTTGGAGGCCAAAGGGGACGCCTTTCTCACCCTGTCGTGTCTGCACTCGCTGTACGTTGCATAAGTGCAGTTTCTACACGTGACTCTGTGCAGTAGTAACTTCTTAGGAACTGCCTTGTCAGGTCTTTGCACTAGAATGATTATTTCAGAAGAGAACACAGATTTGTGCATTTTAAGAAAACATTTAAAAGGTTCATATGTTAAGCTACAACTTGGCACAAATATGTTGTTGGGGTCAGACTCAACTTTAGTTTTCCTTGGTTTCAAGAATAGACGATTTTCTTTTTCCTTTTTTCAAACAGATGACTGACTCGTGTAGCACATATATAGTTTCTTTAATAACTTTGATAAATATGATCATTCTAATTAAATATATTCTTATTTTGACAGGTTGATTTCTTAATTTTATAATGAGTTGACAATGTTGAACTTTGCACATAATGAAGCGAGCGGTTAGACGGATGTGATTGTTCTTAAGAGAGGTTGTATTTTTTATGTGCAATAGTTTTGTAGAAAACATTTTTGCCTATGATAGAGCCGAAACAGTGATTTGTTTGATCATTTTTGTAATGTCATTGATTATGTCATTGATTGAGCATTTACTAATTATTTAAAATTCTAAACGTTGTGCTTTTAAAAGTGTATAAAAATGCAACTGGTCTGGTTTTGATTCGATGAACTTTGCCTTCTCAAAAAAGGTCTATGCTGTTCTAAATGTCAGCCTGATGGAACATGGATGGATTTATGGCTTGTTACTAATGAAGTGGGAGCATCAGGATGTGTTATGTAATCGAGAGAAGAAAAAAAAAATGATGTGTTGAAAAACAATTGGCTGTTCCCACTGAATGGTAGCCATTTCTGGATGACAAGGAGTTAGTATTATGCTAGATCAATTCTGAAGATATAAAATCCTAACTGTTAATGATGTGTTAAGTTACTAATGAAGTTTGTGTAAATACTCTTTAAAAAGTAGGACCTGTGTTTCATATCCATATTCACTTAGTTCATCAAAACATTGGACCCCTTTTAATTTTATAGTAAGGATTTCAATTCATGTTATAGAAAATGACCCTAGTTTTATAGGGTGATAGGTTTCTGGATTTGTACAGTACTTGTGGATCTCTCCTCCCCCCCTCCAGAAATAGCTGTACTCACATTATCTCTTAAGCTTCATTTAAATATCAGGTAGAGTATGACTTCAAGAAAAACACAAGGGGACCTATCTACCAAAGTCAACAAACGAAAATACTTTTAATGAGTAGTAGCTGTCCAGGTGTTGAGCCCTTTAGTCTGAGGTTCGGCAATGTGGTGTAAATTATGTGGTATATTTTCAATGTGCATCTGAGGTCATTGAAAACTGCAATTTTAAATTACGTTTGAGCGAGTTCCCTTTATCGAATTTCAATGCTAGTTCGACATTAAACAAAAATACTGGTTTGTCTCCTCAATGGTCCGAGCTCCACGTTGAGACGATGGTGTGTTTACTCTCAGTAAATACCAGTTACTGCTCATTTTATGAACAGATAAGATGTTTCACAATCCTCCACATTTTCCTGTACTCACAGTAATTCAATACACACACATACTAGTGAAAAGATCATTGTAAGATTTTAGAAAAAGAAACCCTGTTTATATGTAAACAGATACGAACTTGTAGTATAGCACCTCTACACTCCAAACGTGTTGAATAAACCACTTCACTGTTTTAATCACTGATGTGTTCCAGATCATGGAGCAATTAAAATGTATAGAAATATGCAAAATGGTGTTTTGTTTTCTTGTATTGATTGAATTGTAAATCATGTTGATAGTGTTATCACTGTTTTTTTTTTTTTTTTGAGGCTCTAACTTTTTTAATCAGGCAAAGTCAGCGGTTGAAGACTATTTATTTGGAGGATGGGTTTCATGTAACAAACAATGGACAGGATTGATTGAGGAATAAAACAACTACAATAAAATGATTAAGACACTGGGCTCCTGCAGAAAACCTGAGAGTTGTTAATTCATTACCACTGCAAGTTTATTTAACACTTTTTTACAATTTACAGCACATCATTTGTTACTTCTGTTTGATTATTTCTTCTAGATATACAAAAGGCAAAGACGTTTTGCAGATTGTTCTCTTTATATATATATAAAAAACAAGTAAATCTATTGTTTGGGCAGGTAAGTCTGTGGAAATTGAAATGTCATAATGCAGTCACTACTTTTAATCATCATTGAAAGAAGGGATTGCTGACAGATCGCGATGATAACCCCTACAACAGTACAGGGAAATGTACTTTTTTTTACATTACAATAAAGATTGTATTTAAAAAATGGTCAGATGTGTTAAACGTATGATACTGTTTATAACCAATGACTGGTTTTGAACATTTTCACATGACATCAGAATCAGAAATACTTTATCAATCCCAGGGGTAAATTCGGCCATTACAGTTGCTCTAACACACAAGAAGTAGAAATATAGTAATTTACAATCGTGAAATAAATAAAATAAGGAATGTAAATAAGATATAAAGAAATAACTACACTACATAGTGAGGACAATAAGGAATATATACAAAGTTCAGTATCAACAAGGTGATATTTCAAGGCTATTGCTCAGTTTGCTTCAATACAGTAGTTTCACATGTTATTAAATCTTTCTTAACTCTTTCTGTGAGACATAATGTCATACACCCTCCCGCCTTTATGTAAAAGTCAATAGACAGACCTGCTGTTTATGACTCATGTCATATCTTCATATTTACAGCTTATGCGTAATACATCCATAATTACGCATCAAAGTCTGGCATGTTACAGCAAATTATACAAAAGTAACAAAAGATTCGCCCAGTTTCATCTTAACAACATTTTTTTTCATTTTGCATACGAATGAAACACAACTCTTAAAAGCTTAATAAAAAAGAAAGAAGAAGTTTTCTGTGCGCCGCAGTGAAATTACATAGGAACCTGAGTTACAATGTAGCCCTACGGAGAGGTTTGGCTGTGACACACGATACTGGAATGCGTGTGCGACAATATTTCATGTCCTGTCGACTCTATTGAAAGTCATGGCAGGTCCCGATCTAATAAAAACTCTACTGTATACTGTAAATAATCTACTACAGCAGGAGAAGTATAAAGCGGCACTGGCAGTATTGAAGGGATTCAGAAATGGCGCGGTGTGAGTTAAAATGTTCTTTTATAAAGTGTATCTAGGTAGCTAAACTACGACATTTACTTATCAGCTCTAAGTTAGTTTTTTACAGTGGTAGTTACCTCTAGCTGCAAGGAAGCACTGAGGTTACTTTATTCATGGCAAATATTGATGTTGGCAGAAGGTCTGAAAACCACTGTGGATGTTTGACCCTGTGTTGTAGCCCAGCTGTGTTTCCAGGCAGCTTTAACATTACTGTGTTTTTATTTCTCAGATATGGGGCAAAAATCAGAGCACCACATGCCCTTGTCATGACATTTCTATTCAGAAGTGGCAGGTAAGAGCTGGGCCTTTATTTCAGTTTTTAAGAGACAGCACCATGCTATGAACAACACATGCCTTTGTTATCTGAACATGGTTTTTTTTTAAATCTTGTTTCATAGTTTGAAGGACAAGCTCAAAGCCATTTTGAAGGCTACATACACCCACTCCCGCAACCTGGCTTACTTTGTGTTCACGTACAAAGGGCTGCAAGCCTTGCAGGAGAAGGTCCAGGGAAAGACTTTGCAGTCTCACTCCTTTCTGGCAGCCTGTATCGGAGGATGGTTGGTTTTTGGAGACAACAACAACATCAATAGTCAGGTACGATGAGCCTGTTGTTCAAAAATTCCATGTAGTAATGATGGCTCTTCTCAACATGTAAATGCTCAGTAAAATGTCTTAATATAAACTCTCTATCCCTCCTCCAGATCAACATGTACCTGCTGTCTCGAATCCTGTTCGCCTTGTCTCGCCTGGCTGTAGAGAAAGGTCTCATCCCCCAGCCTAAACACGACCCTTTCCCACTCTTTGCCACGTTGGTGTGGGGCATCGTCTTGTGGCTGTTTGAATATTACCCACACACACTCCAGCCGTCTCTGCAGTCCTCAATGAACTACCTCTACCATGACAGCAATGTGTGGCACGACATCTCGGACTTCCTTGTTTATAATAAGCCAAGAACTGCCGCTCAGAAATGAAGCTTTTGTTCTTTTCTGTATGGACCAGCTCTCCACAACACAATAATGCATCATTTTTAATTATTCCAATATTGATTGTTGCCTTTTGTAATTATTGCCACTAGAATGAAGTTTCAAATGTATTTGTTAAATGTTTAATATATTGTTTGTTCAGGAGCACACGACTAAGTGGTCTGAGCTTACAGCTGTAAAAAGCAGTGTCTGTGTCTAGTATGATTCCTGTTGATCTTTGAGTGATTGTGACATTGTCTGATTTAAATTCCAGGAGTATGTTACCATAAGCAACTAACAGAAAAAATAACAATGTATCCACATTAAGCCCAAATGCTGTTTCCTCTTGTGAACCTGCTGTTACAGAGACACAAAGATATCAATATCAGCACCATCATTGTCAACTGGTTAAAAACATTTGCAACTTCCTATAGGCTCCTTGTATGTAATTTAAAATGAATTAAAACTTTAACGACTGTTTAGAATAATGGCAGCTGTTTTATTTTTTATTAGAAACAGTGATGTTCAAATGTAGCACCTTTCTATCAAACAGAATAAAGATTACAAGAAGATCTTAATGAAATGTAGGAGTCCCAGTTCTGTTAGAGTTGAGCTTTCCTTTCATGTGTTTGTGACTAATAACGTAAGACTTTCCCCTTAAAGGGATACTTTACTCATTTGCATTAAGCTTTGTATCATTAGAAACCTGGTAATATTTTTGAATTGTCGTGCATCCCTCCCTCATTTTCCCCTGAGATGGGAAATCTTTGTATTTCTGAGTCTGAAAAGGAGCTTCCAATGACGCAAAATTACGATTTTTGCGTCACTGGAAGCTGTTGTGGTTAGCAGGGTGAAACTACAACGCTAGGTCCTCATATTTTCGACCACTGAAGCTACAGAACAATCACAGATCAGTGGGTGGGAACTCACTCCCAGAATCAAAACTTAACGTCCGCCATATTGCTTGGAAGCTATGCTAACAGGCTCTATGGAGAAAGCTGATAATGGTGAAAAAATATAAATATAGCATATTAGCGAGACGTCTGCTGCGACAGGCCGGTCTTGTGTTTTGTCCGAGAAACAAAACCGGCCTTTCGGCAGCAACCGTCTCGGGGCTATATTGCTATATTGCTGGCCGCCTGCCTGTCCGCGGCTGTGAGGACGAGGAGCCGGGGCCGGCTCGAGCTGGGGCGGACTGGTAGTGTCGGTGCGCTCACTGTTTGCATATGGACACAGACATAGAGTCTGTTTTCTGACAGGAATTTTCAAAATGCTAATTCCTTCTGGAAGAAATCTCAGAATCAGTTGTGTAAACGGCCTTATGTGTTGAAGTCATAGACTGTAGTAAATATGTCCGTAAACATGACCTTAGTGGGAGTGGCCTGCCGTGCTGTACATTCTGGGATTTGGTGTCTCTCATCCACGAGCCAAAAAGACAATTTCTACCTTTTCTCGGCCAAGAAGGCACCAACTTCAAAATTTATTTCACATTTCTACTACATATATGACCCAATGTCAATACAGAGTCATGTTTCAACGGGTGAAGTATCCCTTTAAACCCCTGGAATCCTGCACCTGCACAAGAAATACCAGATATACATGTTGGAAGTTTTTGTGAATTACTAATTTATGTTTGTTTAAACGCCACAGGTGTACCTTTATTATATAACACTAAATGAGGGATTAGGGAAATACTACTTCAATCAGGCGTGTAAGGTTAATCATCGTTTACATAATATCTATCCAAACTGAAAGATGCTACAACATTGTGTAAACATATACTACGTATGTTATGTTATTTTAAAGTTCTCCCTGACACCAGTATGTAGTTTAAATTCTGATTTGGATTCTGCAATTTTAGTTTGTTGTTGAGTTTGTATTATCATCACTTCATCCCTCAACCTTGACCCTATGCTTTCCTCCCAGGACCCTTACCCTAAACCCTCTCCCATTCATCTCTTAACCCTTATGCACCCTTACGCTTACCATATATTTTACCAGTGTTTGGAGTAACGTGTCACCGAGAAATGGTTATCTTTGGCAAATTCTATGATAAATGTCTGAACAGAAATCCATGGCTGTGCATCCAATAATAGTAATAGTGAGAAGATACCATACCGGGACAAGCTCAGCAATGACGCAAGGGGCCATTCTTTAAAATGTGCTGCAAAGTACGACATGCAACCCAGTGATTTAGTGACACGAGACAGACTGCTTCATGTTCTAACCGCTCCTGGTGTGACACAGTCGATGTTCATTCTCAAAAAATGCGACCATCTGATATACAAACCTGTTCAGTTGCCCCACTCCTTGCAGTGATTAACTGGCTGTAGTAGGTTTGGTGAAGGGCGTGCTCACTGTGCTTTTTTTCTGCATGTTTTGAATGATGCATAATTAAGTACCACATCTTGCCAAAAACGTGACAGTTTGGTATTCAACCAAAACAATGTCCAAACTATAAAATCTACCCTTAATTGAAGTGTATGTTTCTGTCCATTTAAAAAATCACTATCCATTATAACAACTAGATCCAAGAAGCATGTAAATGGAGAATAAAACAGGCCCAAGAATGGAGCCTTGGGGGACTTAACATGAGATAGTGGCTGGGGAGGATGTGAAATTACAAAGGCAGCCAGAAAACTTCTGAGAGTGAGACCAGAGTGGTTCCATTCTTCAGATAAGAAATTAAAATGTTTTGGTCCACTGCACTGAAAGCAGCTATGATATCTAAAACTGATTCCCCAGAATCTACAATTAATAAAAGGTCATAAAACCTTTAAAAGTGCAGTTTCAGTGCTTTACAACCAGATGAGAACACGTCAAGGATGCCATTTGTGTCTAAAAATGTTTGAAGCTGAAATCTCTGAAATATCTGAATTCAAGAGCTCCCTAAAAGGATTACACAGCTCCTATTAGTTATCATATCAATGATGCACAACTTTGCACGTGGACTACCAGACTCTAGTCTAGGGAAAAATGACGTGTCTCAGAGCGTCAACATCAATTTCAGGGCGTTCTTGTGGTCCATTTTATTTGCATATTTTAACTGACACCTCATGAAGTACCACTTCTTGCCAAGAACGTGACTTGGTGACCAAAGACAAATTGTAATTTAAACCAAAACAAAGTTAGCCCATTATATACCCATTATTGTAGTGGTAGAACAGTACATGGTATAAACATGAACTCTACAGTAAAAGTTTGTGAGCTTTTTAGATAAACATAAACCAGAAAAAGGTAATCGGGTTTACTTTTGCTAAAGATTAATGAGACTACTCCTGCTGGTTGCCGTGTCTATGATGCACAACTTTGCACATGAAAAAATGATCGGTGTCTGCACACATCAACCTCACATTCAGGGACATTAGCCAATGGGCGTGTTTTTGTGTTGTGTTGTGTTTTTGCTTGCGTCTCTCAGCTCATACAGTACTTTGCCAAAAACGTGACCTATAATCTGAATCAATCATGCCTTTTTCTTTGGAAGACTTCTTTTATGATGCAAAACAGCAAACAGTCTTCATTCTCTGAAAATTCAATTCAATTAATTATTTACTGTGCTTTATTGAAACATCAATGACAACAGACCAAGTCAAAAAATCTGTTGAGAAAAAACAAGTTTGATGCCTGAATAAGCAAATTAGAACATTTAAAAAATTAAATTAGTTAATTGGAAGTCATTGAAGACATGTAAAACAAACAAACAAATGATGCCACTGATTGGTGAATAGAAAAAAATGAAAGTTAAAATCAAAACACAGGAACTTAATAACTTAATTTCAAACCAAGTCGAAGGCAGTGGTGAACGTCTAACATGGTTGAGCTGAGTGTCAAACAAAAGCTTTTATCACTTTTATTTCCTGCTACAGTTTTGCAACCAACTTAAATGATATATCAGTTTTTACAAAATCAAAAGGGCAGATTTATGTTGCCATGCTGAACTAATGATCCACTAATAGTGACACAGAAGAACAAAGAAAATGTTATAATATATGTTGTATATAAATTATTAAGTTTTGCTGTCTCAAAATAGTGAAATATACTCCTGCTTGTTCCTATAGCAATTGTTATGAATTGGGGCTATACAAACTAAGATTGATTGATTGATTGATTGATTTATGATGCAAACATGTCCAACATGCTGACATGTTGCAAGAGTTTCCACTCACCAGATTAACGTAGTCCTCTACAGTTGTTCTTCTGTTTACCTGGGTGAGTCTGATTACTCATGCAGAGCCATTTTTGTTCTTTACGCACGACACTGAACACCAGGAACAAAGAGGAGGGGTTTGTCCTGAGGTGGTGCATGCTTTCAAGGCCTTGTTAACCATCGAAGAAAACCAGTTCACTTTCACACCACCACCTTCTTTCAGAGGGTGGAGCAAAGGTTTAAATAGCTGGAGAGGACGACAGAAGGGACATTAAGACACAGCACAAAGAAACACGAACAGATGGAAGGTGAGCTCTTTTTTTATTTCTTTTTGTTTCGTCACTGAAACTCAATTTAGTTCTCCTTTATTTTCCAAAGATTTAGGTTTCCTATTCATTCGTTTTCTTCCTCCAGTTATGTGATTCATATTTACTTTTTCTTGCAGACTTAAGTATTAAAAATGTCAACCTGGAAAAATCTGAGAACCTGGGGAAACACAGGACGGAGGACTTCAGCAGCTCCAAAGCCCTGGTGGTGCGGAGAGGAGCCCCGTTCAGAATCAGCCTGCAGCTGGAGGGCCGACCCTTCAACTCCAAGACCGACTCCATTAGGATCAAAGTTATGCTAGGTAGTTAGTCCTTGTATAGAAAGCGTCAAGTTTTATAAGCTATAATTAAAATTGAAGTTCCTTTGCCTAACTGTCTTTCTGTTTCCTTCTCCTCAGGGCGGCTGTATGTGATGATGCCCGTCACCTTCTCCAAAAAGGTTTCTTCCTCTCATTGGAAAGCCTACATGGACCCAGAGGGCCTGGACCTCATGAACCCCTCCATCTTCATCTCCTCTCCTGCCTCCGCCTCAGTGGGCTGCTACAGATTCCAGCTGTATGTGTTCACTGAGGGCAAACGGGGGAGACGTGTGTTCGGCAAATTCAACCTGCTCTGCAATCCCTGGTGTCGAGGTAAGGACGAGACCGTTTGTATTGCTCTGACAGCTAAAGTTAATGTAAACATTTAGGTCAACATTTTTAGTGAGCTTACCAGTCAGAAATATACTCATGGATATGGTTTGTGTCACTGAATGAGATCATGATGATGCTCTGCATTCAGTTATCACCTTTTATGGGAGTCTTTCTGCTACAGTAACAGTGGTGATGTGCTCTGTTTCTTTCTTAATGAGTCATACCTGTGATGTAAGGATTCATCAGAGCAAATGTCTTGCATCATCTCTCAAAAAAAAGGACAAAATAGAAACGAGTATGGCAGCTGAAGTCTTATAAATAAGTATTTATGTTTAATACAGGGAAACGTATTTGTATGCAAACAAGTTGGATGAACTCAATGTTTGGTGTTTCTTGCAGAGGACTCTGTGTACATTCCCTTTGAGGACCAGAGAGAGGAGTACGTCCTGAACGACTCAGGGTTGCTGTTTATGGGGACGCCTATGAACCTTGTATCGAGACCATGGTCCTTTGATCAGGTATGAAAATGTGAAAAAAAATGTACTCTTGCTTTATTCAGTCTCTTTAATGTAATCATTGTAGAGCTGTTGTATAGAATGGTACGGAGCCCTGCAAGGCTCAGGTAAGAAACTTATAAAAAGCTATTTCCCACTGTTTACAAATCCACGTGCATGGTTTCTAAATTGTACCCACAGATTATTAATAATACTAGGAAACCACAGTTAGGAAAATGGGCCAACAGTTTGAAAATCTCTGCACACAGATCTGTTAACCTTGGGAATGGCTTTTTTTTTTTTTTTTTACCTGAGTTTTCGGGGGCCTCAGTTTTATTTCAATGTCAAAAGAAGTGCCCAGCCCACCTGGACTTACAAGACCCTGAGAAACAAAACAGAAAAAAAAGCAGCATTATGAGAGAAAAATGACTCATACATGAATCCATAAATATTCCTTGAACATCACGATTGTGAATTCATTTCTCTCCTCTCTTTCTTTCTCTCTTTCTAAAGTATGAGCCTGGTGTTCTGGAGACGTGCCTGAATCTGCTCCAAGTCAGCCCTCAGCACCAAAGGAACAGAAGAAGGGACTACCTGAACCGAAACAAGCCGGTCTACATCAGCCGGGTCGTGTCTGCCATGGTGAGAATGAGCACATTCAGAACAGAATCATAAAAAAAACACATCACAGTGGTAAACAACAGCGGTATAAATCACTACCTCTCAGTGTTCAGTTTGGCTTGTGTTTTTGTTTACTCCACATGGCAACATGAGCATCGCTGCTTATTAAAAACATGCTGTGGCTTGAAATGAACAGTTTGCTCTGCACATTGAAAAGATTAAAACACGCCTCCTGTCAAAGTCTGAACACAGAGTACACAGTTACCTGACGGATCACTGTAATTGTTACAGTCTCACAGTGAAAAGAAGTCGCTATTAAGATGCCAGGGTGGATCAGAATCACCACAGGGGATGTGTGAAGTGACACTGCCTGTTTTTTTATGATCTTATGTGAACTCAAAGATGACATTTTTCTTTTCTTTTTTTTAAATGCTCAGATCAACAGTGAAGACGATCGTGGTGTTCTGAAAGGAAAGTGGGCCGGTAACTTTAAAGATGGGGTGAATCCCTCCATGTGGACTGGGAGTGGGGACATCCTGAGACAGTGGGCTGAGTCGGGTTACAGCCCAGTCAAGTATGGACAGTGCTGGGTGTTTGCAGCTGTCATGTGCACAGGTGAATAAAAACATCATTATCAAACTTTTTTCATAAGACAGTATGAACAAAACACTCGTCACACACTGTACTTTTTGTACAATCTTCAAAAACCAGACTTTAACCTCAAGTATTACTTAATATGTTTTATCAGTTCTGATCACAGATGAGATGCAATGTTCAGATATTAACAGTTTGTAAACACCTCTGTTTCTGTCTTTTATATCTATCAGTCATGAGAGTTCTGGGCATTCCTTGCCGCGTCGTCACAAACTTCAACTCTGCTCACGACACAAATGACAACCTGGTGATTGAGGAGTTCTACTCTGAACAAGGGCAGAAGTTGAAGCTCAGCAAAGACAGCATCTGGTACGTGGTGATTGATATTTTCAATCCGTTTTTTGAAAGGGAATCATCAAATTTTAGCTTTTTAAATGCCCCCCTCGAAAACGTTTCAAGACATTTTCTTTTATCGTATCGTATTATCACATTTGATTTTCCTCCAATGTCTTATTTGGTTTCTTCTCAACAGGAACTTCCATGTCTGGGTGGAGTGCTGGATGACCCGCCAGGATCTTGCACCAGGAATGGATGGATGGCAGGTTCTGGACCCAACCCCCCAGGAGAGGAGTGGAGGTGTGTGAGAAGAATCATCTCTCCTTTAGTCATCTCTGTGCTTGTTTTTTTTTAAAACTTCAATAAACTTCTTTTCTCTCTTTTTTCCCAGGAGTGTACTGCTGTGGCCCCGCCCCCGTCAAAGCAATCAAAGATCGGTGTATAGACCTGCCATTTGACGTGCCGTTTGTGTACGCTGAAGTGAATGCCGACATCCACATGACCGTCCTGAGAGGGGATCAGGTTCTCGGATTCAGCAAAAACACAGAGAAGGTGGGGGCCTTTATCTGCACCAAGGCTATCGGCTACTCAAGACACCAGAACATCACAGGAGACTACAAACATGTCAAAAGTAGGAGCAAAAAAACAAACAGAGAATTCATCTGTAAATGTCAACACTTGGATTTAAAGTGGCATCATGTTTCTTGAGCTCATATTTGTCTTTCAATTTTCTCAATTTAGGTCCAACTTCAACACTTTCATCAAGAAGTTCCTCAAGTTCAGGCGACTCAACTTTCAGTAAAGGTAATTCTAATATCTGAATACATCTATTACACTCAGTTTCTGTTTGAAGACACTTTAAATCTCATTCAAATGTTTTTTTTTTAACAGGCATGCTTGTATTCCTGAACCTGGAAAAAGCTCCTGTTGCAGGAGAGCCCGTCCGCTTCATGGTGAGAATCATCAACAAGACGAACGCCGTCAAAATGATGAAGGTTCATCTGAACGCCCAGGCTAAAGAGTACAATAACAGCCCCTTAGACACCTTCTGGGAAACCCACGGTGCCATTCAACTGGCCCCCATGGAAGGTAAATTCACTTTACACCTATCCCCCTGACCTAAATGTTCACTTTTAAATCACTGTTGTTGGTTACATATCAGTCCTTTTTTACTCCTTTTCCAGAAAAAGTTCTCCACCAGCAGATCCTCCCAGCCGAGTATGAGGACGTGGTGGGAGACGACCTCGTGAACCTGGCTGTGGTCCTGGAGGACATGGGCAGCCGCGAGCTAGTCCTGGCCTCAGAGGAGTTCAACATTGTCAGTCCACAGCTCAACATCCAGGTACTTTACAACACTTAACAGATTCTGAACATTACTCACTGATATGTTTATTGGCAAAGTCCCTTTGGTTTGGACTGGATTAAAAAGACTTAAAGTATTAGATATTTGACTTTTTCCATTTGTGATGTAAGATTGAAGAGATATTCCCTTTCACCCAGCAGTAATATCAGTACCCGTTTATAAATACCAGATTTCTAAAATGACTCACAAAGCTGCAGGAAGATGTGATGGTGCAGCATCAATATGTTTTAGTGATAATGCAATTTCTTTGATGATTGTGTCATGCTTAAAATAGGAGACCAAACCTGGCTCACAAGCGACATCATATTTGATATTTGAATTTGTATTCATATATTTCAAGCATGATGAAAATAGAATAAAATAAACGAACAGCATGAACATCATGCAATCTGTAAACACTTTTTTCACCACTCTCCATTTAATACAAGTGTAGGATGAAGTTAAAAACATATCTAGTCCAGGCCCTTTTTTCTCCTAAATTATATCAATGAAGTTGAGGTTGAAACTGAGAATACAGACAACCAGCAAAGTAACAGAAATGCATCAACAATCTATTGAGCCAAGGAGACCAGAACCAAAGCAGAAGAAGAGATGACAGAAGTAATAATAAAGATATTAACCATGCTGGTGTCTCAAACTGAAGAAATAGTGTGGCAGACTTGTAAGCATGAAAACCAAACCGCCTTTCCAGTTCAGAAGTGCATCTCTGTTTTTGTTTAATTTTCCAAATCACGGGAGCAGAATAGTTTTGGGAAAGGTACAGAAAGTATTTACAGTTAAATGAATCTGAGGTGTAATTTCCCTTCACCTTTTTTTCTCTTTCAGATTGCCGATGAGGACGCCATCACGCCACACAAAAAGCAGACTGCCACAGTGACCTTCACTAACCCGTTTTCTCACCCTGTGAGTGGAGTACTGACTGTGGTCGGGGCCAGGCTGCTCCAGGGAAAACTTCAGTTCAGGTAACAACACTCGTCTGTTGTCTTTTTTTTTTTACTGTACCAAGTTGGATGTTTCATGTGTCAGACGCCCAGTGATTCATGCAAATCAGTAATAGCTGCACATTGAATGAGCGAAGGAATTCAGTCATTGAAGGAGTGTCAGTGTGCGTTACACGGCAGTAAAGTATGTCTTTATTGAGGAATGTTACACTTGTATTGTTCTATTTATGTTCTTGTTGAGTGTTCAAGAAGGCGCGGCTATAACAGAATGTTCCCCCGCTGCATGCAAATCAGTTCACAAAAGGATCACGTTTAAATGTGTGCTAAGTTAAGACATTCACAGGGAATTCTTTTATCTTGACTGTAATAAACTAAATTGGTCTCGTGCATCTTTAAAAAAAGGGGGGCCAGTTTCAAGCATTAAAGATGGCCGCTGCAACAACATTAGACTAACAGTATCAAACTTAAATGGTCCCTAAGTTTAAACCATATATAAAAACCTTATATATAAGCAAAACTTAATGTAGTTCTGTCTTTAATTTTTTAACTCTTGTATCTTTTTTTGTGTCCTCCTGCAGGATGCCCCCTCTCATTCCAGGCGGAGGAGTGAAGCAGAGTATCACCTTCGTCCCCACCATGGGGGGAACAAAGATGCTGCAGGCGAGTCTGTCGCTCACAAACATGAACTCCACCATCAGAGGCTTCAAGATGATTACTGTCAACAGAGCCTGAAGCTGTATTTCATCATGTTTCTGTGCCTTTTATTTGACTCAAGGGGTCACATTTGGGAAACATTACTATACATTTCTGATATTGTTGTTATCTTGTCTCAGAATTCGTTTTTTTTTATACAGCACATTGTCAAAACGTAAAAAGTCTTAGAACTGCAGCCAGGACACGGATCACTGCTAACCCCTTTATGTTAGTACTGCTGTATCAACACTAATGTGAATGTAAATTACGTTTATTTGTGTTCCTATTTATTTTGCTATTTATGTGTTTGAGCTGTTTTATCACATTGTACCACATTATCTGGAGTTTTACTTGAAATTCAAAAGCTGCAGCAAAATACTTTTAAGACTATTGCACTTTTTTAATGTGTTTGAAAAATAATAAATAAAATGTTAAACAAATTGTTTTTAAAGTTATTTTTTATGTGCGTATATGTGATTTTATATTGTTGCAGTTCCTTTCCTGCCCTGAGGAGGGAGACATTTCCTCAAAAAAGATCACTTTAGTTTGAAACCTCTTGATAACTGAATGTATTTCACAAGAAATCATTCCATATTTTTTGTTAGTTGGTTTCATGCGCCTCTTGGAGAAGTAGTGCTGTGAAATCAAATGAATCTCGACACATTTCTCCCACAATGCAATTAATTTATCTTTATTAATCTATCTTAACTGTCTGTCAAAACAAAGGGACAATAAAGCATTATATACAAATCAAAGCTGAGCCGACAGGCAGTGTGATCGGGCACATGCACGACCAGTTCATCTATTTTACAGGTTATTAGAGAAATTAAGGAGGGACAGAAGGAGATGTGGAAACATGACAACATTTACAAACAGGAATCTAAAGGAAGGATTCGAGCTCCAGCCTGTAACAAACCATCATCGACACAAGCTTTGATTGAAGCATTCTTACAAGAACATACTTTCAGTCTTTTAAAAGAGATTATTATTTTTTTTTTTTAATGCAGGGAGCTTTTAAACTGTGTTTGGTGCTGTGAATTAAACTGATAATAAATAGATCACATTTTCATGGTGAAGAACATCAGACTATTTTAAAAAGGAGAAAGTTATCTGGCATTTGTCTCGAGATTAATCTAACTGATCTATTACACGTAACAGCATTTCTTAAAATCTTGCTTCTAATTAATTCTTTAACATACTAATCTCTGAGTGGAATATGATTTAAGTCTCATAAAATATCAAAATAAACAAGGCAGAACAATCAAACAACAATTTGAGTTTGTCCATTCATGCAGATCAAGCACTCTCTGTGTTCAATAGACAAATCAGTGCATCACTTCTCTTGCATAAAAAGTGGAACGCATTTCAAAAAGATGAGGTGGACTGAATTTAAAAGCAGAAATTCATTTTAAAAATAAACAGTAAAAGCCATAGTTCCTTGGAGTTAGTTGTGAAGTTTTGGTCCTTTGTGTGACTTTGGTCTCTTATTTCGGTCCTTTTGGCTCCATGTTTCCGCGTCCTGAATGCAGCCTTGCTTTGAAATCCTCTCAGTTCTTTTGGCTTTTAGCGTCAAAATATCCACCTGGGTGCTCATAAGAAATCACCAAACCTCTTTAAAAAAAGAAGAAGCAATTCTGGCTCTGAATCAGTCTCTTCTGGTGCACACTCGTCTAAGAGCTGCACTCATGAGTTCAGAAGCTTCTCGCGTTTCTGGGTTGGAAGAGCAAAAGGAGACAGCTGGCGCCCTCTAGAGGTAATCCAGCTCCAGTGCATGGCTCAAAGCCTCCAGATCGGCCCGACAGGAAACTCTCCAGAACGGCATGTTCTTCTGAGAAAACAAAAAATCAAATCAAAGTCAAACACAGTTTTGATGTAAAACATGCACACCTAACACAACATTCTTTAGCAGCTTGTAGTGCTCCTGTGGATGCACTGCAGATGTGAAATATGGGCTGTGGTTTGAAGGGGGATTGTAGTATTTGACAAAGTATATGTGTTAGATAACATGTTGGCTTATAATGCACAAGGAGGATTTGCTGAACTGCCAAATCCAGGAAAAACAACATTTAAAAAATAAATAAATGAAAACCTCAGACACAGAAGCTTTGACATTGAACATGTCTTTAAGTTAACTCATTAGTTGAGGCCAATTTTTGAAACACAGAGCACTAAATTATGAGATTGAGTTGTACCTTCTTGGCCACAGCCTCTTCTTCTGCTCCGTCTCCTATCACCACATACACTGCTCTCCGACCAAACCGCTGAGAGACTCGCTCAAAACAGCTCTCCTTGCCTATAAAAGAGAGACAACAATGCTTAGAAGAATAAATAATAACTCATGAAGAAAGGTTTTATAGAAGTTTATTTATTGTATTGGCTACAGAAACAGAGAAAGATTGTCATTTTCTTTCTGAAGTGTTGTGTCTTTATTTTCCCCACCTGTCTTTGTGGCGCTGTAAATGTTCTCTATGGGGAACGCTGAGCCCAGACCGTACAGTAACACTTTGGACAGTGCAGGGATGAGCTGTGTGGTGGTTACCAACACGTTCACGCAGTTCGGCCTGCAACAGGACACAAACGTGTTTATTGCAGTTAAGTCACGACAGCTCAGAAGACACATTGAGCTAAGATTCTTTCAACTCATAGATAGACATTGACAAAATGAAAAATAAAAAAACCCAATCTTTTACAGCTAATAGTTATTTTTAAATTAAGCCACGGTAGGATGAACACACCTGGAGTTGATGAGAGCCAGAGCTTTAAGTGCCTGAGTGAGCCACAGGTCAGTCAGCACCTCCATCTCCCTCCTCAGCTGTAACCACTCCTCTCTCTTTGGGCTGCCCAGTAAACCTGCCCATCAGGGACAAACACAAGATTCAGCATCACTTTTGGTAAAATCCTTGATCCTTCATTGTTCAAACATAAAGGTCTCATCTACAGAGATCTCATTTTGAAGGCAAGACTGTCTGCTGCCAAGCCAAAACCTTAAAAATGTCAGTAATAAACCTTGTATTAAAGATATGCTGATAACAAAGTGGATGCACTTCTCTGATGAAGCTTATATAACATGCTAAAGCAAAAGCTGAGGATAAATCCCTGGCAAATGAATGAGGCTTTGGACGCTAGAATAGAGACCTGTCGTTAGGTAAGGGCCTCATGGGGAAGGGTATGACTTTCCCCTTTATCCCCCTTAGGGGACCCCTGACCAGGACTGACCAGGACTGTTAGATTGTGGTCTAGCAGGGGTTAATAAGAGCAATACTTGCACCAGGGTTGCAACTAGTGATCATTTAATTTAATTGATGGTTTAGTTTTCTGTCTAAAATGTCTAAAATATTCTCCATTTAAACACACATCTTTACATTTAGGACGCTAGTGTATGTTTAATGCTGAAACTAGTTATAAATTATCCAGATAGTTGCTGAATAATTTCCTTTAAATGGACTGATGGATAAATAGCTGGAGTGCTAATCTGCATGTGTCCATAATGATAAATCATGATCATTTTGTCTCATTATTTACTCAATTATTTAGCTATTAAGGCAGAGAGAACATTTAGCAAACCTCAGACAATATAACTTACACAGCTGTCTACATGAAACGAGAGCGGATCTTACCTCCAACATTATTCTTGTACGTGTTGTAGATCTCCTTGACTCTGCGATATCTAAAAGCCAGTTTCCTCATCCAGTCCACCCCTCCATGGACCCCCGACCCCAGGCACAGAGAGCCTGCCCCCGCTGGGCTCTGGAAGCCGTCCGAGCCGAAGTTGTAAGTGCTGCAGGATCACAATACAGGAAACAGTCAGGATATACATCATATAGACATGAGCTGCATTTTTTCCAGGGCTTCTTCTTACAGTATCATCTGTGTTTCAGAGGGGACGCTCGAAGTATCGCTTTAACTGCATTCATGGATACAGTTTGTAGCTCTAGGAATTTATTCAAACCATTTGGGTCGAGAACAAGAGGACTTTGCTTAAACCATTCATCAAATGTAGGGGCTTTTGCCAGTGCTACCACAAACATTTCATGGACAAGAAGGGATTTCAAATTGAAAAACCTTGACACTGACTTTCAGCGGTGATTAAAACTTTGTCAGTAAGAGATCATACAGTATATACAGCAGAGAGACATGGGTAAATATCTAAAAAGGCCAAGTTTAATCAAATAAATACTTCAAAACAGTACAGTCTGGCTCTTTCTCAAATCACTCCTGAAAGAACCCAAAAGTGCTTCAACCAGTTTATGCAATAATAAAATGTCTGGACCAAGGGAGACAGAGGGAATGATAAAGAGAAATTTTGATGAGAAATGAAAGCGTTGGATAATCCTGTGACATATTATACTGCTGTGGAAGTCAAGGGGAAATAAAAGACATGCACATGCTTGCATGCATGAACACACACAGACGCAGAGAAACCCACACGCTCCTCGTCTCTCTTCCTCCTGTGCACTAAAAAACCCAGAGGGCAAGTCTGGTTCATAAGCCACACAGCACAATCTGTCTCTAAGCACAGCAACACAGGAGAAGCTTTACCTCAGGTCCTGCCCGTTGTCGTCTGATGCCACGTCATCAATATGAACCTGGTCACATTCCTGGGAAATGAAACAGAGAGCGGATATATTAAGAGATATATTTCAGAGTGGAGTGCTGCACAGGCAGGTTGCTGATCTTTAGGGGAGCCTGCAGGATTGATAGCGGCTATAGAAAAAAAAAAGCTTATATAAAAGTCAAGGAGGAGGAAATAAGGTGTCAGGATATAGGACAGTGAGGCGCCACAGATGAGACTGAGCTATACCCAGGAGTAAATCTGCATTTTTTTATTGTGGGTCCGAAGAAAGGCCTATTGTTTTTGACAAGCATAACTGTGTGCAAGTTGTTCCTCTTTTGTTTCTTTATTGGTATAAAATGCATCGAACCAACACAGCTACAGGGAGAAAAACCTCAATGAAGCTGAAAAACGCAGCTACAGACAAAACACCTGAAGTGATATGAAGTTAAATAAGAGACTTGAAAACAAAGACTGGATTTGTAAAACTAAAACAAGGAGCTGGGCAAAGTTAAAAAACACAAGCACATCTAATATAAACTTTCTCCTAAAGAAAATCTCCTCTTTTTGGGTCTTAATCCAGAGTCAAGCATCAAGTCAATCTACACATATGACCATGTACACACATGTGGGAAAGCAGAGTGATAGTATAACTCGCAGTTGTCACGCGGTGACCTGGGACAGACAGGGTCTCCTATCCTCTTTCAGTCGTCTTGAGCCAGATGGAGACGCTACCTCATCTTCCCTCCATCTCCACATAACTCAACTCTCCTGGGCTTTAACCCTCCTCCCACTCAGGTGCCATCCGCCCCCACAGAGCCGCTACAACTGACCACACAATATACAAAACCCCTTTAGATCCACATATAGAATTATAATAAGACTAATAGGCATAATAAGACAAAATACAAGAAGCAAATAGTGTGTATGAAAACAAAGCAATCAAATATATGATGATAAAAAGGTAGTATGTTGGAGTCACTAAGGTTTAAAATTGTTTAGGATAAAAAACACAAAAAAGGAAAGATTAAAATATAAAACAAAGGAACATTTGCAGTTAATAGAGGTTAATTGTTGCAGAGTATTGGTGCATGTTCAAAAACGACTGAACTGCAGATTTTTATTTAGTAATTATATAATTTGCATTTAGAAAACCAGCTGCAGAAGAGCCAAAACACAGCGATGGATTATAAAAGGCAGACAAAGATTTACTTGTGTTGGCCGGTCCTAAACCATTAAGAGCTTTGCAAACAAGTAAGAGAACATTTAAATCAAGCATGAAAGACACCGAGAGACAGTTCAAATCAGCTCAAACTGATAGGGTATCCCTTTTTCTTGTTCTAGTTAAAAATTTGACAGCAGAGTTCTGAAATTATGCACCCAATGGATTGTTTTTAGAGATCTTTGAAAAGAGAATTTGCAGTAATATAATCAATTTGGGATTAAAGTGTGAACAAGTTTTCCTTCACCTTTTTGAAAAAAGCAGCTGAACGATTGTTTATGTCTAAAGTGAACTCTGCTAAAAATTTACTGAATCTCGAAGCTTGTAAGAAGTTATTGTTCCTTTTCTATAATTAATAAGAAAAAAGTTACAGAATTTACCATATGCCACATTTAAACAGCAGAATGTCAACTTAAAGCTTTGACTTTGATTAAGCAGCCATAAAAATGACAATTATGCAGCCGTCTGATGGAATTACAATTATGACAGCAGGAGCAGCACTCACAGCCACTCATTTGCTCGTATGTGCTGACATGGGAAAGACAACATAATTGTACCTCGAGACTTAACAGCCGTTGTCAGCCCTCTGTGGCCGACTGCTTTAGAGATTTACTGAGCCATGACAACAAAAGAGGGGATAAGGAGCGGGTTTGCAAATGGCTTTGTTGGCTCCTTTCCCTCCTCTCAACTGTTCCTCCTCCCATTTGACTAATTTTCCTCTCCGATACTCAGACACACACCTATAATTACGGGACAATGTGTTCTTGTTCTCTCTCCACGTCCCTCTCTAATCTCTTTTTTTATTTGTCAGAACACTGTTGAGGAATGCGGGCTGGGGGACTTTTCAGTCACTAGCAGGTAGTAAAACGGCTTTTTAAGGGAGTTCTTCTTGAGTCATTCTTTTTAGCCATTGCATCTATGTCTATGTTAACAGTTTAGGGTAGCAGGAAGCCTACTGTAAGAGCACTTTTGCCAGCAGCCTAACTCCTTCTTCAAATGTTATTGCTCATCTGAGGAGAGCAAATTGTTAGGAAAATGCTGTAGTCAGAGCAAATAGAAAATGCATTTATGTGAGGGGATTTCTACAATGACTGCCACTGTGCCTAATGCCAGGTTAAAAAAAAAAAAAACAGCTCCAAAATGTCAGTCCTGTTGCTCGGCTGTTACCGGGAAGGTTTTCAGCTCAAGAATATGCCAATATGTACCATTTGATATGTTCTCACTGCAGCCTCTTTTCAGTTAGTATTTCCACAATTATTGCAAAGAAACATGGGAAAAATGCTTCAAGGGGAAAATCAAGTAGTAAGATTTCTTTGTGAGGTCAGGCTTAATTCCTACAGTAGGATATGAGTTAAAGAGGGAAAAAAAATACATTTTCTACACTCACCTCCAGGTCATTGAAGAAGAGTCTAGAGTCGGCCAAATTAAAGATCATCTCCTCCATCCACAAACCAAGAGACACTGCTTTAGAGGAGTCCTGGTAAACACACACACATAAAAAAATAAACACGATAGTTAATATATTGCTTAAAAAAACCATAGTTGTACTTTTAACTTTACTGATTTTTTTGGACCACATTAGAAATGTTCTTTATGGTTTCTCGTTTTTTAAAGATATTTTCGGGCCATGTTTGCCTGTATGGGATTGGACAGCTGAAGAGAGAGGAAACGCTGGGAGGAGAAACGACATGCAGCAAAGGGCTGATGTCGGATCTGAACCCACGGCTGCTGTGACGAGGACCACAGCCTCTGCACATTGGGTGCGCAAACATACAATAACCACCGGGCTATCCGATGCTCCTCTTGAAGGCTTCTTTAACATAAATTACAACAAATGAATCCTTCAACACATTTAACTTCCTATTCATCAAATGTGTGTCTCAGTGTGGATGACATGTTTTTGTCCTGAGGCATGTGTTGTGTATATATGCTGCAGTCACACATTTCCCCTCAGGCTCAGTAAAGACTTTTATCTCTAAATCAAACAGAACCTGAAACAGTAAACCTCAGCTTGTTTTTGACCTCATTCATAAGAATGAGGTCAAGAAGACAAATCCTGGACCACTTCAGGAGTTGCACCCTTAGTACTGTAATTCATTTATTAAAGAATTGACTCACAGGCTTATGTGCAGACTGATGGTTTAAGAGGTTTGGTATTTTTATAAAATAATTAGTTAAACGTTATTATTTCACATTCTTGCTGCTGTAATTAATCTCGTCATGTCAGTGCAGCCGCCTGCTTGTCTGCCTTTCATTCACTATCTCTGCAAACTCATCATCTCTGGGCTGACACAGGTTTCAGGGAGAGGCAAGTGTGAATATTTATCTGTCAATCAAAGTCTCTGTTGATTCTAACCTTCACGAGCCTCCTTTTGAGCTTTGTTATTCTGGAGATGTCTGAACGAGACAGACAGTTTCACCCAACTCTCTCCACTTAATTGTTTTTCTCTTTCATTCAATTATTCACAGCATCATTCAACTCAATTGATGTTATTAACGGTTGAATCTTGGTAAAAAAACGACGAGGTATATAATTCAATAAAATCGATGTATTCATTTATCTCATGTATTTCCATGTTATTGCAATGATTAGTGGGTATCGCCATAATCATTGGGGTTTCTTCTGTGGATAATAAGAGTCTTTACAAAATGTACTGCTAATAATATCAGCGTAAGCCATTTCATTATTTCAATGTGTACTTTGGACTCTGTATAAGTATATCGACTTCACTCCAAACTTGTCAAATATGGCGACTTGGTGTGTGGCCACAAGCTTCTTGCTGACAAGCAACGGTTGACACGGATAATGTTGGAAAAAAGCTTTCAGTATGGAAGTGTTTGAGCACCATCACTTAATGATTTGGTTTAGTGGATATCGATCAAGGTTAGGGTTTAAACGTGTAGTTATTAATTACATAACTAACACACCCTCTATGATGTAGTTACTGTTTGTCATTGTGATGGATTTCACTATATAAACAGTTATTTACAACAAATTCCCCCCTGGGATTCTTAAGTATTTCTGATATTTAATAGCTTTCTATTTTATTTTCATTTGTACAGATTGCCATAAAAATAATCAGAAAGGGAGGATAATAACTGCAGCAGGTTTAGAAGTTAAGAAACAACAACCCGAAGTCACTTTGTCAATCACAACCCTGTTTCTAAAACAGTTGGGACACCGTGCAAATTGGAGATAGAAATAGTGTGTGATGATTTGTAAAACATTTAAAAGCCGTATTAGTTGTAAAAAGCATAAAGACAACATATCAAATTTTAGGAAAATGAGATGCCCATTTGGAATATGATCCCAGCAACACCTTTCAAAAACAGCTGGGACGGCAACAAAAGATTGGAGAAGTAGTTGTGAAATCAAATCTCCCTATTAATGAGGTAAAGTGGCAACATGACTGGACACTAAAAGTATCCCAGAGAGGCTGAGTCTTTGTGAAGTAAAGATGGTGAGGAGTTCACCACTCAGTGAAAGACTCTGCAGGCAAATAGTCCAACAATTTAAGAAATAAATGTCCCCTTTTTTCAACATTATATCTTTCCATCATCACCCACTAGCCTCTTTCTGTTATTTTCTTTTCACATGGAAAAAACCCAAACAATACTCAGGCATTGCATAATACAAGCTTTGGTTCAGTTTCTTAATAAGCAAATTATAAATCTTCACCCGCAAAAACACATAAATTACAATCTGTGGGCAGCCTGGCTGTCGAACTGCAACTGGGTGTGGTGTTCAAAACTACAAAAGCAGGTGTGTGTCTGTGTGTGTGTGTGTGTGTGTGTGTGTGTGTGTGTGTGTGTGTGTGTGTGTCTGTGTGCTGTATGGTTTTGATGGCACTGTTTGCTCGTCTTTGCCAGCGAGACAAGAGAAGAGGAGCGGTGTCAGCCAAAGGTGAATGGTAGATTAATGCGTCTGAAATGACAGGCAGATCTGTCCTCTGGCTTAAAAAAATGATATGAATGGGTTTGATGACACATGTGTGGTAAACGATGACATGTACAAAATAGCACCCTCCCAATAAAAGTCTGTAAAAAGAAAAGGTAATTAAGGACAAAGGGCGGAAAAAGTTCAGCGTGGGAGGATGACAAGGAGAAAAAATTGAGGAGTGGGAAGGATTGAGAAACTGGCCAGAAGAGGAAGATATGAATTGAAAGGGGGAAGGAGGCGGCATTAAAGGCTTAAGGAAGGATTGTCCTGCTTGTCTCACAATTAAAATAATTATCTGTAATCACCCTCCTTCAAAAACGACTACTAAATAAAAGCCTTTTCCCCATAATCCCAGAGAGGAATTCAAGAAAAATGAAAAAAGCAAGGAAAAGACAATAAAGGCACCCAAGCATTCAGTTCCCACCTTTACTCTTACACAGGGAATGTTTGATATGAAAGGCAGAGCTTTGGGGAAAGAAAATTCTCACACTATAGAGGACAGAGAGGGCTGCTGTATGATAGATGAGATAATGGAAGAGCAGTTACAGGGGAGGGAAGTGACTCCTCATGTGGATCTCTGTTCACCTCTGGTGAAAACAACTGTCTTTCAACACGCCCATTAGTCTTTCCTGCACGCTGAGCCCGGACTTGCCTTTACGTATAGCGCCAAACATTTGTTTATGATAAGAGCTTCATTGGCTGGTAGACATAAAACGGTGAAGTAGAGATAATTCATGCCAGAAAAAAAGTTCAACATGCTTGTCAAAGAAAGATAAGTTGGCAGGAAATTTTGGATGAAGGGGTGTTACTGGCTTGTAAACTGTCTTAATGCTTTGGATTGCTAATCTGTTTTTCCGCTGTCACTCATTTAGTTCCTCTGCTGCATGTCTGAGTTTTGATGTCAGAGTCCATCCAACTGAGCTTCCCTGGATCCAGCAGCAGGGTGTTTGGGTGGTGGGAGGAATCAGGAATTTTTGGCACATGAGTCACATTTCAACACATCCACTCTTGCACTCCATCTCTCTTTTTCTTTCTCTTTCTCCCATGTTTCTCTTTTTCGACCCCCCTCTCCGTGGCAAGAAAAGAAAGAAAAAGAAACAACGTTACGCATGGCCCGCCGGGGGGGCAAGAACTGATCAGAAACTCTGCTCTCAAACTCCCATCAGCCTTGTGTCAACCCGCAGGGGGACCGTGAGAATTCAAAACACACATCCCTGGCCAAAACCAAGAAACGCACCGCTGTCCGCCCCTTCGTCAGCCGCCTGTCTTGTTATGTAAAGGTCCCGCTGGCTGTCAATCAGGCCGCAGGGTGCCAGGGTAGCTAAACAACCCCGGTGCATTATGAAAAGAAACAAGAGGGCAGGAAGGCAAAACAGTCAGCGTGTGAAAATGCTCAGAGATGAGACCCAAAGGTGGAGGGGACTCTAAAACCTTTGCCTGTTATTAAAATAAGCAATGAGACAAAGGATGACTTGACCAGAGTGTAATTACACGGGTGTTTTTCTTTGCCAACATACAGAGCAACAAACTGTTACAGTGTGATGAGCTACAGCACGTACTTCCTCTTACAGTAAAAGACAAAGGGAAGGGTGGTATCAGCCTACCTTGCCAAATCGTGAGGAGAAGGTTCCCGTGAGGAGCGAATGGAAAATGATGATGGTTTCATCCAGGTCCCAGATAAACACACGCTGCAGTAAAATAACAGATATGTAATGTTAACCTCATGAAAGTTTATGTGTGTGCAAGTGTGATGGAGAGAGAGGGAGCGAAAGAAAGACAAATATTTTACAGAAAGACAGTGTGAGTGTGTGTTTACCTCTATATCAGAGTCCAGAGGTGGAGCAGGGTCACTGACTCTTTTTCTCCCCCTCAGCTTCCCATCTGAACCCCTCCGTGCCGGGACCCCCTCCTCTTTACCTGGGGTTGGGGGACTGGGCGGCGGGTGGTACTCTCCTAGAATACAAACATTTCAATCAAGGAGACTTTGTTTTAATATATAAGTATTAACTAGTAACTAGAACAACAATTGTCTGCAGAAAAAATATCATGTATGTATTTGGCAAGTAGATTCAGCTATCTTTGTTGCGGTGTTCCTCAAGGGTTAATTCATGGCCCACTTTTTTTTTCACTTTGCGTTTATGGTACCCTTACTTTTTATAGCGTTCCTTTGTAAAGCCCTGTACAATACAGTCAATGTTAAGAGTGCTTTTGTTTAGGGTATAGAAAGACTTAGGGTGAAGTGTAATATTTTATTATATTGTAATTAATTGTTAAAAAAAGCAACATAAAAAAACCTAAAACTAAAGTATATAAACAACAGATACCCAAAGAAAAAAGCACATGGTTTTGTTGTTTCTTACCTGTGTGCGATTCTGGGCTGTGATTTGGCAGCATGACGGAGTGTTCTGCATGCTGATAGGCTAACGGAGCAGTGATGGCTGCAGGGCTGATGTTGCTGCCTGTTATATAGGGGCTGTTGTAGTGATGTGAGTTGTAATACGGGGAGTACTGGCTCTGACTGTAGCTCGAGTATGCTGAAAACTCCTGTCAACATGAAAACAAAAACCTTATTTAATGTAATTGAATTATGAACACTTCCAATTCAAAATGAGTCAAGAAAATTACTTAAACTTAAAAAGTCAAGGAAAATAGATTTTGAACAGCAATGAAAGAAATCAAGTTTGCTGTATTGCAAGAAACATTGTTTAAGCACAGAAGCAGTCGCATCATGTAAACAGTTGAAAATAGCATTTTAGTCCTTGTTGGAGGTGGTTACATTACTCACTTGTTGGGTAGGGTTGAATGGCGTTGAACTGGAGATTGCATGTGTGCCCTGAAAAATTCCGGATGAAATTCCACCACCTGGGGAATGATGTAAAGACAAAGGTTAACAATTAAAAACCATGAAGTCGTGTAAGTGCGACTCTTGATCTGATCTGTGGAACTGTGGTGAGGAAGTAATGAGCAGAAAACTTTGACTCCTTCCTCAGTGACAGCTCAGTGCTGCGGGGGCTGGGAGATTGATTTTAGTTTGACAAAACAATGTAGGTGGGAAAGTCCTCTGCTGCTGCTGAGGCTGCTCTGGGGAATCTATCAGTCTAATCAAGCCAAGGCAGGAACGGATTTCTACCAGCAATATTACCCAAAGAAAAAAAAAACCCTTCCTCACTCTGCATCTTTCTGTTGAACCGTCTCATAGGTATGTGACTGTCTCATTCATTATTTGCAATATTATCACTTCCACCAACAGCAAAGGAAAGTGTTTCTTATTTCAGATCTATTGTTCCTGTTTTAGAGGAGGCTGGATATATGAAAGGTTACAAATGGAAATGAAATATTATATAGAAGAGGAACAGATGAACTTTTGACATCAACTGGGCAAAACAGTGCATTGTGATTATCTTCTCATAAAAGTTCTGTATATTCCTAACAGCTTCCCAAAGGGCTTTCTAAGGCTTGATACGGCTTTGACCCACTGACAATGTGGTGATGTGTAAATTAAAATGTTACCAGCTTTAAGAGGCCATGTGGGCTTTGAGCTAACTGCTAACATTAGCATGCAAACATAACAAGATGGGTAGATTAACTGTTTAACATGTTCACCAACATGTGTTAAGTTCACCATAATAAACAGTGTAGTTAGGTTTGATTTTAATAAACGATGTTGCTAAATGAAAAGTAAAGAGCTATCCAGTTATTACAGTTCCCTCTTTAAGTAAAATGAATGTCAGCACCAAATCTCAAGGCAAAAAAGCCGAATGTTGTCAAAAATTTCACTCAATAACACAGACCCCTCTTTTCTGAAATGAACCCTCCTGATATATCTTTCTGAAGTCTTCCTTCATCATTTCTTTCCTTGTTTTTATCATGCTGCTACTGCTCCCTGTTGCTCTGCATTTTTCCCTGTCTTCTCCACAGTGCATGACAAACAGAAGAGTAATGACTCACTGGAAGAACCACACAGAAACATCCCCGGACAACACAACAATCTTCAAAGCGGCCGAAGGAAAAATACAGGAGGTCTCTCCAGTAAACACCGAAAAGCTCCCATAGTCCCCATTTGGTTTGAGTTGTACACACAGTGTACTGTACTGTATACGTCTTTGGATGGTTTTATGTGGAGTGTGTGCCTGCGTGTGCATGATCGTGTATTGTGTACAGTATAATGGATGACATGGAAACATTCTGAAATCCTACAAACATTTGGTCGTTGTGGCAGTTTATTACCGTTTGAAGTTCGTAGTTAATGATTTATGCATAAAAACATTCAAACAAATTTATTTTGTTTAGGAACAGTGTCTTTCAAACTCAAACTGCAGTTTGTTAAAAAATGTTTGTTGGTTCAACAGACGGGTCCTCACTGAGCAGTCATTGAAGTATCTGTGTTTCGTACGAGGTTTGATCCAAAATATTCACATGAATATTTACATTCTTGTATAATGTCTGACATCTGAATATTCTCTCACAGAGGAAGTGACATGGACCCGCATGAGGAGGCAAAGGGAACTATCTGGCTGCTATGCACTACCTGTGACCTAGGTAAGGAACGATCGGTCACATGATATCATTTTGACCATCTCAATAACATCAGGGCAAACTTCCTCTGGATTAGACTCCTGGAAAAATCACAAAATGGACATTGAGTTGACATTTGTCAAATTACTAGACCAAGGTCAAGAATTAACTGTCATGCTCACGTATTATCTTGTTTTTGATGAAGGATGTATTTAAAAAAATAAAAATAAAACATGGCTTTACAAATGTCTTGAACTGAAGAAATATTAAATAAAATAAACTTTTATTAACTTTTCACAAAGCAACAGTTGTGCAGGACAGGACGAGAACCTTTCAATTCAGGATCTGTAAGTCAATATTACAAGTTGTAAGAGAAACTGACAGTTTTGCTTAGTTAATGAGTTTATTTTGGGGTAAAGACCTGTTTCCTGTTTGCAACATGTTTCGCTGGAATTCTAAGTAAATCAACAATTTTATTTTTTTACCACTAAATTTGCATCAATTCCTCTGAAGGTAGTAGCTTGAGTTTCATCCGACTGCATGAAAATGGTGTGAGAGAGTGTAACATGTACACATGCTAGGTGAGGAACTGTGCTTGTTTGCATCGATACTTTTTTTTGAATTGCTATAAATTCAGACCTTTGCAATGTGTTTATTAACAAACCCAACAAACTTTCATTCCATGAAATGTTCCTTGAAATAAAGTCACACCTATAATACAGATGAATGTTTAAAAGAATAAACCAATGGTATGTTTACAAAATCAAAATAATTGGGCCTTTTGAGGATATAAAGTATTATTCCAATTATTCATCATTTTATAAAACTGAAACTTTACACTGAAAAAACTGTATAAAGCAACGTTGAGAACAAGACATGTCCAGACCTCATCTGTTTACTGTTTGATCCTGTTTTGTCTTCCTTTGTGTCATCCATACAGTGGAAACAGGGTCTTCCCCCCTTCAGCAACTTTAAACCTGTTCACCCCTCCGTATAACGCACCTTAACCTCTCCCCTCACACACACAAGGTCAATTTCACGCTGCTTCCAAAGCCATAAAGTCGCACTGAGCGAGTCATGCTTTGGGCGCCGGACGACTGAGCACTAATACACACACACACACACACACACACACACACACCCACACACTCTAAAGTCTCACACAGACCCACGCACAAACACACACACACACACACACACACACACACACACACACACACAGGGATGCGTGGGCAGAGAGTTGCACACACACTCAGGCATACCTCCTCTTCAGTTTTTGTTTTTCAGCAAAGACCCTCAACCCATCTTCTGTTTCCCCCTGGGTTCTTGTTTTTTTCTCTCCATTTCTTTCCCCCTCTGTTTTTGTCTCTTTTTGTGTCACAGTCACAAGTGCTGCCTTGCCTGCTGTGTTGTTGGTCTGAGTGGAGTAAGGGGGCCTGACCCCGAGAAAAGAGGAGGGGTGGGGAGACTTTTGACGCCAGGAGTCCAGACCGCAGCTAATGGAGAACAGGTGTGGCCGTGAGGAGGAGAGGAAAAGCGAGAAAGATGAGGAAAGAGAAGAGGAGAGAAGCAGTAAAAGAAGAAGGCAGCGCAACGATAGATGCTCCCTCCTGTGTGTGTGTGTGTGTGTGTGTGTGTGTGTGTGTGTGTGTGTGTGTGTGTGTGTGTGTGTGTGTGTGTGTGTGTGTGTGTGTGTGTGAGACTGTGTTTGAGACTCACTGTGTGTGTGTGAGTAGCTGTAGAGACTCTGACTGGGAGGAGTGCTGCTGAAGTTTGAGTAGCCCAGTAGTCCAGTCTGTCCGGGAGAGTGACTCAGGCCGTCTTCTGTTTTTATGTCTAAGCATGGAGAGACACAGTTTAGAAAATAAAATATACATTTGTTTGTTCTTAAAAAACTAGCCAATGTGCAGCATTGTAACCGTGTAAACATTTTGACCAAATTCACTTTACTAGAGTAAATATCTATTTAGGAGTGTTTAATTACAATGACCAAGCACTTCAGCTCTTGATGTGCGACATAAAAAAAGTTATTTCTCCAAATGAAACTTAGCTACATGCAACATTACAGCTACAAGCATGAAGAGCACATTCACCAGTGACAGTGCAATCATGCCTACTCTGATGATCATGTTTTAACTGTGTCTTCATTTATTTCCTCAAAGTTTCCTGACACTTTCACATTTGTACATTCGATCTGGCTTTCTAACATTCCTTGCTTCTCGTGTACACTGGAAAACGTCTGTCATGCCGAGATGCCGCCATTTAAAAAAAAATCTTTTGTAATTCTATTCTATTCTTTTGTGCCTAAATTTTTCTCCAGTCAATGCTGATCCTGTCTAATGATCTGTGATTTTGTTGCATCCAAAGTAAGATAAGAGTGATATAAATTCAGCCACACTAGCTTGAAGAATCTGATGTAATTTGTCTGTATGCTTTACCCGTATGCAATCACATGAAAGAGTCGTTGGGCCTTTAAGATGATAACCCTAACCCTGCATGAAAACTGTGGGTTTGTGTATACTTACTGTACGATGGCATGCTGTAGCCCTGAGTGTGGTGAGTATAGGGTGTGTATGGCCCCGCTGGCTGCAGGGTGGGGCTGTACTGAGTCTGTCCATACGCAGCCATGACACCTATCCCCCGTCAGCTGATCCTAATAAAGAAGAAATGAAGAGGAAACTTTTCTGAACACGTTCTTCCTCTCTTTATCTGTTACAATAGAATGTTTGTTTGGTCTGTTTTTTAGGAGTGAGCATGAGGAAGAACATACAGTACAGACAGACAGACAGACAGACAGACAGACACAGGACATGCAAATATGTCTCAAACCAAAGGGAATTAAATGAATGCAACAAACAAGATGGATCCGTTTTTATAACTTCAAGCACCAAACAACAATAGAAAATTGTAAAGTGGAAAATTAAAAGTTCCTCAAAATGCACGATTAAATTCATTTAAGGTGGAAAAGATTTAACATCAATTAAACGCTTTGATTTGAAAGGAATTTCAGAGAAAAAATACAACATATTAGAAAGAAGTTCTGCAGATCTACTTGAAAATGTTGTGACACATGTTGTTAACACTCACCTGAAGTAGGAACGAAGAGTTCTTAAAAGATAATGGAAAGCCCTGTAAATGAAACAAGAACAGTCTCTAGGTAAGTTAACGTTTAAACAAATCAGGAAATGTTAAATTAAAGTGGATGAAATGTTCATCTAACCTAACCGAGTTGTAATGTGGTGCTTCTGACATGTTAATGTGATACTAAATGACACTTATAATTATCCGCAAATAATATTTTCACAATCCCAGGGGAATTTTGTAATGCATTAGGAGAAACTATAAAGACAAAAAAACGCATTGCAGATTTTATAAATCACATTTTATGTAGAGTTATAAATAATTCACCTACATTTGTCAACTAATTATTTGGACAAAACCATGTTTATCATTTTTGCTTAGGTTTATCTTAGGTTTCATTTAATCTGCTTTTTTGACTTCCACAGTGAACCTGGTGATTTCAGTAAATCCCGTCCCTTTCATCTGTAGCACTTTCTTTGTAGTTTTTGCTCTCTCACCTGCCTCTGTGAAGAGAGCTTTATCCTCTTTATCCCGTCACACTGCTGTTAGTCAGGTTCCTCTCTAGCTGTCAACTCTCCTGTGGAAACAATAGCAAACACACACCATCAGGACACAGGTATGCAGGTGACTGACACATGGAGACGAGCCTCAGGGCCTTGTTGCAGCAGGATGAGGAGGATGGAGCAAGTTTTTTTACTCCATGAACACAGTTCAAGAGTTTAATAGGGCTGAGAAAAAAAAGAGATAAAGATAAATGTGGTTTTGGTGTGAAGCCTCACATTGTGAGAGTCTCTGACAGCCAAATGAGTTTGACGAGTTTCAAGGGAGAATGTAACAAAATGCTTCTCTATAGGGAACTGCTGACTCACTCTGCTGTTTGGCACCAGTGTCGTGCATACTGTGTGCAACTGTGTAGAGGAAATAAACTCAGAAAAAAAAGCCAGAACATGCCTGGCAATAGTCCAAAAAGTCAAAATAGTAGTGCACAGGGGTTTCACAACTCTCAGTTTGACTGGGGTCATATGCTGGTGATAGGATGAGACAAAAGAGCTTTATGAGACAGGAGAGAATGAAAAAGAAGAAGAGGTTATTTGTCTTTGTTTCTCAGTGTATTTCTGTGGTTGCAAAAGTCTGATCCAGGGAATAGTGCAAAACATTATGCAGTGCTGCTCAAAGGCAATATTGGATTTATTATAAATGCATTGATTTATCAGATATTTAATCCATTAAATTTGTAACACCTACCCCATTGGTAGTGGTGACAGAGAGAAATAACTAAGTATGAATAATCAATCTTTATCCTGATGATTTTATTACACTATGAAGGTCTGAAGAGGCATCTGTATAAATTTCAGTCTGTTCCATAACCACATAAAAACTCCTCACAAGAGCTTTAATTATCACACTTGGCGTTTATAAAGAATTATTACATACTTTGATAGATGTTTTTTGTCTACCTGTGTTACCAGCCACATTAACAGAAATGACATAAGATAAAAGACTGAGAGATTAAAGGGCTTAGAGACGGGAGGGAAAGGGAGGTTTTAGCTCAGTAAGCTGGAGGTCAATAGGTCAATGCCACATGAATTAGTCTAAGGAGGAAGCTGGAGGAGGTCAGTCTGTCTGACTGCTCATAAAAGGAACTCAGAAAAACACAGAAGTAAATCTGAAGCAACACAGACAGCAAACATTTTTAACTAAAGTCAACTCATCTTTATTATTGAATCCAAATGAATGTGGGCAGGAGCCACACTTCTGATATAGTTTGGACCTGGTTTCTGATTTCCCTATGGAAATCCATTTTAATTCTACAGAATGCATCAAAATATTAGACTTCTACTTTTTCAACCTGACAATTCACAGTAGAAAAAAAGTAATGAACTCAGGGATGGCTTTCAGAGTCGGGTGTGCAGCAGTTACTGTACAACAGAGTGTTAATAATACCAGAGTTTTAAACTTCAATACGATGGTGGTAAAAAATGAACGGTATCATACCTGTCCGTAACCTCGGCAACAAAATTTGAGTTCTAGGCACCAATTTTTTATGTATTCACATTTTTAATTTCCCAAAAATGCAAGCACACTCCTGCACAATGTCTAAATTGCATAAAAACCTTGGCAATGTTTTGGACAGTGTTTTAGTTGTCCCCTTATAGGCTATGGACATAATCTGTCTCAATTATCACTAATAATCCAGTTAAACCTACATTTGAATTTTAATGGACCTGCTCTCTTTCTTTCACTTGGGGCAGCATTGGATTAAAAATATAACAGACATATAAATGAGTACATTTTGTAATAAGATGCTCAACAATCAAATTTGCACCCATTTTCTGTCTTTTAAAACCTTAAACTATCATAAAACAATAAAAATAACGTGCTTGTGTTTTCTTGTTTATTAAATCCTTATGATTCTCAACCCTGAACAGTCTCTCTCTCTCTCTGCCTCTACTGTGTGTCTGTCTCTCTCTCTTTGCCTCTGGGCCATTCCAATCTGGCAAAGCTGCAGCTAACTGCCCGACCCCTGACCTCGCTGACAACACGCCGACAGAGACAGATGACAGTCATGAATTATAGGGGCAGTGAGGTTTTACTGCAGCAGAGATGAAGATGAGGATGAAAAAAGTAAAAGCTGTCCGAGCAAGAGACCAAAGTGACAGAAACTGAGAAAAGTCCGCTGACAAACAGCAGCTTCAACAATCCTGAGAACACTCACAGCATCCCTCTTGTTGTACTCACATCATTACAAGCAGAATTTCAGACTAAATAGCAAAGAAAACAGACCCATGTTGTTTCAGTTCCAGCTGACGGAGCTGCCCTCCTGGTTTCAAAAACACCCATGACAGCCTGCAGTATTTTAAATACTTAAGAAATGCTTTAACCATTAAGGAGCCACAAAAACTTCCACCTGTGCAACTGACCGTAAAATAAACTGCAATAAAACAGACTGTAACTGTGACACTGCAGAGGTGATTTAGTGTTTCATGTCTCCATAGCCTTGTGCACTGGTGTAAAAAGACGAGGGTAGAAACTACTGGTATACAATTTGTATAAAGATTTTCCAGTTAAGATTTTTTAAAGTAAAAATAACTTAAAGCTAAATTTTATTACTTTTGTTCTTGTTTTCACAAAATCTGAAATATGACTTCTAATATAAATCACGTGTTTTCTTGTGACCTTCCACCTCAGAAATGACCCTTGTATCCATTAGAGACTCTGATCTGACCTTCATCACGCGCAGACTGTGAAGCTCCAGAGAGTAACATTGATCCCTCAGCACAGAGGAAAAATAAGAAAAGTGCTGGTTTTCTTTTCATTTCCAGGGATCAAAAATTAAGAGCATCGCCTGTTCTGAGTCCTTCTGACTTCAGCTGCATCCCTGCAACAGTCCCGTATGCACCGACACACAAACATAAAAATTCTGCGTGATAGCAAAGGCACTTCCTGGTTCAGGGTGAGGCCTGGAAGGAGGGCGCACAAGGCCATGGGAACTGCAGGACACCGGAGGGAAGATGAGCGGAGCTCAGCAGTGATGTGGAGAGCCGAGAGCTGAAACCAAAGCTAAAACAAACCCAGCAGGGCCACAGGGGGCCGCAGGGGGGCCGAGGGGCCACAAGGCCAGTCCCACCAGCTTCACCTGGGTCTCAGGGTTCTGCAAGACCACTGCTTCTTTCACGGATATCAAGTTCTTGCTTTTGTGCTGATTGATTACATCACAGGATGGAGGATTGTGCTTTAAGGTGACCTGCTATTTGAGACAGTTAAAGGAATACAGAGAGTTTATGCAGATTTACCTGCTGCCTAGCTAAGCTGTTCAGTGAGGAAACTTCATATGTGCCAACTAGCTGCATTATCAGGCGGGCCTCATGCTCAGAACAAGATATGTTCAAAAACAAAGCTGGTCGTACAACCTGTTATCGAATCACATCTGAAGGCAAAGTTTTTTTTATAGTTGTTTCCAAGAGCAATACACTCAAACGATTGAAAAGGCAGCTGTCTAAAGAGGAGGGGTAGGCAATTATTGTTTGGGTCAGATAAGATATAATACAATATTAAGGAATAGAGTTACTCTATTCATTAATTTTGTATTATATCTATTATGTATTATATTATGTATTGTATTATATCATACTCAGTATGATTTGATACCGTATGATAGGATAAGATAAAATAATTTTTTGTTCTTCTTAGCCTCATGAAGTTACTCAAATTATGATGCAGGCAGCCCCCCTCCTCCAACTCTGACATGAAAAACAACTTAAGGAAGGTATTTCAGGTTTTGTTCGACAGTTAATAAGCACTTTTTTTTGGGCCATGAACTATCCAGAGACTAGTGATATTCTTGGAGCTCCAAATCAAAGCTAAGAAATCCAAGCAATGCAGTTAGATGTAAGTGCATGTAAAGATTATGGGTACAAAAATATGTACACAAACTTTATATCTAAAAATCACAGAACTGTCAAACTAACAGTGGCTGTCAAACTGCATTTTCATGAGTCTCAATGTGTCAGCATTTAGTAACACTGACAACATCTTGATTTATTAGCTTGAGGAACATTTGAAAAATATTAGCCACAACAAATACAAACAAACTTAAGAATAACTTATTGTTTATCACTTACAAGTTCACAAAAAAAAAACCTGGCATGTCTGATGCCTTTTGCATCTGTGTGTCATCAGGTTCACTCACAGCTGGATTAAAAGAAATTAAAAATTCAGTCCAGACCATCTAAAAAAACAATCACGAACAGATTGTCACATAAAAGGTCAGCTGTCTTCTGCTTTGAATAATGTTAACAGACTTTGGGATCCACAATGGATTGACTCATCACTTTATCTTTCATCAGCTTAGTGTAATTAGACCCTCGGGTTGATGGTTAGTCAGGGTTGGCTGAATTTCCTGTGAAGGGTGTGTGCATCTTATCTCAATCATTGTAAGTTATTTGCATATTTTATCAAGTGACTGGGTTGTGTCTGTTCTTTGCAGTGTTTGTGTGAATGTCAATATGTCTGCTGTGTCAGTCTTACTCTTGATAACACTTTTGGAATTCTGGTCACAATCTGCTGTGATCCTTTTGATGCTTTGACCTTTTATTGAAACATTTTGGTTCTCAATCAGCTGCTTGTTGAGGTGACCTGCTGGCCTGTAATCGTGCCATATGGGACCCCACCTGGAGCCCGCAATTTGGACAGTCTGACAAGTGCCCTGGGCAAGGTTGGGGGTTGATTTGTTGCTGCACAAAAAAACCCCTCTCTCTTTTTCTCTGATAAAGGACTACGAACAAGGGCCCAGTATTTAGGTTTGTGTGACACTATCGGCGAAACATCGGTGCCATCTGCCAGCTACTGCCCTCTTTAACTGCATTCAGCACAAAATAACACAGCTGTGACTGCAGTTAAAAGCAAAAGGTATAGGACACTTTTACTCTCAGCTTTAGAGTTGAATGTCTTCATCTATTTCCGTATAAGAAGCACAAGAAAAGCAAAAAAAAAAAAACCTACTAAGGTAACATCACCATAACATGATGATAAAACAGCGGCTAAGCCCTCTCAGAGGCTGAAAACTCGGTCTTGACA